TGCCGTTGCAGAGAAACTGCGCTCCTTACAAAGCCAGCAGCTCGCTGTGAACTTAACAGTAGATAGGATGTTCTATCAACTTACGATAGAGCTTAACAAGCTGTCGAGACAGATACTTGAGCTATCCAAAATCAGCTATACTGTCACGATCAGCCCTGGGCTTAGTACGGTCTTACAGCGGTTGGAAATGCCGAAATGAGGGCGCCGCACCGCGCCGGCCCGTTTGACGACGCCGGCTCCCTCGTTGCGGGCCGCCGCTCCTCTCCCCGCTAATCCTACGCTTGTGGAAGAGCAGGGAGCCGTTGGCCTAGCCTCCCGTGCGTCTCATCTGCCGCCGCCGGCCGGAGCGGGGGCGGCGGCGGCGGCGGATGAGCCGCAAATACCACACTTTGAGTTTCCTTTAGACCTCAGAAGCGTTTGCGATCTGTGGACCGTGTGGAAGAACGGGAGGGCGGGTATGCCTTCTATCGAGTCCCTGGAGGCCGACTATGGCTCTGCTTGGCGCCCCAAACACCAGAAGTCCGTCTTCTGCAGCAGGAAGGCGATAATCGACTTCATCGCGCAGAAGGCGCGAGAGCGGGGGGCCGAGCGCGACGTCGGCGTACACTCACTCGTTGTCATGCGAATTGAGGAGCAGTGCGCCAATTGGTCTCTTGATAAGGTGCGGAAGGCTATAAAGAATGGAGATCTGGACTGGAGATGGCTGGCAAAGCCGTGAAACGTGGTGTTTTTGGCAGTCTTTTTGCGACTGTTTTGCTAGTTACCCCTGAATTGAGCCGACTATCACGACTTTTTTGCTTATAGTGTTGAGCCTAGACCCCCCTAAAAGTGCAGTAAAATTGGCCTGTTTTGATCGTAACTTGGCGGCCGTTTTAGGGCTTGTAGACCACCCCATAGACGGTCATCACTTGAAAATAAAGGCGATGACCAGAAACGCGCGCAAATCAACAACGAGACGGATGCACGGCTCGAGGCAGGTGTCATTTTGTTCAGCTCAATTAGACGAGCCTATTTATCCTATTTTTATGCCCGTGCAGGCCTTGGTCGTCGATGAATACCGAGATCCGTAAAAATTACAGTCCTTTTGGTGATGTCAAGGGCTTGGCGGTTTTTAGCGGGGTTTCCCGAAAACCCGCCACGCAATCCGACCTGTTACATCCACTTGATGCTGTTAGAGCTAATGCCCAGTTTCATTCGTCATCTCTGCTTTGCCCAGTTTTTTGGCCATGAGCTAGGCTTACGCAGAGTCCGTGACACAGTAGACGATTATTGAACCCAGACCGTTCTGCCTTTAGTGAAGAGAAAGATCCCGCCAACGAGGAATGGAATGTTTGTCAGGGTGAGGAAGCGAGCGCAGGTGTTTGCAGGCTTTCACGTACCTAATGTCCGTTCTTTATTTTCGTTCTACGAGCACATATGTCCCCGTTGTTGTTGTTGTTGTTGTTGATTAATTACCGTCATGAAGACATCTACTTGAGATATCTACAGAATCCCCAAGGGGGCAAGATGACGTGCTAGGCTGGTGTCAACAGCTGAAGAAACCTAAGTACAGTAACCCGGGGCCGGAGCTATAGGCCAAGCAGGCCCGTAGCTCGGACCTGCAGTCCGCATCCCGTATAATCCACACACGAGCTGAGATTGCAATCCTTCTTCCTCTTCCATCTAGCAATTAAGCAGCCCTATTTGACTTATTATTTCGAGCCCAGTATCCGTCAGCGGATTGTCAGGGCGGGTGTCAGCATACCCATATTTATTAACCAGCTTGAAATTCTTCAGTATTCCTATTCCTGCCTGCCGGCATTCAAAACCTCCAGAAATCGAGATCCGTACGATAGGAAAAACTGCAGATGGGAAAACCTCGCGGGAGCAAAGAGGGAAAAACCACTGCAGCTAGCATCCATTGATCAGGGCCATCAAGCCAGAACCCTGATGCCTACAAGTAGCCCGATTCTGTGACTTCTTATAGACCTGGATTAACAGCCAAGACCCGGGGGTCATGGTGGCCAAGGCCCGGAGGCCAAGGCAGCTCAGGCCCGGAGGCCTAAGCAGGAGCTAAGACACGGTGGCCTTATGCCCCTAAGTGCCGAGACACAGAGGTCAGGGCAGCTTAAGCCCGGAAGCCTAAGCAGGTGCCGAGGCCCGAAGGCCAAGGCAGCTCAGGCCCGGAGGCCTAAGCAGGTACTAAGACTAAGATATAGCCTTATGTACCTAAGTGCCGAGTCGTAGAGATCAGGGCAAAGGTCGACGCCCACCTAGATTGAAGCTGGTGTCGTGATTGCTCCTGGCGGCTGCAATAGCTATACTTGCTGCGAGGTCTGAACCAGCATTACAGCATGTATAGGAGCCACAGCGGTGTCGTTTGGCCCCCGCAAGCCGTGCTGTGACCCTGCTGCTATCTTAGCTGCCCAGCTGGTCAGGGCAGCAGGCCTCGATCATAGCCGGAGCCCTTGGGCTGTGGCCGTGGCTGCTGCGTAAAGGAAGTCAACCCTCTCAATCCTTCCTTTATTGCAGTGTTAGTACCCGATGGGCACCAGCTGCTACAGCAGCCAAATTTGGTGGGCCTGAAAATTTTTCCACGCTAGTGCTAAGGGATTTCCCGGTGATCTGCCGGATCTGGTGATTCGCCGGACTTACACCTACTTGCATTCCAGACATCAATCTATAATAGCTCCACAGCCGCAGTCCCAAATCTTCCAAAATTAAACACATAATGAAAATGCAACTATAAGATATGTCTCAGTCTATTTCGCAGTCATCAAGCCATCGTGGTCGCTTGCTATTCCGCTGCGGCCGCCCGGTACCCCGAAATGCGACTACCATCTCCCGATCACTCTCAACAGCTAGACAGGGTCTTTTCGGACGAGCGGTACGGATTGGAGTGGTCGCTGCCTTCCCTTTTCGGTTGTCTTTTGGTAGATCTAGGGCCTGTGATGCTACCGGCGGCTCTGGTATGAGTGGAAGAGCGACGATTATCTCGTCTCGAACGTCCGGACTCTTCTCGCGGCCTTCAGAAGCCACCCGTCGTTCATGTTGCATTTCATGTGCCATTTCCAGATTGCGACGCTTAAGTTCTTGTCGAATCTGTCGATTGGTCTCCTTCTCTTGCTGCCTGGCCTCCCTTACCTGCCGTTTTCTCTCTATTTCCGCCTCTCGTTGCCTCCTCTTCTCCAGAGCGAGAGCTTTTTGCTCCGCCGCCTTCTGCTGTCGCTGAGCCTTTTGCGATTCCTTCTGCAGAACCTCCTCTTTCTTTTGGGCGTCCATCGCCGCTTTCTTTAGGCGGGCTTGAGCGACTTTTGCTGGGCTAAACACCTGAGCTGAATTTGGATCTGTACGATCAAAGAGCAGATCTTTCAGAGCTTTACCGCGCTGTCTGCGCTTCTTTTCTTGGCTAATTGTCTCGCGGAGTCCTTGATTCTCATATCGAAGCAGTTCAACCTCAGATTGCAGGCTTTCGAGGGTGTTCTTCAGCTTTCGGCTGTTGCGGTCAGCATCGATAGAGGATTTGTCGACTACTTTGTCAATAAGTCGGCGTAAATCTCGGGCCGTAGGTTGCTGAAGGGCTAGTGATTCTGCCGAGTCGCTACCCGTATTCGAATCATCATCTTTTTTCTCAGTGATCTGCGATAGGACCACTTCTGGGTCAAAAGGCAGGAGACCAGTCCGTTTCCACCCACTCGCAATGTTCTCGGAAGAGAAGGAAGTCTCAAATGCGTTCCAAAATAAAGTCCAGAACTCACGTTTCGATAGGCCAATAAGGCCTTGTGTTTTTGCTGTCCACTGGATAAGCTGATTTGAGTATGCGGTCGAAAGGGGGCTGAATAGCGACACGTCCAAGGGTTGCAGCCGATGCGTGGAATGGGGGGGAAACACCGCAACGATAATCCGGTGCTGGTCACACCACTCCAGAAAGTCCATATTAACATGGCTAGAGTGGCCGTCGGTAATGAGAAGGCGATAATCACGACCGTTTCGAGCTTTTGCCTTAGTAAAGCGATCGAAAACACCGACGAGCCACTCTTTTCCAAGCTCGTGATTTGTCCACCCCGTTTCTGAGGTGGTAAAGAAGGCTGATTGATGTTCTGGGTCAAATTCATTGAGCCAAGAGTCCTGGACTTGTCCTGGTTTGCCTTGATAGATGAGGAATGGGGGCAGCGATGTCATGTCCTGGCTGATGCACGCCAGGAACGTAATCCAAGATCGATTACCATCTTGCGACGCACCGAGCAATTTGCCTTGCTTTTTGATGTTAATGGAAAATACTCTCTTCGTTCAATTGATCACACCCAAGAGAAATCCTTTCTCATCCGCGTTATACGTGTTGCAGGGTAGGATGTTGTATTTCTCGATTTTTGTGCGGATCTTCCACTGTCAGTTGTGAAAGGGAAGCTTCGTGCATTGGCTTACAAGCTCAAAATAAGCCCTATACCTAGAGGCATTATCGGCTCTCTTTCGCGCGATGTCCAACCCGTCGAACCATATACAACCTAACTCATCACGATTGCGTCGAACGAAGCTGTACGGCCAGTCCTTTCCGACCTCGATTTTGGCGATATCCTGGGCGAAGTTCTTTATCATAGGTAAGGTAGGGGGAATGCCACGCGATGAAAGCTTATGAATATAAGCGATAAGATCCCGTTCTTGTTGTTTTGACAGACGTGACTTATACAAACTGTCGGCATCTCGTCTTGACCGCTGTTTGCCTTGATGTCGGCGTCGCAAGGTCGTCTCGTCGCAATTGAAACGCCGTGCAGTCTCAGCATAATTAACTGATTCCGACGATTTCAGGAAATCAAGGGCCTCATCAATCGGCGCCATGGTTGTTGAGTAATTGTCGATTGATGTTGAGTGTGTGAAGTGGCGGTGATCCGGCGGATCACCAGATCCGGCAGATCACCGGGAAATCCCTTACCAATCGGAGGTGAGCCTGGGGACACGGATAATCTTGTCCGGCAATGAAGGGCGCGGTTTGACATGCCCAAGCCTGATAAATGCAGCCTGATAAAGGCCATCTCTCAGTGCACTCTCTTATCCCCAACATGCCTTTTCCCGGTATCCCTTCCGTCTCTGAATAATCTACCGGGTCTTGTAATGACCATTACTACGCATTATGGCACCAGCTTCAGAACCCACGCAATTGCTTCAATACGACACCCTTTACGAGACGGATCCCAGACATGTCGCTGTTGATGCATATGTCAATTCTCACCTCTTATCCGAATCCAAGAATCGTTACCATTCAGCCCTGCAACGCATCCACCAAAACTCTCTCGATGCCGGCCTTCCAGACATCGCTTGCTCCCCTTCCCAGGCAAAATTCCTTACGCTTCAGATTCAAATGTCCAATGCCAAGAATGTGCTTGAACTCGGCACCCTCGGCGGGTATAGTGCCGCATGGATGGCTTCGGCAGGCCCCGATGTCAAGGTGACGACTATTGAGATTGACGAGAGAGTTGCGTCCGTGGCTTCAAGGAATGTCGCCGAGGCGGGGCTAGGAGCTCAAGTTGAGATTCTCCAAGGAGCTGGGCTTGATGTTCTTCCACAGCTCGTGTCGCAAGTACAATCTCAACAGCGTCAGCCCTTCGACTTCGTCTTCATCGATGCCAACAAACAAGACAACCTGGCGTATTTTAACTTTGCGGTTTCCATGACTCGCCCTCGTACCGCTATCATTGTCGACAATGTGGTGCGTAATGGAAAAGTTGCGTCTGCTAGTGAAACAGAAAAAGACGACCGCGTGTTAGGGACACGGCAATTGATTGAAGCAATTGGCAAAGATGGACGGGTCGATGCAACCGTCATCCAAACAGTTGGAGAAAAGAATTATGACGGGTTCCTGATTGCTCTTAAGAAGTAGGCCCTGCACTGCACCAACTACATGGCCATGTTATTTTTAAATCTCTGGTATTGTTGTAAAGGAATTGTAGGAAGGGCGTGCTATCAAGCTGATGCGAATATATCGCGGAGGTCACATAAAGTGAGGTTGTCATGTAGATGTAGAAAGATAGATGACGAGCTAAGACTACAATTGAGGACGGGAGCATAAGGTCTCCTTTCTCACGTGATGTTACATATAATGCCAGTCTTAAGCACCAGGCCCAAGACTGGTTCTTCACGTATCACAGCCAACCTTGATCAACTTCGCAAGAGGCATTGGGTGATTGAAAATTGGCGCTAGAAAATCATCAAGAGATGCAGTACCATCGAAGACGAGTAGAGACAAACTGTCAACACTGAGAGCTTTACAATTTCAGCAGTTCTTTACTTGGTACCTAGTCCTACATACGATTAAGGCAGACCTTTACTATCCTCCTAGGGATTAAATCCTGAAGAACGAGACTTTACCCATTTCCTGTGGTTACAAGCTGATGATCTTCCGATGATTATCATATTTCAAGAACAAATGCAACAATTCGTCGTTCTGCCCCGTGTCCAACTTACTATTCGCCTTGTATCCTGGCCCGCCAACCCCGGCGACAGGCCATTATTTGACCGGCGGCTCCATACCAATCTCAGTAGAAGAAGCAGCCTTCAGGTCTCTGGGAGACTCCCTTTTCTTTGGTGGTGAGGACACGTACGACACACCCACGGCAATGAGCAGAGCTGCACCTCCAAGTCGAACCCTATGTCGTGGTCAGCACATGGCAGATCCATGGCCATCTAGACTGTACCAGTTTTGCTTGATGAAATCACGACCGCCGCGGCCGGGTGGCGGGATCTGCTGCCCTCCCAGGCCGCCGATGTCGCCGTCACTGCTGACGGTGGATTGCTGCCGGAGCTGGAATCGGCGAAGTGGGGCCACTCCGGCACCGGGCCGGATACAGGAGCGGACCACGCTAAGGGATGCTCGGTGGATGGTCATGTTTGTAATGTAGATTTCAGACTGTCTCGGGAGTTAAGAAATGTTGAAGTTATCGAGGGAAAAAAGCATGGAAAAGACTGCCTTTCATGTAAGATGCTTCCAGTCGACATCAGATGGGAGAGTTTGCAGTGTGATGTCGACATGACGTCGAGACTTGAGGGGAGACCCCCGCTCCCGCCTAAGATGATGGCATCGTGTGACTTGTCTCTATTGCGTTGTTACTGGCCTAGGCTGAATGCTTGAGTAGGCATATTAAGCCTGGGGATCAGTCGCGATAAGACAGAGGAGTCGGAACTTGGAAGCTTGACGTGGGTTACACAAAGACAATTTGGGCGGGATAATGATCGGTGCCAGTCCAGAACAAGTTCAACTGAATGAAAGTCGCTGCAGACTAATTATACAGAACCCATGTTATCTTCCACTTGGCCCTGGGAGCTTGACTGCCTTGAGCTTGACGTCGGCGCCATGGTCGATGAGCAGCTACACGATGTCACTGTAGCCACCAACAATGGCCGCTCGAAGAGGCGTGTGCCACCGACCTTGCAACATGTGTGGATGTCTGCACCGGTTTCCAACAGAAGCTTCACGATCTCCGTCTGTCCAGTACGCGCCGCAGCCTGGATGGGGCAGCCGTAGTAATATCCAGTCCCGTTGACATTGACGCCTCGAGCTAGCAGCAGCTCAACCACCGGGAATTTAAGCTTACCTGCCGTTTGGGTGTGGATGCTGATTAATTGAACCACCTCCACTTACGGGTCTTGATTTCTAAGCCTCAACATCCTCCGAACGACCTCGAATTCATCCGAGCCAAGCCAAAATATTCAATTGATCCATGCCAGCTTACTTCGGCGTGACTCACAACTCATTGAGACGTCGGAAGGAAACCTTGAGAAAATGCCTCTCGCGGATGGATGACAGCCCGGCTCGATGGCTTCAAGCATCGTGAGCCGCTCGCGAGGCAGCAGATTGCGTAGCTCAAACAGAGATGGGGCCGTAATGTGAAGATATGTATTGCCTGCACTGTAGTATAAAGAGCTGGGAAGGTTCCGTAGCAGACTTGAATCAACAAACATCTGGAACACCAACGAACAAACTCAGCACTCATTGCTTATCACACTTGCAACGCTCAGAATGACTACTCCTCAATCTCTCACATTTCTCGGCCTCGGGAACATGGGTTCCGCCCTCGTACAAGCTCTTCTGAAGGCTTCTAACAAAGTGACGATCTGGAACCGCACGGCAGCTCGACCTCAGGTCAGAGCCGCTGTTGAGGCCGGAGCTATCCTCGAAGCGGATGTCCAGAGTGCTATCTCCAGGAACAACACCATTGTCATCTGTCTCCTCGACTACTCCAGAATCAATACTGCACTGGCTGACATTCCGACCCCTGCCCTCGAGGGAAAGACTATTGTCAACCTGACCAACCCCGAAACAAGAACGGGAGATGGCAGACTGGGTCGCCTCCCACTCTGCCAAACACCACTTCGACGGAGCGGTCATGGTAACGCCTCAAATGATCGGTGGGCCCCAGTCATTTTTTGTCGTCAGTGGAGAAACCCTCCAAGCATTCAAGCCCATCGCCTCATTCCTTGAACCGCTCGGAAGGCCGGAATATCTCGGCACAGCCATAGATGCTGCTGCTCTGTCATCCATGTATGGCATGTTTAGCGGAATGTTCGTCGCCATGGCACTCCTCAAAAAGGGACATACCACAGCCGACGAGAAGCTTGAACCTGTTGTGTCAGGCAGTCTGAACCCGTGCTTGGGCGCATTGATACCGTATATTGGACTTATTGCTCGGTCTGGGGATGACAAGGCGTGGGATGATAACCTGGGGAATCCGATCGGATTGCAAGCACAGGCTCTGAGGAATATTCTGGAGGCTTGTCGTGATGATGGGATGGACGATGGGTTTCTGAAGAACTTGACGACGGCGATGGAGGGGGTGGTGAAGGACAGGGGAGAGAATGGCGGGATTGCCGTGATTGGAGAGTATCTCTTGAACGGACGGTTGACCAAAGAGTAATGGCTGGCTACTAAGAGCATTGCATCACTGTTACGCAAGAGCTCTTACAGGTGTTGGTTGTAACCGAGCTTCCCTATCTTGTCTCACACAATACGAAGACCCATGAGTTGCTTGTCTACCGGCAGCAGCCAAGGCGGATAAAACCGGCAAGATGCGGTGTTTTCTCAACCAACGTTGCCGGAAATGCATTGATCCATTGCTGCGTGATACTCAAACTTGCAGCAACACTGAAACCGTCATGCACTTTGCCGTCCGAACTACATGTTTCCTTGGTCGAGCTGAGGTGCTGGAAGGTTGCAGGGGCATTTAATCATGAACAAGGCGTTGAAAGAGGCCCGAGCGGTGGTCGGTGACCAAATGACCCTCTTTGTGTTGTTTAAGACGTGCATCCTGACTGGACGTTGGGTCCGGGAGGGGACACCATTCCGTCGTTTGTTGCAGCCTGATGGCTCTTGGTATTGTGGAATCTCAGTGTGGCTAACAATCAAGCTCGAACTTGACAATTCTCAATCAAGTTCGACTTCTCGTCAAGTCAAGTTCTCAAGTCAAGTTTAAGGGTTATCGTCAATCAATCAAGTTAAAGGAGTGTCAAGTTGTCAAGTACTTGATGCCAATAATTACTTATTTAGGAAGGCTAGGAGAGGATACCCTAGATATCGCTAATTAGCCAATTACATCGCTTAGAACTAATTATCTAAGTTGCGCAAACTCGCAATAGCCCTATGAGGTGTGTCCCCCCGGGCGAAATAAAATCCTACTCTTTCTCCATCAAATATCTATCAACAACGCGTCGAATCGACGCGTTATTATGTCGCTACACGCGTTCTGGGGCCCAAGTCGGCCATCAAGTACTCGAAGCTTATCTACGATGTCTTCTTCAAGGCAATCTACTGACCTAAACGAGCCGCTATTGTCGACCGAGCAAACGTCAGATGTAGAGCAACCTCTCCATCGATCTACCTGCCCTCCACACTCTCTCTCGTTCCCAATTGACTGGGGCGTGCTTCGGCGGCACGATGGCACGATTCTCAAGGGTATACAATATCGCATACGGGACAAGAGGAGCGTGGGCAGACGAGTAAAGGTCTCATGGATCTATTCATATGGAGCCGAGCTGGAGCATAGTAATGACAAGTACTTCCTCTGCGCCGATTGCCATACCAAGAAGCGGTATATCAGTCAGCTATTTGCAGCAGAATCGACGACTGCTGCAATCCAGCATCTTATAGAGTTCCACAATATCAAAAGGCCTTCGAATTCGACCATCGATGACGGCGATATCGACGCCAACAACGCTGCAGAAGTCTTCCAGCTCGTCATGCCATTTAATGAGGATGAATATAAGCAGAAGCTTATTGACTGGGCCATCAAGCTACGCCTCAGCTACCGAGAAGTCACGGACGAGGCGACCACTGATTTACTCACATATGGCAAGCCTTCGCTCGCACGCCTGCTGCCAACGCATCACTCAACGCTCTCGCAGTGGGTGAAGGATTCGATGGCAGCACGCTTGCCATTCATCATCGAATTGGTGCAGTCTGCATTCAGCAACATCAACCTCTCGATCGATGGATGGCGAGCTCACAATCGCAGAGAATACGTCGCTGTTTGCGCACACTTCGTCGACGGCATACATGGGCACTTTCGTTCGTTCGTTCGTTCGTTCGTTCCGTTTAAAACGTTTATGCATGTTAAATCGTTTAACCGTTTAAGGGCATCCTAAAACCGTTTGAACGGTTAAACGATTTTCCAGCCCTGGCACTCGAAAAATCTTTCAAAATGTCAAGTTCCGGAGACCTTCGCTTAGGTCAAGGGCAAGGATCACGACCATCGTGAATAGCTTCACGGTCAGCGTGAACGCTACACCATACCTAGCGTCAGGTAACAGCCTGCTGCCTATTAGATCGGCAGACTGAACACAGGTATAAGAGACCGACTCTCGTCGCTCCTTAGATAGAAGAGATGGTCCTCAATCTACACTGATCTTTTGTTCAATGTCTGCATTCGTGTATCGGTGTAGGTTGACACAAAACCCATTGATATCGGGTCTCAATCCATGATACCAAATTCAAAATCTCGCCTTTTAACTACCAATATGTCATCTGACACATCGTCTATTATTGGTGCTACAGAAAACCCCCCAGATGTCAATGGATTGCCGTCAAACTTCCTCTCAATTATGGACATCACGAAGGACCGTTCAAATACACGCGGACGCAAGACTGGAGGTAAAACCATCTATACTTGCACTGTGTGTGGAGATAAACGATACGACCATAGGGCAAATGCTGCCAATCACGTCAGAAACAACCATCCCGTTGCATCCAGATCCACCAGGTCTGTCTCGGGCACCCAGCGCTCAATCTCCGCACATTTTCGCCCTGTAGCAAGCGAGGACGCACTTCGAAATGCCTTCAACCCGCAAGCATATCAGGAAGCATTGATCAGCATACTCACGCGTCGGAGAGTGCCCTTTTCGGCTATTGAATGGGACGAGTTTCAACAACTAGCTCTCGCGTGTAACCCATACATCAAAGACTCCCTCATTACCTCACGGCGTACGATGGTCCGATATATTGCAGCAAACTATGATTTTTACAGCAGCGAGATCAAGGACAGTCTCACCACCGCGTCAAGTCCGATTCATATCTCAACAGACCTCTGGACATCACCGCATAGACATTCTCTACTTGCTGTGTGTGCACAATGGGTAGATAAAGACTACAAGCTTCGTAAGGCACTACTATCTCTACCAGAATGTGCAGAGAGTCATTCTGGAGAAGCTCAAGCGCAGGCTGTTATCGATACTTCAGAGAAGTACGGGATACAGTCAAAACTTGGTTGGCACACGGGTGACAACGCGACATCAAACGACACATGTCTTGAGTCTATACAACGCAAGCTAATGAGTAGACACAAGGTTAGTTAACTACGCAGTTTAGGCTATAGGCTGACATTGAGTAGATTAAATTCAACGCAAAAGGACGTCGTATACGCTGTATCGCGCATATCATTAATCTTTCCCTTCAAGCCTTCCTTCTCGCATCTTCTAAAGAGGCTCTAGTCGCAGCACTCGAGTCAGCATCCGGTGTCACTGGAGAGGGGCTTCTCTCCCAGTTTTCCGAGGTCCTAGCCTCTCATCGAAAGAAGGCTGCCGCCGAACGAAATACAGCAAAGAGAAAGAACGGAGAGCCGGCCAGAAAGCACAAGCGCAAGGGCAGCACGGTTAGCAATACGTCCGTGATATCGGCTGACGACTTTAGCGGCGTTGAGAATGTCCCTGCATTACGCAAGCTTCATGGCTTAGCTGTGTGGCTAACATCATCAAGCCTCCACCACAATGCGTGGGATAAGGCAGTGGGACTGCGTTTAGGGATGGATAATCGTACCCGCTGGTCGTCCTGGTATCAGGTCATTGATCGTGCGATTAGAAAGAAGGACAAAATCCAGTCCTTCATGTCTGATCACGAAGAGGCCATCGGAGACAATCGGCTATTAGTTGGAGATTGGGAGTTGCTAGGCAAAGCACATACGTTTCTTCAGCCATTTGCTTCAGCAACATTGTATGCAGAGGGAGATGACTCGTCTATCTCACAATCGTTGATGCTGATGAATATGTTGTTACTCCATTACGAAGAACAAAAGGTACCCTTCAATCTATCCACATCAAGTCGATTACTAACATTGTATCAGAAGATATATCAGTCAGATGAACACTCCGACGAACGGATGGTTCGAGCCATCGATATGGGATGGTTTATCCTCTCTAAATACTACCGCCTAACTGACGAGGTTCCCGTATACGCCGCCGCTCTCCTCCTTGATCCCCGTAAACGCATCGCGTATATCAAGCAGAACTGGCCAAAGGAATGGCATGAAGATACTATTGCCATTGCCACAGCATTCTGGCAAAAGGAATTTAATTACGAGCAACCCAGCGACCATCCCTCCACCCCCACGTCGATGCCACCACCGCTGGCAAAGAAGCCAAATCAACTCGCGATACTATCAAAGAAGCTGGAGGTTAGGACTATTAACGCGAATGTTAGGGATGATTTCACTAGCTTCATCAACGTTGATGCAACAGATATCCCTCCGGATTGTACGCCTCTGGAGTGGTGGTGTCAACCACAGCAGAGAAAGCAGTATCCGAAACTTAGCCGCATGGCTATTTGTATTCTTTCTATCCCAGCAGAGTCATCGGAGCCGGAGAGGACGTTTTCTGGGGCAAGAAGAACATGTTCATGGGATAGATTGCGAATCACATGCAAAACTATCGAGATGATTGAATGTACGGGTAATTGGTTACGTCAAGGACTCATACGGCCTCTGCATGAGAATTGGATGGGTCTAATCGGAATCCCACGGCCGGAGGGTGACTCTCGGGACGTTGACGATGATAGTAGGCATTATTTCGACTGGTATTAGAGCAGGCGCAGTGGATATTTCTCACCGTCATAAATCGTTCATTCGTTCGTTTAAATCGTTTATTCGTTCGTTTAACCGTTTGCGATATTTTTGAACCGTTCAAACGTTTGAGAAAATATTCGACCGTTTAAACGGTTTGCCCATGTATGCATGTTGGAACGGGGCATCATCCGGGCTGAATACGACCTCCCTCAGGGATGGCTTTGCGAGAGCATGGTGGCGGGCACGACCTGCGGCGAGCTCCCCTTCTTTTCCGAGACTGATCGGACGGCGACTGCGGTGGTGGAGAGAGATTGTGTCGTCTGGCTTATGGACTGGGAGCAGTGGGCCAAGATTCAAATCGAGCAGCCGGAGGTTGGTAGGGAACTGTTGAGGGTGTCCCTGAAGCTCACTAGCGAGCGCATGAGCGCTATTACCTCGTACATCTTGACGACGGCGGGTTAGATCTCGACCGGAATATAGAATGTCAAATCATCAGGGAACGCAAAATAAATAAAAATGAATTTCCAATTAACGAAAGTACTGGAGCGCATGGGCCATTGATGACCCTTTGAAGCAATTTGAGCTGTCCCAAGAGGACCTTCATTGCGTTGGCGTTACAGTGTAATGAGTGAAGAAAGCGATGATTTCTTAAGCCACAGCGGGATCCAGATACGTAGCTAGATTTGACTCGGAGCCGCGGCACCGTTACGCTTTGACTGGGAGCGATGGGGGAGAACGCGAATTCCTAAGAATCACACTGTTGTTACTCAATCTAACTCTTCGATAATCCTTTTCCTTTTCGTCCCAAACCTCATGTCACCTCAGCATTTGATTCCACTCGCCACAGGTCGTGCTCGGCTCGGGCCTTTTCTTGTCCCCGATACTCCCTCGATTCCCGCGTCAGCACCGAGGACTCGACCACCATAAGAACCAGCCTTGCCGACTCGTGTCCGCCAATCATGAGCAACATTTCCTTTGGTTTTTAAAGTTTTGGAACTTTTGGGGCTAAAGAAGTTACTCCTGACTGGTGACTTCCCCTGCCATATCAATATTTTTTGATCTAAGCAGAATGTAAGAATGGTTAGAGTCCTACCTAATGTCATCTTGATGTCATCTCACACTTCTTGCGTTGAACCCCTTCATAATTGTATGGATGCTTAAATTAAAACCCTGGCTTGTTCAAACTGAACAAGGTGCCGGCGGTTAACTCGTGGGGAGTCGGCCACCAGACGCAGCGCTAACACGTTATGCAAGGCTCAAAAGTGGCCAGCAGTACCTGCACCGCTAGGGGTGCAGCTACCAACACGTGACTTTTGCACCGCTAGGGGTGCAACCAAGATCCGTTATCTAAGAGGCATTTTTGGCCTTTGATAACTACTGCAAATTGGCACTCAATTCAATGATCAACAGCTTCTACAGTATTAATTCAACTTGCTGTGCCTTTCTCCTGTTACAATAAACCCAATTGAGGCTCCCCATTCCCTTGCCGCGGCTCCCCGCCCCTTCCCTGAGGATGCCCTTCCTCCTGAAGGCGAATATGCCTCACGGGACGAAGTCCGTATCGCAATTAATGCTTGGGCAGCGCCACGAGGTTATGCCTTTGTGATCGGGAGATCCAGAATGACTGTCAGTAACAGAAGGGTAGTTACCTTTCTCTGTGACCGTAGAGGGCGCGCTCCTGCCTCTAAGCCTGGAGAGGAACAGTGTAATTTACGTCGTATGGGATGCCGCTTCTCTGTCATAGCAAAGGAAAGCATGTATAAGACCGTATGGAGTCTGAAGCATCGTCCCGAGGCTGGCTTTGATCAACACAATCACGAACCAAGTCACTCTCAACGGGAACATCCAATTCATCGTCAGCTATCAGACCGGCAGGAAGCAACAGTCCAACAACTCGCCAATGCCGGCATTGCGCCAAAGGAGATTAGATCCTTCTTGCATACCAATCTACCTACATTTGCCACACAGCAAGATATCTACAACTGCATTGCACGGGGCAAACGGAAGCTCACTCAAGGTCAAAGCAATATACATGCTCTTGCCGAACAGCTCAAATCCGAGGGCTTCTGGAGTCAATTTAATCTTAACGAGAGTGGTAGAGTTATGGCAGTGTTATTTACACACCCGCAGTCACTAGCATACCTCAAATCATATCCTGAAGTACTTATATTGGACTGTACCTACAAGACCAATAAGTATAAAATGCCTCTTCTTGATATAGTTGGTATTGATGCTTGTCAACAATCCTTCTGTATTGCATTTGCATTCCTTAGTGGCGAGGAAGAAGTTGATTATATATGGGCTCTTGGACAGCTACGGTATATATATCAGCTTTATAAAGCAGCCCTTCCATCTGTAATACTCACAGATCGCTGTCTTGCCTGTATGAATGCTATTGCCTCTCCCTCTTGTTTCCCTGAGTCAATTGCAATGTTATGCTTGTGGCATATCAACAGAGCAGTACTAAGCTATTGTCTGCCTTCATTCACTCAGGGAAATAATCCTCAGGGATACAAAGAGTGGAAGGAGTTCTATAGCCATTGGCATGAGCTTGTAGCCTCAGCAACTGAGGACATCTACAACGAGAGGCTTAAGAAGTTCAAGGAGCATTACGTCCCTGACTATATCAATAAAGTAGGTTATCTTATGGACACCTGGCTTGATCTCTACAAAGAGAGGTTTGTCAAGGCATGGGTTAACCAATACCTTCACTTTGAGCAATATGTCACGTTACGGGGCGAGGGCATTCATCAGCTTATCAAATCTCACATGAAATCCTCACAAGCTGACCTCTTTGCGGCCTGGAGGATTATCAAGCTTGTTCTGCTCAATCAGATTTCCGAACTCAATGCCAACCAAGGCAGGCAGCATATTAGCACACCTATTCGACTGTCTGGAATGTTATATAGCAACATATGTGGTTGGATCTCACACAAAGCCTTGTATAAGGTTGAGACTCAGCAGGAACGGCTATTAAAGGATCTGTCTGTATGTACAGAGGTCTTCACTAAGACTCTTAGTCTGCCTTGTGCTCATATCCTTCAATCTTTACTGGCGCAGAAGCAGCCCCTTCAACTGCATCATTTCCATTCACATTGGTATCTCCAACGCTCAGGAACCCCCCAGCTTATTGTTGAGCCACACAGTCAGTTTGATCGTCTTATAGCTAATTCGATGCTGCTACCAATAAGCACACAGCGTGAGCCCTGTGTATTTAAAGCTGTTGAGAAATCAGTACGAACAAGAGCTCCGCCAATATGTTCGAAATATCATACAGAAGGCCATACAATGAGGTCTAAAATATGCCCCTTACGTTACGACTATCTATTAGAGGGTCGGGCTTAGGCTCAAGCTCTAGCTCAAGCTCCGGCTTAAGCTCCGGCTCAAGCTCCAGCTCAAGCTTAGGCTCCGACTCAGGCTTCTGCACCAGCACACGCAGGAATGCATTCACATACTCACTCTGTCACCCGCTCATTATCTCCATTATCTCTAACAGGATGCTCTGTGGTTTCCGAGACTGTATCCAAGACTATATCCGAGACTGTATCCAAGACTGGGGCCCGCATAAGAACACAGACAAAAACAATAATAACCACAAAAGCTCACCTTCTACTTGCTCGAGCAGCTGGATTAGCATCTCCATTACGAGCTGATAACCCCCGTGCTATCTTCCAACGGTACAAAGGAGCACAACAAGCCTGGTATACCACATTACCTCAGGGGGCCCTTAAGACTAATCAGCAATACCGTAAGGCTATGGGGCTGCCTCTACGTTACAGCAAAGCAGAATATAAATGGTGCCTTAACTACAAGCAAATGGGGAGTTGTTGTAGGGCGGGAAATAGCATCAGAGACTGGACCAAGGAGGAAATGATGAGTTATCTTGATTGGGATAAAGCTGAGAATGAGAGAGTTAAACAGAATTTAGGGATTGAGATGGCAGAGCAGCCTTTCTCAGGCCGGCGAGGGATGCGAGATATCTGGGATGCCGCTGAAAGAGATCTCGAAGTACAGGCAAGAGTATATAGAGATAAGAATGCCTCCTGCTGAAATTTGCACGAGTAACAGGAGACGCAATTGCTGTATATCATTTGAAAGAGAAAGAAAAGGCGAATCTCCGAGTATAGCTTTAGTAATTCAATAGCTTGATTTGACGAAGTTGTTATTAAGTTCATATGCAGAGTGAAGTAGACTCGGTAGTCACTTATATAAGAATATGAGATATAGCTATAACGGCATGATATTATATTAATTGAACTCTTCTATAATATCACTGCGTTCCCTGCCATATCCACGTAATATACCCATTCTGATCGATATTCCAAATATGCATCCCTGACCTCTCTACTGCCCGAAGTACTGGTAGGTTGGTAGTCATCCCTATAGCAGCCGTTGGCCATATAGTGCCTGGAAACGTAATATTCATACCACGATATGAAGTATCGAGAGTTTGAAGCCAATTGTAACTCCACATAGGAGATACATCCGGATGAAGACGCTGCTGCCGTAAATAAAGAGCATCATTGAGATGCCCAACATGCCACTCTCCATTAACCTAGTATCCAAATGGCAGCACCTGTATAGTAACAGGCTGCCCTTGAGGAGGATATTCAGTAGTATGAGCTCTTGCATATGCCTGGGGGTCTGCATAGAGCACAGTGGGGGACGTTGGATCCGTTGGCAGGGTTGTATTAGCCCTCCAATACTCAACTGGGAATGGCATCGTTGTTGGATGAGCAAGTCGGGCTGGGTGCTGCGTTTGTTGGTTATTAGCAATAGGCTGTAGGATAAATGGGTTGTTGCTGTTAATTTGCAACACCCCAGCTGGTGTTACCGAATGATCCACAAAGATAGGGATATCCTGAGGGTTCTGACGCTGGTTTTGATTGCGGTTGTACATTTTGATAGTATTGCTTAGTGTAGAAAGAGGGCTTCTTCCAAGAGGAAGAGTCCTGCTTTATATCCTGCGCGCGTTGAAGTCATCCACTTATATATAACTGCTGTGGTGTTATGACCAAGCATCGTGTGTTATTCACGGCCTTACGCAGCCTGGTACGTTGCCAACGGATCAAATGTGATGCATTGAATAGCTGAATATACACCAAATCATCCTCTTCATTCAATTGCATTAAGGAATGCCTTGTGGGTGCGTGCAAAAGAGATATCCCTTGCACACACTCACAGGCCTAGTATATGACGGATCTTGGTTGCACCCCTAGCGGTGCAAAAGTCACGTGTTGGTAGCTGCACCCCTAGCGGTGCAGGTACTGCTGGCCCTCAAAAGTACCGATGTGACTAAGCATTCGCAACTGATGAACGTTTTATTTGGCAATTGATAGGGGTGCCGCACCACTTTGATACGGGTGCCGCAAGCTTACGGGTGCCGCACTTTTAGCATTTCCCATTGGTCCAAAGACTCGTCGGCCCCGTCAGGCCACCCCGCACAAGGCGGTGAGCTGGTCCGCTCCACCATGCCTTAACACTGTAGGGACCACCGCCACTGTCACGGTGGTGTTTTCGTGGAGTAACTGGGTCATCACAGTCATAGAATGGAAGCAAATGGCCTAGCGACTACGGCCGTGGACGGTAAGTATAATGGCTGGGGGATGTATTGTCCCAAATCCACTGGGGGCGAGCAATTCAACTTATTATTCTTCTGCTGCACTACAGTTTGACTACAATACATTGTTCCTTCTGGCTTTCGGCTGAGTACACAGTGTGGCTAACAATCAATCGAGTTCAATTTTGGCCCTCAAACTCGATTGATTGAACCTATCTCAGCTCGATTGAAGCTTGACTTGACTAATCAGCGACCTCGATTGACAACTTGTCAAGTACTTGATGTACTATGCCTAATCAGGTAATTTTGTATAGACCTCTTGGTGTGGCAATCCCGCGCAAGATCTTTGAAGTAATCCAGTTCTTCTGTATCATCTCAGCTTCAACTGTGTCATCGCTGAGGCCGTTGCGCTTGCCGGTGATGAGCTCACTACCGTCAGAGAATACGCGCTCTGGCTCTGCGCTCATCGCTGGCGTGCTGAAGATGTTAAGAGCAAGTTTGCTGAGAATAGGCCATGCGTGGCGTCGGTCCACCCACCACGCCAGAGGATTCTTAACGCTCATGTCATCCTTCGACGGCACCTACTTTATCCAGATTTCCCACTCAGTCTCCACCTTCCTCCTCTTGCCACGGCGTGGTCGATCTGTTGTATGGCCCCAAGCATCATATTCGTCATCAATCGTCGGTGAGGAAGAAGGAGAAGAGGTCTCGCCTTGGTTGACGTGCTCAGTGGCCACCGTGACTGCAGCGAAACGATCGTAATATACACTGAGCTCCTTCTCTGCTGTCTTTATCCAATCCTCTCGCTTCCACCACTTCTCCTTGAATCCACGAGACCTTTACTCGTCTGCCCACGCTCCTCTTGTCCCGTATGCGATACTGTATACCCTTGAGAATCGTGCCATCGAGCCGCCGAAGCACTCCCTAGTCAATTGGGAACGAGAGAGTGTGTGGAGGGCAGGTAGATCGATGGAGAGGTTGCTCTTCATCTGACGTTTGCTCGGTCGACGATATCGGCTCGTTTAGATAGGTAGATTGCCTCGAAGAAGACATCGAAGATAAGTTTCGAGTACTTGATGGCCGACTTTGGCCCCAGAACGCGTGTAGCGACATAATAACGCGTCGATTCGACACGTTGTTGATAGATATTTGATGGAGTAGGAGGAGGTTTTTTTTTGGGGGGGGGGGGGGGGGGGACACCACCCATAGGGCCATTGCGCTAAGCTGTTTACGTTTCCCTCTCCTAGCCTTCCTAATAAGTAGTACCTAAAACCTGCCTACCCTATACTAAATCCAGCCTACCCTATAGCGGGTAATTATTGACGTCAAGTACTTGACAACTTGACACTCCTTTAACTTGATTGATTGACGACAACCCTTAAACTTGACTTGAGAACTTGACTTGACGAGAAGTCGAACTTGATTGAGAATTGTCAAGTTCGAGCTTGATTGTTAGCCACACTGTGAGTACATATTTCAAGGCCGATGGTTGAACTGCCTGACTGGTCTGAGTTGCTTGACAACGGCGATTGTATTTAACTAGTGGGATTAGTCGGGCTAATTGGACTTCTGCAGCAGCTTATATTGGCGGCAGCGGCATCTGGTGAAGGCATTGTAGAGCTGCAAGAGGGCCTTCATGCACTCATCGTGGTCCTTCGAGTTGTCGACGGCGTAGGCGCGAATCGTGTTGACACCGAGGTCGGCAAGAATGTGGCACGTGTGACGGGAACGTCCGGAGTGCTGGACCCAGGGTGGGGTCGATACGTAACTAGGGCGCACGGGGCAGGCCGCAGGGACTATCAACGCGTCTACGCGTCTACGCGCCTGCCCGCTTTCTCTCTTTCCTCTCCATCGTAGTATCCTCGCAATACAGTGGCATTACCTCTTGAGTTGATCTCATCCGGCCCGTGACATTATACTACGATCACTTATTCTTTTCACCTACATCTTGATTAACTTTGACGCGCGTTGGTGCGGGGTTAATCGTCGCGTCGGATCCGACTATAGATCCTCCTTCCTGCAGCGAGACGCAGGTACGAACAAAACCACCGTTGACTGGAACCAATCAGCAGTCGACATGACCAGGAGCTCCGAGTTGGGCGCGTGGAATGCCGACAAAGAGGGCATCGATAAGGTACGCCGAGAGAGCGCATTTTATCAGCAGGTCCAGGAGTACCTCGCTGAGTCCGTAGATGAGGACAGCGAAGGGACTACCAATACAGAAGACGACGAAGGGATATCCATCAGACCCTTCGCGAGACTCGCAGCAGGTTCTATCGAAGAAGATTTGACCGCTCGAACCTCCGAGATCACGAACAACGTCCAATTCACAGTCTATGTGAAAGACCAGGACGGGAGATTCAGGAACCTTCCGATCGATGCCGACAATATCGAGCCGATGGTCCAGAAATACCCTGAGGTGCGAGCCTCGATAATTCGCAACTTTGCCGAGCAACTGGCAATCAGAGGGCAGCGAGACGAGCTTATCGAGCTGCACAACAAGCACGTCGAGACGACCGAGCGACTCATTAAAGAGCACAATGAGGCAATTGAGGCCGAAGCGATGGCCCACGCCGAGGTGGCACGGATCAATAAGGAACTGGCACGGTTGAAGGCGGCACAGCATACTGCCCCTCTCCGCGAAGACACGCCTCTCGGGAGTGAGACGACGTCCGAGACCAGGCTGCGCCGGAAGCGGGAGAGTGACCCACCCGAGCTCGATGATGGCAAGGAACCGGACTTCGAAGACTGGCTCATCAAGGCCAGACGCAAGCTGCGACGCGACGGCCCACGAGACTACCCTGAAGAGGAGGACAAGATATATTACATTTTCGGCCGTTGCAAGGGTATCGCGGCTGCCTATTTACGACCACGCATGCCCGAGAACGCTGAGGAAGACGCCTTCGAGACCGCTGAAGATGTCTTCCAAGCCCTGACGACCCTCTTCCGGGACAAGAACAAGAAGATCAAGGCGCGCGAGGAGCTCAAGGCCTTGAGATACTATACCAATGGTAGCTGGCGTAGCTTCTACGTCAAGTTCTTGGCTACAGCGAACGACGCTAAGATCCCCAAGCGGGATTGGAAGGAAGAGCTCTATGACAAGGTGCCCGTGGAGATGAAACGTACAGTGGCCACGCAGCGCTTTGCCGAAGAAGTAAGCTTCGATACCTTTGCGGCAGCACTTGGCGACATTGCGGTAGTGGAAGAGGCCTATGCGAAGACCTTGACGAAGAAGGACAGCAAGAGGACCAGCAAGTTACAGACCGGCAAGAGCGATGGGGCTGCCACTGGGAAGAAGGACATCAAGAAGTCAACAACTTCAACACCCAAGTACCCGAAGATCAAGATTGATGGCAAATGGACCTTCAAGGACCCAGAGGTCCGCAAGCTAGCCGAAGAAGGGAGGTGCTTCAAGTGCAAGAAAGTCGGCCACACCCACCAGGAGTGTCCGGAGGGGGGTGAGGTTAACGAGGTTCGTGCCAAGGTTAAGAAGGCAGGGCGGAAGGTTACCATTGTGATCCCTGATGAATCAGATGAGTCATCATCCTCCGAGTCGGAAAAAGACGAGTCCTAGGGGAAGTCTCCTCTCTAGGACCTGAATTGCAGTCACTAATCTTTGACGAGAGCTCAATAAACATGGATGAACTACTCGGCGGGGAGAAGCTCTACCGTCCCTGTACCATAGCAAGTTCAGGGTTGGCAATTAAAGTCAAAGGTCTATGTGATACCGGAGCGGATGGTTATGTCTTTGTGAATAAGGATCTAGCCCTAAGGATGCACCAACAACTGCAGAGCCGTCGAATCCCGATCCCGGGGCGGGGGCTCGTCGTCAAGGGATACAAGGGCGGACGACAACGGATTACCCACATCACGGTGGCAACGCTGGATATAGATGGCAGACGACAGCCAAATTGTCCGATGTTGGAACTCGGGATGCACCAGGACCTGATCATTGGGAGGAAGTGGTTCGAGAAGCACGACGTGGAAATCTCTGCCAAACATCGCCGCCTACGATGGCCTGACGACAGGCCGAAGGATTACCCTAGTCACGATATTGTGATACCGATGTCCTCGTTGAAGAGCCCTAGCCGTTCAAGGCCAGCGGACCAGGCCGACATGGAACGGCGCAACCAATTGAGCGCAGAACGAAAGAAGGCCCGCAAGCCTCGGATCCTCAGGAGGGGAGATCGCCCGCCAAGGAGGCAATGGTCGGATGACGCCAAAGAGAACATAGCTAAGATGGACAGGGCATTGAGGGATACGGCGCCCTCTCTCCCGATGAGGGACTTCAATACCGAGCTAGCGATGATCCAAGCCGACCTGCCACGGCGACCAACGATTGATACTGAGGGGGTCACAATCGAAATCAGTATCGTTAGTGCCAGCAGATGGCAGGAGAGGGTGGTCAAGCAGGAGGACACCGAATGGATCGGTGAAGTCACCCTCCAGGAGATCGACAAGATTATCGAAGAACGACTAGAACGGAGAGAAGCCGGAGGGGAGAACCTTCGCAAGGATACGCCCGAATTGAGGGAGAAGGTAGAGTCGAAGGTGCCTCGACAGCACTTGCACCTGCGGCATGCCTTCTCCAAGGCTGAGTCTGACGTCTTGCCACCCCACCGGCCAGGCGTTGACATGAAGCTGGAATTGAAAGAGCCAATCCCCGACAGTCGGAAGGTCCCGCCAATGTACAAGTTGAGCCTCGAACAGCTAGAAGTGATGAGGAACTACATCGAGGAGCACCTGCAGAAAGGATTTATCGTACCGGCAGCTGACGCGCCATACGCATCACCAGTCCTGTTTGCAAAAAAGAAGAACGGCGGATGGCGCTTCTGTGTGGACTACAGGAAGCTCAACGAGCTGACGGCGAAGGAACATTGTGCACCACCCCTAATAGAAGAAACCCAGTCGAGGCTGGCAAAGGCAAAAGTATTTACGAAACTCGACATACGACAGGCCTTCTATCGGATGCGGATGTCCCCGGAATCCGAGGATCTCACAGCCTTCAAGACTCGGTATGGGACCTACAAGTATAAGGTGGTGCCGTTTGGTCTGACCAACGGCCCTTCGCACTTCCAAGCTTACATCAACCACGTCCTGATGGATCTCCTAGACGTCTGCTGCACGGCATACATCGACGATATTCTCATTTACTCAGAAAACGTCAAGGACCACGAAGCGCACGTCAATGCAGTCTTGGAACGACTGGTCGCAGCAGGGTTGCAGGCGGACATCGACAAGTCGGAATTCTATGTTACAGAGACGGAGTTCCTGGGCTTTATAATTACGACAAACGGGATCCGGATGGACCCAAAAAAGATGAAAGCTATCATAGACTGGGAAGAACCAACAAATGTACGGGGAGTACAGGCCTTCCTTGGCTTTTGCAACTTCTACCGGAAGTTCGTCGAGTTCTACAGCCGGATAGCGCGACCGCTTACGCTGTTGACGAAGAAGGGGATCCCATGGAGGTGGACCGAAGAGGAGACGACCGCGATGAAGGCTATGAAATTGGCGATTTCGTCGGGCCCGTGCCGGGCCTGGTACGACCCTCTCCGCGATACGATCGTCGAGACTGACGCATCAGGAGGTGTGGTGGCTGCAGTACTAACCCAGAAAGGTGATGACGGAGACTGGCACCCCGTCGCTTTCTTCTCCAAGACGATGAACGACGCGGAGATGCGTTACCCGATTCACGACCAGGAGATGCTCGCGGTGGTATTGGCCTTGAAGGAATGGAACGCCGAGCTCTTGGGGCTCCAACGGCAATTCCTAGTTATTACTGACCACAAAGCCCTCGAGTACTTCTCGACGAAACAACGCCTTAATGGCAGGCAGGCGCGGTGGGCGGACGACCTGGCGCCTTATGACTTCAAGATCACCTACCGTCCGGGGCGAGAGAATATTGTAGCGGATGCTCTGTCCCGGAAGTCGTCCGAATTGGCTACGCAGAAGGCGAGACGAGAAGCCGCGTGGAACAGGGTACTACTGAGTCAGGACCTGGTGGTTAGTTCCATTGACTATGAGGTCATGGCCGGCCCCGGTACCGAACCCGATTCCGGGGAAGGGCCAGAGGTGGCATTGATCGGGGCCGAAGCTGTCGAGTCCTCGGTCAGCTCTGGAAGAGAGGCTATCCGGGCGCCGGAGGGATGGAAGCTGCTTGACGCCGTCCTCCGGGCTAATAGGGCCTCTCCCCAATCACAGCCCTACCGAGAGAACGCAGAGAGGAAGGCCGATGGTTGGACGATGAACGAAGGTGTGGTTTGCCGGAGCCAGCGCATTTTTGTTCCGGACGACGGTGTTCTCCGAACGCTGGTCATCAAGGAGAATCACTGCAAGCTCAATGTAGCCCACCCGGGACGCAACAAAACCGTCAGATTGGTTGCCGAGAGGTTCTGGTGGCCGGGCTTATCGGCCGACGTCGATCGGTTCCGTGCAAATTGTAAGCCGTGTGGAAGAGCTCACGCCAATAGAGATAAGACCCCCGGGTTGCTACACCCATTGGAAGTCCCACACCGGATATGGCAGCATGTTACAACAGACTTCCATTACATGCCTAAGGACAGGAACGGATACGACTGCGTGTGGGTAGTTATTGATCGGCTCAGCAAGATCGCTTTTTCTATCCCTTGCTACCGGACGGTGACAGCGAAGGACGTCGCGTATATGTACTACCACCACGTCTACCGCGTTTTTGGGGTGCCGGAGACGGTGACGTCAGACCGAGGACCACAGTTTATCGCCGTCTTCATGGATGAGCTATGCAAGCTTATCGGGGTGAAGCAGAAACTGAGCACAGCAGAGCACCCCCAGACAGACGGGAACACTGAGATCTACAACCAGTACTTGAACCACCGACTACGACCGTTTATCAACCATTACCAAGACGACTGGAGTGAACTACTACCGTCGATGGACTATGCGCAGATGAATCTCTACCACGAGTCACTGGGTATGGAACCGGTGAGACTGTTACTCGGCCACTTGCCCCGATCCCAACTCGACTGGGATAAGAGAACCGACCTGGAGGGCTGCAAAACAAAAGCTGAACGCTTGTCGAGGGAGGATGCCCAGCAGTATGCCAAGCGAATTGCGGACTCTATCAAAGTTGCTAGGCAGAATCTCCACCAGGCGCAGGAACGGCAGATCCGCCAAGCTAACAAGAAGCGCCGGGAACCGGATTTTACGGTTGGGGACAAAGTCTGGGTCGACATGCGCGGACTTACGAGTACAAGACCCAGCCAGGCGCTAGACTGGAGGAAGAGAGGGCCATGGACTATTGTGGAACAAGTCGGGCATTCATACCGCCTAGATTTACCCTCCTCGTGGCACATAAACCCAACTCTACATGCGGATCGGTTGCGGCGTTATCCCGACAATCCTATGCCAGGGCAGGATGAGGACCCGCCACCACCGGAGGTCATCAACGGCGCCAAAGAATACGAGGTTCACAAGGTCAAGGAGTCGCGGTACAATAAGCGCGACAAACAGCTTCAGTATAGGGTAGACTGGGTCGGACACGACCCCGACGATGAATGGTACCCTGCCGAAAACTTCAAGAACGCACCGATGCGACTGAAGGAGTTCCATGAGGAATACCCAGAGGCACCTGGGCCACCGAAGCGATTACAGGCCTGGGTCGACGCAGCTGCTGCGGATACGGACGTACCGGAGCACCCTGACGATAATCAACCGATCAAACTGGGCCGGGGGCCCAAGAAAGCACGACGGAAACGGAGAGTCTTCGTCATCTGGCGATCGTGAGGATTTGACAACTTGCGCTCACGCGGCCGTTTTGAGCGCCTTGAAGAGGGGGGTGATGTGACGGGAACGTCCGGAGTGCTGGACCCAGGGTGGGGTCGATACGTAACTAGGGCGCACGGGGCAGGCCGCAGGGACTATCAACGCGTCTACGCGTCTACGCGCCTGCCCGCTTTCTCTCTTTCCTCTCCATCGTAGTATCCTCGCAATACAGTGGCATTACCTCTTGAGTTGATCTCATCCGGCCCGTGACAGCACGTACCAGTGTACTAACAGGTGTGATTTGAGCCAATGGGAAATGCTAAAAGTGCGGCACCCGTAAGCTTACGGCACCCGTATCAAAGTGGTGCGGCACCCCTATCAATTGCCTACTTCAAACCGGGCCGTACGGTGGGTGTGCGCCTACCCAAAAATGCCACAAATTGGGTTTTGGTGTCACGATGTGTATTTGGGTAGCTGGGCGTGTACATGGCGTGTGACTGCTATAGCTATATCCTTATAGCTGGTTTCAGTATAAGGATGTACAGGGACTCAGAGCGGGGATCATATGCAACTCAGAATATACACACACCCAATCAGATGCCTCACAGAATCAGAGCTCGTGACATTTGGAACTGTGCCCCGATGGACTTCCGTACCCCTGCTGTTGTGTGGGGCGAGCTAACCCATCATACCGTAGTACGCCCCGGACCAGCGAATGTAGATAGAGGTTGAAGCACGAAAAGTGGGGACTTTCGGGACAGCTCGTCAATGTCGCTGACATTGGCGAAGTGGGGCGCCATGGGTTAGTATTCGGAGCGCCTCGGCTGTCAGTCAAACCCCGCTGACCGGGCAAGACAGTAGCTGTAGAAAAGTGCGACCGAAGCCGAGGAGTCGCGGCGTGCCCCGCCGCCTAAAACCACTCACTGCAATCATTGACTTTCAGGCTGACAGCCACTCGCTCCTACCTAGCTCTTAGTCACCACACACAATAACATAGCCGAAACGAACCCGCCAGCAAGCCCGCCGACCTTGAGCTAGATAACGGGTGCTCCAGTCGAAGTCGATGACGTACCGGTTCGTTATCCGCTTTGTACCCCGCTGCTATCAGATTAGTCCACCAGGGAAAATGTGCGATGGAGCCGAGCCAACCAAAACTGCCATATCTGCAATTGTAGATGGGCTCGCTAGGTGTACGCAAGTGGGCTGCAGACGAGCGTGACGCAACAATATGTGCTGAGGAAACTTTTTGTAACCTCCTAATTTAGGTGGCGACCCAAGTACCTGAGCTTGGTTCTGTGTTAGTGGTCGGAAATCTTACTCAGCACATCCAACGTGCTTGTAGACTGCCAAAAGTCAGAATCTCCCACCAATCCTGAGTGGCTAACCTGGATGATCTGACTTGGATGCATGTGTGCCTTAAACTAATTCATGCAGCGTGATATACACCACGGGCGAATCGTCCACAGCCACGTATCGTATCGTCCACGAGTATTCGCGGCAAATAAAGGCTATCTGAAGACCCCCAACATTTGAAGTACCAATGCTACACAACTCTTGGAAACCTTCTCTCCTAGCCGTCGAGATTAAGTGTCGACCTTAAAAGGGTTTCTTTGTCCTTAGTTTGATCTTCATTAGGGCCCATTTTTCTCAAATCTCGGAAGGGAAGCTACAAACGATGGATCCGGCGACTGCGGGTGGCCTTGCAGTCGGGATTGCATCGTTAGCGTTTGATGTGTTTGATAATTCCGTCAAGCGTGAGTTGGCCTGTAACCTGCAGTAGTATCCTCCAAGCATCTAACAAATCACCAGTTTTCAAATTCCTCTCTTCAATGGTGGACATGCCCAAGGAATGTGAGCAATGTCGACTTCAGCTTATGATTGAGTACAACCGGCTCCTTGCCTGGGGTGAGTCGGTTGGCTTGATTGACGTTCCACAAGGATCGCACGTGGCTGTAAGTCTTGGAACGAATGCAATTGAACTTTGTAGCATTGTTTCTCGCATAGGGTGGCTACTCGGAGAGTTTCGAGACATCAACGCGCGCTGGAAGAATGAGCTACACCCGTATCAGGGGAATGATCAAGAAACAACAGAGATAAATGCCATGGATATGGATGTGGTCAAGGAAGTTTCGAGCTTGGCGATTGCCTACGAGAGGACCAAGGAAGAACGCAAGCACTTACGAGGTACCAACCACATTATCAAGTGGATGTCGAAAGGAGCTGGGAATGCTAAAGAGATAATTACGCATCCTTTTCGCGTTCGATGGGTCATGGTGGATAAAGAAGCTTTCGAGGCATTGCTTAAAGATCTCCATAGCCTCACCGAGCGTATTCACGAGTTGATGGGGGACTACCGCGAAAAACGCATCCACGAAACCACCTCCAAGACTTACCGCGAGATGGTTCTTGCACGCAACGACATCAATGAGCTCAAAGACCTGTTCGAAGCCGTCACCAGTCTAATCAAGTCTTCCAAAGACACCGGCGACGCGAATACCGCTTGCCACAATGAAAATGACGAGACACTTCGAGATCTTTTGCGATTGAAGGAAATCAACTGTATCTCCGATGAAATTCTGTTGAAGATTGAGAATGATGTGAGCCTTGACATCGAGAAGGACCTAAAGGACCTACTCAGTGTAAACCGCTACGATGCTATCACACTGAGCGATCACTTTACCTACGCAGAAGCAGAGGGCACAAAAGATCTTTCAAAGCCGCACCGGCCGAGGGGGGTCTTGACCAAGGATGGTACGGACTTCGAGGTTTGGATCGAGTGGAGAACAGTTGACAACGTTGTCAAAGGGTCTGTCCAGGACAAAGAGTCCAGGTTGCGGACGGCAACCCTCGCACAGATGCTCCACAACAACAAGCCAAGACATCTCTATTCACCGATTTGCATCGGATATATCGATGATCGGGAAAGACACAATCGATACGGGTGGATATTCAGGATGCCTGACGGGTCAGATAAAGGCACTACGCTGAAGACCCTTCACAGCGTACTGGGTCAGAACCAACATAAGCCAACTCTGGCTCAACGGATTTCTCTTGCCTGGAAGCTAGCCTCCTCACTTTTATACCTACACACTACGAATTGGCTACACAAGGGAATCCATAGTGGGAATGTCATTTTCTCATTTGACGGAGACAAATTCGATGCCGAGAAACCCATTCTTTCGGGATTCGAGTATTCGCGACCACAGAGCAATAAAACGACTTCTCGCAGCCTGGACCCAAAGTGGGATATCTATCGATGGCCAGGCATCCAGAACGAGGTACCGAAGGCGGCAAACTCTCGAAAGACGTACGACATCTATAGCCTTGGCCTGGTCCTTCTCGAGATTGCCCACTGGAAACCATTGCATAAACTAATGTTTCTTAAGAGATGGCCAGAGCCGTCCGCTCAGGACTCCAAGATCCGTGCCTGGCTTTTGGAAGAGGAGCGTCGCCCACCTTTCAAGGATTCAAATCCCCTTCTCGAATTGCGCAACATTGCTGGAGACAAGTACTGGAAGGCGGTCAGCCGCTGTCTTGTAGCTCATGGCAATATGGGGATGCACATTCAGGAGGAGTCTCATCAGTCACAGGGCTCTGGAGTTGGAATTGAACTTCAGAATGCGTTCACTGAGCTTGTAGTTGAGGAGCTTAAAGGTGTTTCAATCTGATTGAAGTAGATGAGAAGGATTTCCCTGCTAGGTGGGACATCTAGCCTTTACATTGATGAGACACATAACCAATGAACACCAGTATCGGGGGCTCTGCAGAATATCCATCAAACTACTACTGGGTTGAAAACTTCACCAGTTGCATCCTAGACCTCCGTTATAACGTAATTTTCCAATAAGTCCAATACAACAGAATGATGCCTTCTATCTGCAAAGTGTAACGCTGTGTTTCCATCGAGGTCCTCTGCATCGACATCGGCTCCTGACTCTAGTAGCATTTTAACAATATTCTCGTACCCTTGCCCTGCTGCTCCCTGAAGTGCCGTCTGATCATTTTCGTCCTTAGCATTAACATCGGCACCCTTCTCCAGTAGCAATTTAACCACATCCTCGGAACGGTCTCGAGCCGCGCATTGTAGTGCTGTCTGTCCGGTAGGGTTCGGAATGTCGACATCGGCACCACGATCTAATAGGGCCTGCACGATGGCCTTTGACCCACGTTCTGCAGCATGGTGAATCGCACCTATGGTGTTTGGGTCTGCTCCGTTATATAGCAAGCGTTTCACCTCGTCCTCTGAGCCCCTTCTGCACGCCTCAACTAACTTATTGCTTTCTGTCAAAGCCACGTCTCTGGCGCATTTGCAAGCCATGGACTCATCTGAAGCCGATAATGATGACAAATCAGAATCTAGATCTTCAGCTCGAGGGCGTTGAAGTCGATCAGGGTGCAGCATTCTCCGACAGGTAGAAAGAATATCGTCCTGCCAGCCGACAAGATGAAGACTCTGCCCCACCCATGTATGAACATCGTCAATGTGATTGGCGTAAGACGAGACGTGCTGGGATGGGGGCTTCAAGACTTTCTCGAGTTCCTGAAACCCACTGGGGTAGGAATGGGCAAGGAGCATCTCGAGGAACACAGCTCCTAAAGAGAAGATGTCTGCCGACCGACCACGGGTGCTACCTTTTTCCACTTCGGGAGCGCAATACTCCCGTGTTCTTGGGGCGTTACGATACCGGTACGTGGTTGGCATTGTCTTTCCAAGACCCATTTGTGATATGCCAAAATCTGCCAGGAGGACCTTTTCTCCTTTGATCAAAATGTTCGATGGTTTGATGTCCCGATGTCGAATACCCAAAGTATGGATATAGTGCATGACGCCTATTAAACAGCTAAACCATTTTCTGCTGGGGATCTTTCCAGGCTTGAGGTAGTGGTGAAGGTTTGCGTCTGCGCGATCCATGATGACTGCAAATTTGATTTGGTCCTCGTTTCCATCCTCAAAATACGTATGGATGAGCTGAATAACATGATGATGCCGAGCTAAGTGGAGGATTTTGGCTTCTTGTATCAGTTTCCGTTTCTTGGCTTCTCGCGATACCTGGTCCGCTTCGGTGGGAACGATGATGGTTTTCCGGACGCACTTCAGACCTTTGAAATGGCCAGAAGTTCCTTTGACTTTCTCGACGCAGTCGCAGATAAGTGGGGCATTGCCATCAGGTGCAAATGGAATCTCGCCATCTTCCTTGTAAACGCAAGGCCGGTAAGGCTCGTTGTTATCCCGAGAGCTAAAAGCCCCCATGATGGAATCTAACAAGTCTGAAATCTAAATGGGAGTACCTGGTTGCTACCTGGAAGCACAAGATACGAGATTGGGGATCAGAGGCACGCTTACGATTTCGCTTTGGAGCGGGGTTTCGATTTTAACGTGACCCTAGATTAGTTCCGAACAGGGGTGCTAATGAACGAATGAGAGCATGATATGGGGGGCTTATCAGGTCACTGATAAAGCCTCAGAAGTATTTATGTAATCTCGGCTGACGAGCCAGCAAGTGTCGGCTTAATGAGATTCCGGCTCCGAGAGGTGGAGAATAGGTGTCAAATAAGTGGCCTCTCCCCCTTATCCTGGCAGCCATTCAGAGCTCCTAATAGTCCAGACCATTAAGAGGACTATTAGTCCAGACTACAGTCCAGACCATTAGTCCACCCGAGCTGGTACAAGGACAGTCCTCTACCGCAAGACTGGGTGATCGCCAAGTCTGGAAACGGCTGGACCACAAATGAGAGGCCTGGAATGGATTCAGCATTTCGACAAGCATACTAAACCTCGTACAACAGGCGGATATCGCCTCCTCATCCTCGACGGCCATGAAAGTCACCACTAGACGGACTTCGAGCTCTACTGCAAGGAGAACAACATCATCACGCTCTGTATACCTCCTCATTCATCTCACATGCTCCAGCCTCTTGATGTTGGATGCTTTGACCCGCTCAAGCAGGCGTACGGTCGGCAAATTGAGATGAAGATGAAGGCTGGTACACTAAGGATGACTTCTTCCCCGCGTGTTTCGCAGCATTCCAGCAGGCTATGACGGAAAAGAACGTCCAGGGGGGTTTCCGAGGCGCAGGACTTGTTCCTTTTGACTCCGAATCTGTGATTTCGCGGTTGAATGTGAAGCCACGGACGCCGACGCCGTCGGAGGGGGGTCGGGGGACACCCGAACCTTGGGTCTCCAAGACGCCAAACAACCCGACCGAGGCGAGCTCTCAGTCGGATTTATTAAGAGTCGAATCGCCCGTCATCAGGGCAGCTCGCCGACGTCCATCCTTGAAGCTGTTGACCAGTTTGCAAAGGGGACGCGGGGAATCATGCACCAGATCGCCCTTTTGAAGTCGGAGAACCGCATCCTTCGAGAGGGGATGGAGGCACTTAGCAAGCGTCGAAGCTCCAGGCATCTCCATCATCGCCAAAGCTGCCCCTACTGGCGTGGCTGCTAATGCCATCGGTGGCATGACTCTTCATGCTCTCTTAGGTCTGCCAGTCTCAAGGAATCTCACAGACCTGCCGCCTCTTTCCCGGGCCCGGCTCTCCAACCTAGAGCTGGGTTACTACAGCGGTGGTGAGTCGCCTCGCTGCGAATGGGAATCCCTCGCCCTCCTGGTTGATCACATCACGATCTGGTCGAATCTCTGAGACCAGCCCTGTGACCATCTACAACTTATGCGGCGGCTTATACTCGATCGCGACGGTTGGGATGTTTCGGTCATCAGAGGTCCGGTATATGCAGAACTGGTCCACTCGATTGCCTTTCCCTCGCGCCCTTCGGCGCCGAGTTGTTCGGTCGGGTCGCCCGGAACCAATAGAGACTTGCTCCATCGATTCAGAGAGGGAGTCATCGGTAATGCCGAGATTCGTGTGGCTTTCAAATGTCACCGTTCCATCAAGGCCGAGATGACTCCTCAGCAACGGATCGTTGTACGTCGCATTCACCAGCTTCTGGACCGCGTTTTCCACAACGTCTCGCTCGCCGTTCCGAAGTCCCATCTCGCTGCTGACTGGGCGAAGCAGGGATCTCACGTAATCCAGCTGGTGTCTGGATGGAAAGGCGGCTCGTGAAGCAAATGAGGAACTGAAGGAGAGCTTATTCCAGACCTTTTCTTGTTCCCTTGCGAAGGTGGTCCACGGGATAATTCGTCGAGGATAAATTCGACCGGTTGGGTTCGTTGTGTCTCATTCAGTCGTGAGGGAACGGTCGGTTACCACCTTGATAGCAAGATTGAGCGAGTGGCATGTTTCAAGATACTGGTGTAGTGTTAAGGGTTGCGATGCGCTCGCACGTTCTTCGGCTTCTTCGCGTCGGCCTTGTTCGTCGAGGGTGCGACTTTCAGCAGCTTTGCGTAAGCGCTGTTCTTTCCGAAGCTGCTCCCGCAGCTGCTCAATAATGGGAAGCGGACGAATGTGAGCGGAAGGGCGAGTATGGCCGTCAACAAGTCGTTTGTTTTGAAGCTTTAACCAAACAAACTTGGGAAAACATCGGGGCAACGAAGCAGCTGCCTAGGACATTACGTCATTAATGGATGTCTGCACACAGCGGCTCAAAACAGCTGGGGAAGGATCACGCCACCTCGTCGGGCGTGATTGGATGCATTCTACCTTCAGGGGCCGCCGCAGAAGAGTGTCAAGTCAAGGACGTGCTTACCGATGAGTTGATCTGCTGATGGAGGGTCAGTCGGGGGTGAAAGGGAGTCGAGCAGAAATTGGGTCGACACACGTCACGCACAGTCCAGCGGAAAACAACGCACCCTCTGAATCACGTCCAAGTCGATGCGGCACAGTTGCTCACTTCATGTCCCAGAGTAAGTAGCTGGGCTGCTGGGCGTGGGTATCAACAGGATAGAATTGGGATGGAAGCAGAAGATGGGGTGAAAATGCGCTCGATCGGCGATAGAGCGATTATTGTTAGATATACGGAGGGCCCATTCAAAAGTCTTGTCCAGAGGAAAAAACAACGCTAGTAAGTCAACCAATCATTACGAGGCTAAGTACACTAAGTACTTCCTGATTTCCATAAGCCCTAAAAGATAGCAGATTACAGCACACCAGCGACCGCTAGATCCTAGTCAGCAGCGCCTACTACCCCTGAAGTTACAGAGGCCATAGCGGATAACTTGACGAGACTGTCACAGCCTCATGTATCTCAGGTAACCGACAGGGATGAATGGATGTGGCGTTACTAGCGCTTGGACCAGACTTTTGAAAGGGCCCTCCGTATACCCTAATAAAGATGTGATGAAATAATCGGGGATCCTCTTTTTAGTCAATTCGGATAATCCGACAATTAAGAGTCTCACTGTCTCTCGAGCATCGCACTTAAAAACATCCTGGGTTCGATTCCAGGCTCCTTACCAACTAAAAAATATGACTTGGTCCCAGAAATTAAATGGGCAGCTAGAATGACTACGGCCCTTCAAGCTGGGGGTGTGTGTTAGATATATACCCTAATAAAGATGTGATAAAATAATCGGGGATCCTCTTTTTAGTCAATTGTTGGATGATGACCCTGTATGACGAAACCTCGGATAGATTGATATCCTGACCTTAGTCAGAAGGGGGGTATTCCTGGGAACTCATACCTGCACCGCCGGCGGTGTGTCACGATGTGTATTTGGGTAGCTGGGCGTGTACATGGCGTGTGACTGCTATAGCTATATCCTTGTAGCTGGTTTCAGTATAAGGATGTACAGGGACTCAGAGCGGGGATCATATGCAACTCAGAATATACACACACCCAATCAGATGCCTCACAGAATCAGAGCTCGTGACACGGTGCAAATAAGATCACGTGACTCGTGCAACCCCGGCGGTACAACTATTATCCGTAATGTAAGAGATTTGCGTAAGGCGTTGGAAAGGGGGTCAACTAACATACTACAAATTGGCCCCCCAATTCAACGATCAACAGCTTCTACAGTCTCAATTCAACTTGCCGCGCCCTTCTTCCACTGCAATGAACCCAATTGGGATTTCCCGTCGCTTCCCTGATGATGTTCTTCCGCCTGAAGGCCAATTCAACTCACGGGAGGAGTTACGTACCGCAATCAATGCTTGGGCAGCGCCACGAGGTTATGCCTTTGCAATCGGAAGATCTAGGAAGACTGCCAATGGAAGAAATGTGACTATCTTCAACTGTGACCGTGGAGCAGGGCGCACTCCTATCCCCAAAGCCGTAAAGGATCGGCAGCGGGATACTTCAACACGCCGTACAGGATGCCGCTTCTCTGTCATAGCAAAGGAAAGCATATGTAAGACTGTATGGAGTCTAAGGCATCGTCCTGAGGCTGGGTTTAGTCAACACAATCACGAACCAAGTATCAGTCAACTGGCACATCCAACGCTTCGTCAGTTAACAGGCCTAGAGGAAGCAACAGTCCAACAACTCGCCTATGCCGGCGTTGCGCCAAAGGAGGTTAGGTCATATTTACGTATGAACTCAACCACGCTTGCCACACAGCAAGATATCCACAATTGCATTGCACGGGGCAAACGGGAGCTTGCTCAAGGTCAAAGCAATATACATGCCCTTATTGACCAGCTCAAGAGCGATGGCTTCTGGAGTCGAATTCGCCTTGACACAAGTGGCCGAGTGCTAGCAGTGTTATTTGCACACCCAAAGTCACTGGGATACCTCAAGTCATATCCCGAAGTGCTTATATTGGACTGTACATACAAGACCAATAAGTACAAGATGCCTCTGCTTGATATAGTTGGTGTTGATGCATGCCAACGATCCTTCTGTATTGCATTTGCATTCCTTAGTGGCGAGGAAGAGAATGACTTTATCTGGGCTCTTGGACGGTTACGGGGCATGTATGAGCTTTATGAAGTGGCCTTTCCGTCAGTGATACTGACAGATCGCTGCCTTGCTTGTATGAATGCTGTTTCCTCTGTCTCTTGTTTCCCTGAGTCAACCTTGATGTTATGCATCTGGCATATCAACAAAGCAGTCCTGAGCTATTGCTTGCCCGAATTTACTCAGGATAAGAATAATCCTCAAGGGTACAAAGAGTGGGAAGAGTTCTATGGCTCTTGGCACAAGATTGTGGCCTCAACGACTGAGGATATCTACAATGAGAGACTCGAGAAGTTCAAGGAGCGTTATATCCCTGACCATATCAATGAGGTGGGCTACATTATGGACACCTGGCTAGATCTCTACAAAGAGAGGTTTGTCAAGGCGTGGGTTAACCAATACCTTCACTTTGAGCAATATGTTACATCCCGGGGCGAAGGCATTCATCATCTTATCAAATCTCACATGAAAACCTCGCAGGTTGACCTCTTTGAGGCCTGGAGGATCATCAAGCTTGTCCTTTCAAATCAGATTGCTGAACTTGAGGCAAATCAAGCCAGGCAGCATATCAGCACACCTCTTCGGCTGTCTGGGGTATTATATGGTAATATCCGTGGCTGGATCGCACACAAAGCCCTACAGAAGGTTGAGGATCAACGGCAACGACTATCGAAGGAACATCCTGCGTGTACAGGGGTCTTCACTAAGACTCTTGGTCTGCCTTGTGCTCATTCACTTCAGCCTTTACTAGAGCAGAATCAGCCCCTTCAACTACATCATTTCCATTCACATTGGCATCTCCAACGCTCAGGAACTCCCCAGCTTATTATCGAGCCTTACATACGGTTTGATCGTCCAGGGGCTAATTCAACGCTGCCACCAACAAGCACACAGCGTGAGCCCTGTATATTTGAGCAGGTTGAGAAGACATTACAACCAAAGACACCGCCAACATGTTCAAGATGTCATGAGCAAGGCCACACGATGAGGTCCAAAGTATGCCCCTTGCGTTACGAGCATCTATTGCAAGCTCCCGCCCAAACCACTACGATAACGCATACAACAACACATACATCTTCTCGCTCTGTAACCCGCTCACTATCCCCGTCATCCTTAGCAGGATCTCCTACAGTATCCGAGACTGTAGCTCACACAACAATACATACAACAACACATACAACAACTCGTGTACTGTCTCCTTCCGCAGCCGGACCAGCAACCGTCATAGCAGAAAATGCAGTAGCAGTGCCTACATTACGAGCTGATGACCCTCGCGCTATCTTCCAACGATACAAAGAAGCACGAGAGGCCTGGTATACTACATTGCCTCGGGGAGCCTACAAGACCAACCAACAATACCGGAAGGCAATGAAGCTGCCTCTACGTTATAGCAAAGCAGAATATGACTGGTGCCTCAACTTCAAGCAAATGGGGAGTCATTGTAGGGCAGGAAGCAGCATTAGAGACTGGACTAAGGAAGAGATGATGAGTTATCTTGATTGGGATAAAGCTGAGAATGAGCGGGTTGAGCAGAATGTAGGGAAAGAGATGGCAGAGCAGCCTTTCTCAGCGCGGCGAGGCATGCAAGATATCTGGGATGCAGCTGAGAGGGATCTTCAATTACAGGAGAGATAGTACAGCGATAAGAACGCCCCATGCTAGAATGTAAAAGGGCAATAGGGAATGCAATTGTAATATATCACTAGGAAGAGAAAGAAAAGGAGAATCTCTGAGTATATGTATGGTGATCCAATGGCTTGATTTGAGATGGTTATGGCCGAGTTCACATATAGGGTTAAGTAGACTCAGTAGTCACTTATATTACCCATAAGATAACGAGAGATATAGCAATAATAACACCAAATTGAATTCATTGAACTATTTGATGATACTACTATGTTCCCTGCCATATCCACTCAACATACCCGTATGGATTGATGTTCCAGATATGAATTCCTGATCTCTCTATTGCCCGGATAGAGGGCTGGTTCAGGGTCATCCCTACCGCAGCTGTTGGCCATGTTGTGCCCGGGACGCTGACGCCCATATTGCGATAGGTAGCATCATGAGCTTGAAGCCCACTATGAGTCCACATAGGATTTATATCCGGGTGAGGGCGCTGTTGCTGTTGCTGCATAAGGTGATTCAGGTACCCAATATGCCACTCCCCCCTAACCTGATATCCAAATGGCAGTACCTCTGTAGTAACAGGCTGCCCTTGAGGAGGGTATCGGGTTGCTTGAGCTCTTGCACGCGCCCGGGGGTCTGCATACAGTACAGTGGGGGAGGTTGGATCTGTTGGCAATGTAGTAGAAGACCTCCAAAGCTCGATGGGGAATGGGGTTGTTGCTATGTGAGGAATTCGGGATGGGTGCTGTGCTTGTTGGTTATTAGGAATAGGCCGTAGGATAAACTGATTGTTGCTGTTTACTACAAAAGGCCCTACTGGTGTTGCTGTATTATCCACATAGATGGGGATGCCTTGAGCGTTCTGATGCTGGCTTTGGTTGCGGTTGTACATTTTCACGATGATATTTGATGTAGGAATAGAGAGCTTCTTCCAAAAGGGAAAGCCCTGCTTTATATATCGTATAATATGCTGTGATTGACTTACATCGTGACAGCTGTGGTGCTACGATAAGGCATTGTACGTTATTCACGGCTGTAGGCAGACTGATCCGTTGCCAAGAGATGAAATGATATACATTGAATAGCTGCATATACAACAAATCACTCCTCCATTCAATTGTGTAAGGAAATGCCGTGATGTGTGTGTGCAAGAGAGATATTACACGCCCTTTCCAACGCCTTACGCAAATCTCTTACATTACGGATAATAGTTGTACCGCCGGGGGTGCACGAGTCACGTGATCTTATTTGCACCGCCGGCGGTGCAGGTATGAGTTCCCGGTATTCCTCTTCCGGCCGATCCGGATGACCGGCACGAGCAATCATCAACATCATCATCACTGTATTGATCCCTATCCATTTAATCGAATTGACCGTAACGGATCCATCATCAATTCGGATAATCCGACAATTATCAACCCCACGTGACCGCGGAGCTATGCTCGGCCTTACCTCAGGCACTCAGACCCACTCACTAAGCGAACAGACGCGCGGATCACGTGGTTCTGTGAGTGGGCCTGAGACCAAAACTTGGCAATTGGGTGAGATGATGCTTCGCTCCCATACAATTTTGCGGTAACCATAATGTTTCGCCGAGTCGACTCCCAACCCTACCGATTACACCACGTCATAAAGGCCTCAATGCAACACAAATCAATAAGATAACTATATTAGAAGGACCCCACAAGCCCCAAATATCCATTAATTCAGCTTTTGTCCCCTCGCGACGCGTTGTTGTGGAGTTGTAGCCGTCTAGGGCAGTCGCGTCGCGAAATCTCCAGCATCAGCAAGCGACCACGACCCGTTGGTACCTCAATTTCCTTGCGAGGACGACTCCAACCAGACTGTCGGGCGGAAGTGTTGGGTTCGACGAAGGCCGGCGGGCTGCTCGTCGCCGGGAGAGAGGAAAGAGGTGACGTAGGCGGCTCCATGTCGATATCCGTATCACGGACTGTCGGTATCGTGGCGTCGTTCAGGGGAGTTGATGCTTTCAACTGGCGGGCGTGGCACGTTCTCAATAATACGCAGTCTTGTAGATGTAGTCACGGGGACGAAGCTTCATTCCCTACAATTTTTAAGTTTTGGCCTCAGGCCGTCTGGAAGCCATTGCCCCTTTCGGGAAGGCGTCGCGCTGTTAAGCGCGCCCAGTGGGTCTGAGTGCCTGAGGTAAGCTCGGCCCCGAGCTTTGCGTTGGCCTTTCCGTACCTGGCCCATTTTCTTTATAACTAGTCCATCCCCTGTCCAACTACGGAAGGCCCTTTCAAAAGTCTTGTCCCGGCGCTAGTTCAAAATGGGAAATCTGGTGGCTGTGGCTGGGCCAAGTACGTCAAGTACTTCCTCTGGGATCTTATCCACTAAAGGCTGCTAATTTTATAGCAGCTTGCACTCACTGTGTGACATGGTGGTCCCCCTAAAGCCCCTAAAGCTGTAGGGGATATAGCAGCTAACCTACTGTGGCTGGGTTCTGCACCTTGTACCTCAGGTAACCGACAAGGATTGAGGGATGTGGCGCATTTAGCGTTGGACAAGACTTTTGAAAGGGCCCTCCGTACATCGAGATCTTTTGTCTATTTCTCAACCAGTTCCACAATTCAATTTTTTACTGTTCTTCCCTGGCGTCGACGGTCACTTACTTATCAAAATGAACACTGCAAGCCTTCCCTCAGCCGCGCGTCGCCACGTCTTGATTTACTGATGCCGAGGATCTAGGTCAAATCTTTCTGGTAGGGACAACGACAATATTTCACACTCTGCAACCTTAGCCACTTACCAATTTTTTAACATAGGCTTGGTTGGGGTTCCCTCTGTGCTGGTATGATCATCTTCGCATCCGATTGCTGGCTACATCATTGATGATTACTTCTCACAGCGGGCGGCGCGGCATACTACTTTGCGAAGAAGAGCATCAATGCGGACCGAGCAGCCCGACTAGATGAGCAGCGGAAGAGAAAGTCCACGATCGAGTACCTCGAATACTCCCAAAAATTCCCGAGCAAGACAACGATCCCGCGTGACAATGGGTGCCCGGTTATGAACAATAATGTAGCACGAGCCCTAACAATAACAGCAGGCTCTCCCGGTCAGGAGTCCAGCAGCGACCCAGCAGCATCCAAACCGGCGCCAGCGACCGAGGATCAAGCGGTGTTTGAAAAGGGCAACCACGAGAGTAGCACGCGGCTCAGAAGTCCGAAATGAAATCGCTTCTCTTTAAATCTGCTGAGCAGCAGTTTCTGCATATGCTGAATGACCTTGAGCATCACCCATCATGATGGCCCTTTTGCATCGCGTGAGCAAGGTCGACCTGGCCGACAACTATGAAGTTTGGAGCATCATGTCTCAATCTCAAACCCCAACTTAGTCGTACATCATCATACACACCTGGTTCTAGGTATCTACATCTGCCCAGCGCCAAAAGCTGACCAGCATCCTTGCAATCCACACCAAAGATCAATCTCAATATTTTTACTGCGCTATGACCATGCTATCCCAAACACAAGCCAAGACGAAAGCCATTCTGGAATACCAGTAATAATCACTGTTTGCATTGACTACAGATATCGTCCGTCTTGTCAGCCATTCCCTCCTAAAAATACACTCTGCTGAGGCTGGCCGGAGGCGGGTGCGCCAAATAACTCAAAACTCATCGAATCCATCGTCGTATTCCACGGGTCCACCGATTCTATGCCAGTCGGGTCAGCACCTGTTGTCAAACCTGACCTCCACGAAATGCCACCGAAGCTTACAGTCCCTTGCCAACCCATATTGACTCATACAGGTCCATCGGCGCCATGTATGATGCGGGATCGACATTCACGCCTCCGAGGTTGTCCACATCCATATTATTCTGCTGCGCCCGGGCAAGTCCAGCGTCTTGGTGAGGGTCATCGCCCTGCTGGCGGGGGTGGGTGGTTGCTGCGGCTGCGGCTTGCCCGTCTGGGGGGAGTGCCGACAAAGGGCTGCGGTCGTCGTTAGAGGAATCACGGCGCTTTTTAGATCCAGAGCCAACGACGGACCCGTGGTCGTAGATATTCTTCAGCGCCGCGAGGGCTCGCCAAAGAGGACCCGACAACTCTATGTCCTTGTCTGGATTGGGTACTTGAGACTGGGGATCGCCCTGCTCCTTGGCTGTGACCGAGAGCGCCGCAATCAAATCACCTTGCAGCCGGCGAACCTCGGGATCAGTCCTTGTGTCAGACAATATCCCGAGGAGCAGCGCAGACGACAGGCCGTGGTATGTGAATGCCCAGCTTCGAGTGGGAATAACTGACAATTGATGCATTGCGAGAAACATTCGCACAGTCTCCGTCAAATTGACCTTGCATCGCTCAGCCAATATGTGCTTCTGTCCAGCATCAAGCTTAGTGCAGTCGCGTCTCAACGAGGGTCGACAAGCAACTGAGGTGATGTATGATGTGTGAAGGCGAATAGCAAAATATTGGAGACGGTCCACCGCAGTCTTGCAATGCTCCTTGTGCTGGATCTGAGGTGTGGCCCGAGCGAGCAGTGCTTCCACTGCTTCACAGTTATCCAGGATCTGAGTGTACGACGCTGTGGCTATGACATCTGGGTTCAATCGGCGAGAAATGATCTGTATGAGATGATACATGGTTTCAAGATAGGTGTATCCGCCTGCCGGGTTTTCCGAGCAAACGGGTATTGAACAGCTTGGGATATTCGTCATAGGCGACCTGGTAAAGTCAGTTAGAAATGACTGCCAGGGGCTGATACCTTACCTATCAAAGGAAAGGGATGCCAGAGTATCATGCCAAACACAAGTCCACCAGATTCTTCGGCGAGCTATTCCTTTCGCCATGTCCAGCGCACCGCTCTCACGGCCATCTGGGGTGTGTGGCACATGTAGGCCGAGGGATTGGGCCAATCGACACGTCAGCCCCAGGAGAGCCCATGAAGCCTCGGCTTTCATGTCATTGAGAAGAGCGAAACTGGTGAGTAGTAGTGCTTGGATCGAATCAAATGTCGGTCTTGCAGGTCAGATGGCAGCTCAGTTGAGTGGGAATTAGACCCTTACCGAAGGAGAAAGTTTCCCAGCCGGAGGAAGTGGGATGAAATCTGAATATACTTCTGAGAGTCCCGTGTACGTACATCATATGGCGACTCGTTGTATTGGGAGCCAACAGCTAGCACGGCGAACAAGACAGCCAACCACGATGCCGACACAGGTCGACCACTCTTCACGGAGCTCCTCGCATTGCGTGATCGGTCTTCCAGGTAGACCATGAGCTTGGACTCGAGATCATCCCAGTTCACGACGAAACCCCAGAACGGTTGAGGGATCTCTTTGTAAGTTTGAAAGAGTCTGCTACGAATTAGACACCTCCTGAGAGGACAGAATCGAGGTAATTGGCTTGCTTGACAACTTCACGATCCGAAGGCAGCTCACTGGAGATGTCCTGAGCCAACCAGTTGAGGTGCCGCGATGACATAAGAGGAAACGGCGCTGAGGTGTCCAATCCCAGGATCGACCCCATGCTTTGGTGGATGTCTGACGTCACAGCGCCTCCTGGATTCTGGTGATCTGGCGAGGACTGCTCTCGCAGCAAGACAGGAATACTGTTCTGGCCCAGAAAACGTGACGCCTCCGTGGCATCTGGTTCATCTGCGCTGACTGATTGGCCATAAGTCAGGACTGACGACGAGACACAACAAAGTCGCAGACTTGCCTATCGTACGCAGCCAGTTTGAGCGACGCTGTTCCTGTTCGGCAACCTCATCTCGTTCATACGGAGCCGAGTGCCGTCTCTTCCTCGCCTTGGAGCCCTTCGAGTTGACGGCAACTTGCTTGCTGGTGTACGAGTGGTTCGGCTCATATGAGCACAGCTGCGCGTAATCTCGTTCGACGCAATTCTCGCATGGCTGCTTATTGTCACACCTGACTTTGCGCTGGCGACACGCCCAGCATGCAGTGCCTGTCATGGCCCGGTGAGCACGCGACAATGAGGTTATACCCTAGAATGCGGAGGCCGTACGGGGGGGTGACCAGCCGAGCAACATACCATATTGGACTTTGCGGCTCGCCTCCTCAGGTGTCAGATCTTCCAGTGAAGCTTCATCAGGCGAAGCAAGCGGCTCGGCCATGGCTGGTCGGTTTCAAACTGGAAAGCTGCATGCTGTGGGAGAATTGAGGCTGGGTGACGAGCTTCGCGCTCCGGCAGCGCTTTGAATGCCGAACGCCGAGCGTCTCGATATGATGGAAGGGAACGTTCGACGGGTGGGCAACGGCTGACGGAGGATATTGCACCGGGCTGACAATCTACCATCCTGTACCCATTTGCCTACGCGTTGGTCTTGGGTGCGTGGGGCACCCTCGTAGCCACAAAAATCTGGAACATCAAAATACCTGCTAGAATCGTCAGCACAGCCAAAATCACAGCCAAAAATACCACCCAGAGAACTCTTCCGGTAGTCAGCCGTCATTGCCCATTATGGCGCCTTCAAAGCCGAAATCAGCCATTCAAGAAGTCGTTGCCGCTACTCGTAACAACGCTAACCGCTTCACTCGCACCACCCGCAACACCACCAAGAAGAAGACTACGAAGCCGCAGCCACAGCCTAATAGCTATCGTAGCCTTGCTAGAGGACTGAATACAAGCAAAAGCGCTTTTCATAGAGATATGATATCGCCAACTGCGAGGCCTGGCGGCCGGCCGTCACTGCTGACAGCGGAGGAAGCTTGTCCTAGGATATCTCTTGGCGAATTTGGGTACGTGCTATGGCCTGTTAGCTACGACTGCTAAGCAGAGCGGTGGTCCTAACGCCGAGCTGGAAAGGCAGAAGACCGAAGCGTCCGAACTGTAAATAGCTTAGCGTACTGGCCCTATGGGGGCATATTCCCCCCAGGGCGAAATAAATTCCATTCCATTCCATTCCATTGGCTCCCCTCAGACATAACATGATGAGGTAAGCGATCATCCTGTCAGAGGGGTGTGGGTCCGGTATCGTATGGATCTGGTTACAGGAATATCGCCCTGTTACACAATCGTCGCAAGACGGTCTGAGTTACCGTTTCAAGGACCTCATAACAGACCGATAACTAAGGTATCGGCACTTGATAAATAGGGCGATTTTGTCGCGCGATTTGGCCTAGGTGCCCAGCATTATTTGAGCACCCGGGTGCCCATGTAACGTAATCCACCCCCTACTCGTACACACCACCTAATGCAGCCGGAGTTGCAGGGCGACCACGAGCACCATCTCGAGTCGGGGCTGCACCAAGAGAGGTTGTCCGGTCTGTGGAGGAAGCTGCTGAGCAAGAGGCAGGTGACCGAGAAACGGGGACCAAACTCGTTGGCGACACTGGTGGATAAGTACGGCAAGTGCCATGAAGTGGTGGGTCGTGGGGCATCCGGCACCGTGCGAATCTCACACAAAAAGACGGAGAATGGCGCTGGCGAAGAGCTGTACAAAGGTTGACGCTTGAATTATTGTTAGCTTCGACCCACTGGTCAGGGAGGTGATTTTTGGTAGCATTTTCAGCGCAAGACACGACCAGTACAACGCTTTAGAAGAAAAGAATATTCAATAAATAGCTAAGAATATTAAAATAAATGATAAAATATATAGAAAAGCAAAACATACTATAAAAATACCGATATTTTATTACTCACTTTAAAATCCTGAATACTATTTTACTGTATTTTATATTTACTGAATGATCTGATCTATAGGGTAGATTTGCTCTCGGGCTACGTAGAGACATGCCTGTAGTGACCAATTTGACCCCCCTGCTCGTGTGGGCCGAATCTAACAATAATTCAAGAGTCAACCTCCGTACGTCTATCCTCGTCGTGACCCTTATCTCGTCAGGCTCACTCACTTATGGCTCGGACTCTCGCTAGGGGCATAACCCCTGCTTGGTTCGGCGGCAACACCAACATCGCAGAGCGTCGATGACTGGGGAAGATTCGAGAGGTTCGGTGCCGCAGGATGAGCCTGGACTCTTGGCGGCAAGCCGCTACTTGTACGTTCGCAGAGCTCAAGATGCATATCCGTTGGAGACACTTGTAGAATGCGCCGCGTACAGTTCAGGACACGAACTAAAAGCATTGGGGGCAAGGCGCATAAAAACAAGAGGACAGTGTTGGGGGAGGCAGCAAAAGCTCGTAACCGACTAGTGAGACACCCGATTCCGCCATCCTAGACAGCGACGTACCATAACACGAGGATGAGCTGGCGAGAGAGTCGTTGACCATCGGTCCCTCCTTCCCTTTGGCTCCCGCGGCAAGTATCCCTCTCCTTGCATGACCCTCCAAACGTCGTCAAAGAGACGTAGCGCCTGTGCGCTGCCTGTAGTCTTCACCGCGCCCCGCAGTGTGTGTGCGCAGGTCCGGAGTCGTCCATGAGACAGGCTTTTCAAGTTTGAGGTCGTTGGGGTTCGCGACGGCTTGTAGACCGCGTGAGGCCGCCGGCGCAGGACCTTCGTTCTCGTGGCTACGGACTGCCGAGTGCTTGCGCAGGACATCGGCGCCAGGAAGATAGGCTGCTGCAGCGGGCACCATTGTACGCCGTCTAGATCTCGTCGCGGTGGCCGTTGAGGCCATGCACGGGCAACGATAATAGGCGGGTGAAAGAAGTAAGTTGCGGAGGTGGGTGGCGACTCTGGCACGTTCTTCAGCCTCTTCGCGTCGGCGTTGCTCTTCTTTGCGTTGATGTTGTTCCTCGAGGGCGCGACCTTCAGCAGCTTCACGTCGTCGTTGCTCCTCTTCACGTTGAAGTTGCTCCTTCAGAACGCGACCCTCAGCCTCCCGGAGCTGCTTCGGTAGCTTCTCAAGTTCTTCCATGGAGGCTGATGAATTTCTGCATATGCGGAAGATAGGCGTCAGGAACCGGTTTGTTTTGAGAAACCCAAATCAAAAGGTGGGGCTGGGTACGCCTGTTTTTGCCTAGGCAACTTTTCCTGCGCGTTCCTGTCACATAATTTCATGGATCTGTTGCTGAATTACCTAGGTTTTGCTTTGAGTGCTGCAAGTCACCTATGGGGTCGTTATTCAGATCGTCAGTGTAGTAGGCTCTCGTTCAATGAGCCAGACTGGTTCGAGGGTGTCCTGTCTCGTCGACAGAAGGTCCCGAATCGGGTGGTTTTCTTATCCCATCCATCTTGCAGCTTGTTAGCTTCACCGATGGTGCGACACTCCTGTGTGATTACTGGAAGCACTGGCCCTGTGGGGTTTGTTCCCCCGGGCGAAGTAAATTCCATTCCATTCCATTCCAAGGCACCCACCAGACTTATGAACATCGACCCCGTCTGTCAGCTAAACGGTGCTTCTTCGCTCAACCAAGAACTAGCGACTCCGCCGGTGCTCTTCCAACATGGCAACCTTTCGGCGATTCCGTCCCGACGACGTCAACAAGTTCTCCAAATGCAACCTCGACCCATTGACGGAAACAATACGAGCTTAGTTTCTATCTCCAATACGATGCAAAGTGGCCGTCTCTCTTCCAGGTCTGCGAAGACATGGATGGAAACATTGTGGGATATAGTGGGACCTGATATTCCATGTTTGAAGTCGTCAAATTAATACTGACTGTCTGCGGCAGTCATGGGCAAGGTTGAATCTTCACCTGATACCTACAAATTCTCCGAGCACTACCTCCCGTGGCATGCGCATATCACCGCCCTGACCGTAGCTCCAGAGGCACGAAGGTCGGGCATTGGCAAGATCTTGACTGAGCAGTTGGAAATAGCCGCCGATGCCAAGAATGCCTGGTTTGTCGATTTGTTTGTCCGAAGAAGCAACCACCGAGCCATCGCCTTTTACAAGAACCTAGGCTACAGCGTCTTTCGCGTGGTCAAAGACTACTACGACGAACATGCCACTGATCCTACCAAGTCGAGCGAGGATGCCTTCGACATGAGGAAGCCCATGAAGCGAGACAAGGACCACCAGCATATCAGGGATGATGACGAGCGCCACGAGGTTAACCCAGACGATGTCTGGTAAGAATTGTTTAACAATACAAATCGCCCCCCCCCCCCCCCCCCCCCCCCCCAAAAAAAAAAAACCCCAGCGCACGCTTGACACCACGTCTCCCAGCACCCATCTCGGCTAACTGGGCTCAAAAAGCACCGTGAAGAAGACTGTGAACACATACGCTTTACTTTGCACTGATAGGATGCGTTCATATAACATCAGAGTTGTAAATAGCAGATAGACCCAGCCTTGCTTCTCACCTTCCTGTTTCGTATTGGTAATGTAGAGAAGGAGCGTTCATCTCATTCTAAAACGGACCGCTGAAGGCATACCGCAATTTTGTTACAGACTTGACCAACGTACGGTTAAGAACAAGTAGGTACGAACTTATAAACCTCATTCTCTTCTCCGCTATGACTCTGTATTTCTACTCCTTAATCTCGGTATCGCTGACGGGGTACTCAATCCGGAGGATTTCACAAAGATTATGGACGGAAGCAGGACTGGAACGAGGCCGCTCAAAACATCCCTGTCCATTGATGCTGAAGGTGCAAATAAGCTGCAAGGAGCCTGCGGGCAGAGCACGATTGTTAGCTCGGGGAGCCAAGTTCCGGCACGTGAAAGGTAAAGGTAGCGCTGCCCCGCCTTCCACGCATTGCACTAGGTGCTGGGCTTGCCGCAGGAAACTGGGCCATCCATACTTTTCTTTTTTCCGCTGGAGACAGTGGATAGAATGTAGATGGCTGCAGAGTCGGACTCAGTGGAACGTGGCGGTATGCCCCGCTAACTTGGCCTAGCTGAAAGAACCCCCTTGTCCAAGGAGCTCGTTGTCCTCACTGAGATAAGACACGGTAGTCCCATTGCCCGCTCTGCCATTGAGGCCAATGGCTTTGGAACAGAACGAGAGGTTCCGGCTACGTATGGGCACAGGTTGACAAAGATACTGAAGAGCAGAACCGCTTATATGGGCAGATAAGACGTTGTGACTTGTGTCGATTGCTAATGATAATCAGGGACGATGATTCTAGTCAGAATGTTCCTGAGTTGGTCTAGGTATCAGTCTGGCATGACGCTGAGTAAGACTGCCACGCCCGGGCGCGGATGTATCAGTCGCCAGGTCTGATGACACAGTTATATCAGCTCACCTTGCGTCATAATCGCGTGGTGTCTGCGCGAATCCGGCACAATCCCCGAAACTCGGGATTTGGAAGGCGATGTCTCAGCATGCCCTGCAAACTGGTGACAGTCTCCCTTCCTGAAGCGTGGACCAAACTTACTCTTTGCTCGGCAATGCTGGACCAATCCGATCAGAGACGGTGTACTTGGAGGCAAAGAAGAGGGGCGACCGGAACAGCGGCACATGCACCAACGGCCGTTCCGAGAGCCAATCTTGTGACCTTCCCCATTTTATTTCCACCTGGCAGTCGAGCAACCAAATCCCATCAACATCGGGGGCAGTCGCTGTCGAGTCGTCTCACCCAGTAGACCAAGATGAAGCGGAAAGTTCTGTCGACCCAGATTCTAGCAAGTAGAGATGACTCTGCTATGCCTCCATCGCCCTGGCTTCCCATATGCATTTTGATCGCCATCGTGCTTGCTTTTTTTCTGGCCCTTCTCTGGCTGTTAGCGTCCCCTGCGCTCAAGCGCCGACTTGAGCTAACCAAGGTGCTAGCCATTCATCTTATCCTCGCGGTCTACGAGGTCTCCGGCTCCTAAATGAAGCCGCCCCAGTCCAGGCACTTGGGCAGCTGAAAGCTGAGATTCAGGGAGCAGCAAGCTCATTTATTGTCTGGTAGGCCAATTTTCAATAATACAACTTTGCTGGAACCCCGCTGACGATCTTGCGCCTATGAGTGCGGTTTGCTTGGAGCTCCTCCTCTATGAAGACGATGTTCGTTGCTTACCATGCAGACACATATTCCATGCAAGCTGCATCAATAGATGGTTTCTACAAGGGCAGTTCACCTGCCCCTGTTGCAAGTAAGTCTACCTTGTGCCCTTCGGTGCCTTTGGAAACGGCCGCAGAGAAATATAGATGTTAACAGAATGGAAGACGTCGGCTAGTCCCCTGACTGGTCCGTACCTTCCCCTTCTTTGTGTTACTGCTATACCGCCGCCTCATCGATCGGAAGCGGCGCATGAGCATAGAATCCTTCAGTCGTACCAGCCGAACATGCACTAACGTCAAACTCTGGAGACCGAGTCTGAAACCATCCCGCTAAGTGACGGTCCCCCTGAGACAACGGGCCAACATGTCCCGTTGAATTGGATACAATATGAACAATATGAACAGCCGGCTCGTCACTGGGCGGGACGCTGACTCTTGAGCGACCGTTTTCTTTAAGCCCTCTCCCATTCCGTTGCCCCAATAGCATCTACCGCACCTGATAGCCTTACCCTGTCAATTGAACTGTCCGGCTTATGGGCGTCAGTCGGTTTGTTTTGTTCCGAATGAGCTCGTATGTATTTTCCTGGATGGTGGGCCTAGAAGGCCCGTTCTGAGAGCTGGTATCGTCATGCGCCAGCCCATGACATAGGAGTTAATGTGTTCTAGTTGTAGGGATGGAAGGTGGCGTTCGATGGATATGGAATGTCTCCAGTAATGCTGTCGGTGACAGGCGGACGAGGTCTAGATCGGGGCAGTTTCTTTCCTCTCACTTCGCTGGCTCGGCGAGCTTCTTGAGTGCCGTGTCGTTGGTGTTGTCTTCAGGCGCAGACGATGCCAACTGAACCGAAGAAGGCGTGTAACATGACACACGATCCTTGAAATTACAAGCAAAACAGCGCCAGCGGTAGCCGGCATAGTGCGTCACACAAAGATTGCGTACCTGATTGGCGGCGCTGCTGATACCGAGAAAACCCCCTCCAAACCCGAATTTCAGGATCTTCGTGGAAATCAAGTGAAGGAATCACGCCACCATTGCGCACAAGTGGGCTGATCCCAGACCCGTGACATTTTGAGGCGCCAGGGAGGTACGAAAGCATTTTCTCGTTTTGCGCTAGACAGAGTACCGAAGGTAACCTCGGCCCCATGCTGTTGACCAGTAGCAAGGTTGAGCTTGGGCCAGGCAAGACGCTTTTGGCTAGATTAGTCCACTTGTCGCAGAGATCTGGCATGGTTCAGCACCGGGGAGTCGGCGCGCTGAATTGAGCTCACAAAAATTATGCGAGTAGTTTGCGCCCATCGACAGCACAGATTCGTTCGAATTGACCCCGCTCCTCCTGTTCCCATCGCTTGCGTCATTGCCTCCTTATTGTTTCACCCTCACTGGTGATGCTGTATCCGGATTGCTATTACAGTATTCCAAAGTCAGAATGGCGCGCGAGGCAAGTTTTTTCTCATGGAGCCCTCTCACAGCCATATCCTTGCTACGATTGCCCACCTTGTTAGAGTCGCTTTTCAATCAATATTGGCTGGTTGGGCTAACTTTATCGCTCCACCCCAGCGCGAGAAGTTCGTCTCCAACCAATGTCGGCGACTGCCCCAGAATCGCAGGACTGATTTCGGAGCTACAGGCAGGCCTTTCTTACTCGCCTCTGCGAGCAGGCTTGGCGTTACGATGATATGGTCACCCACGTGAATGAAGTCGCGAAGGCCGGTGGTGAGCTCAGTTTCGAGGAGCAGAACCTTCTCAGTACTGCATATAGGAACGTGGTTGGCACCCGCCGTACCAGCTTGCGGATCATCTCCTCGATAGAGGAATCGGAGTCAAGCAGCGAGAAGCATGCGACTGCCATCCGGGAATACCGCCAGAAGATTCTGAATGAGCTCGAGAAGTTCTGCGAGGACCTTTTAGTGGCGCTAGATGAGAGACTGATCCCCAATGCGACTGCAGGCATGTCCAAGGTCTTCTACCACAAGATGTATGTTATTTAAACTGTCTTAGCCGCGGGTTTACTTACCGTGCTTTAGGAAAGGCGACTACAGCCGTTATCTGGCGGAATTCGGGTCGGGCGAGAAGCGCAACACTGCTATTACTTCTGCCCAGGAGGCCTACAAGGTAAGTTCAAAATCCATTGATCCGATTTAATCAGCGTTGTCGGAGATGCTTATATATTCATTTGTCTCTAGATTGCTACTGATGTTGCCCAGATCGAGCTTGTCGCCACCCACCCATTGCGCCTAGGCGTGGCTCTGAACTTTTCTGTCTTCTACTACGAAATCCAGAACTCGCCTGATCGTGCTTGTCATCTTGCTCAGAAGGCCATTGATGATGCCATTGCCGAGCTCTGCTCCCTGTCCGAAGAATCCTTTCGCGACTCCACACTCGTTATACAGCTCCTCCGTGACAATCTGAGTGTTTGGACGTCTTCGGACATTGATGCGTCCGAGACTCACCCTGTGGCTCCGGAGATGGCTGAGGAGGCCGAAGTCGAGGCGCCCGAATTTGTGGCCAGGAGGAAATGTGCTTAGGATGATATATGGCTAGGAAAATATGTGGCCAGGATCTCTGTGCTGGGGACGGTAGGTCCAGACCGAGTGTGTCACGGATCTCAACACGGGATCACAGATGTAAGCCGCAAAAATCCAGATAACTATGCCATCCTTATCGCCGTCAAGTGTATCGCATGGGTTGACGACCTCGTTTGCCAATGCAAGCATTTGAGGAATATCAATGTCTTTAGATCCGTCACAAGGAGGCTGTACGTGGCGACCTTAGGTCTTAGATTGGATATCTCACTCCTTCCTTCGTCATGCTTGGAATGCCGTCTCCTTGTTCAGGAAATGCAGCATTCAGACGAGCACTGTGGGGATTCTCGATTGTGCGCCTGGATTGCGTGCTGGAGAAACGAAGACTTGATTACGGGCTGAGGGGTAACTTTTATCCCCAGCTTTCTGTGGTCCTCACCAGAGTGTGACGCCCCAAGGTCCTGACATGGGCGTGGTGCGCAGGCACAGCAACGCAAGTGGACGTCTCTCAACTGAAAACTGACTCGGCCATCTGCACCAATAATGCTAATCAAGGTCCATCGAGTGGCCTGATTTTCCTGAGTACAGCACATCGGCGACTAGCGGAGTCTTGGTGCCCGACACACCGTTAGAGAAACTGGGCGTTCGTGTGTCGCTTAGAAGTGGCGTTTCATTGGGGGAAGTCTCTCACCGATGAAAATCGAGTGGGGCACATTTCCAATCAGCCGAAGGGGGGCAACAAATAATGGCTTGTCTAGGATTTTCCCATCTCTCCAATTTTTTTCTTCTTCTTGACGTTTCGTTTCCCTTCCTGTCCACGCCTTGGACCACATCCGCCCACTACAACCCAACCGTCCATTTCCGTGAGCTCCTCGGCCGACCTACCATCGACCCACCCCATCCTTTTCACTACTGATCACCTTTCGGCCAGATACACAGTCAACGGCTCTGTTCGACATCCTTCCCTACGTCACGAGCGACAATGAGATTTACGCGCGCTATATCCTTGACCAACTTCCTGGTGGCCAGTTCTGCACTGGGTTTCCAGGTTTTCGTATTATACCCGTGGCACAAGGAGTTAGACGCGGGATTCGACGACCTGAAAAAGGAGCACTTGAAGGTTCTGGATGCGGTGGGAAACAGTCTGAGCGAGCAGCAGCGAAAGGCCTTCTCGGACAAATTGAATAAACTGAAAAGTCAAAGCTCGAGAAGGTGGTGGTGGCTCTAAATACCCTTTGAAATAGACGGCAATTGCAGCCTGTTTCCGTCTGGTCCATTTGCTCACTGTCGGTAGCTTCCACCTCGTTGCCAAACATGCACCAAGTCCTGGAGAAGCAATCAGCGCCGCTAGGGACAAAATCCTGCCGACCAAGGACAATCTTATGGCCGCTGTAACAAGGGAAAGTGCCCTGGATGTGTCTCTATACGCAAGATACGCCCTAGCTGGTGCCTTCTGTTGTGCTTTCACTCATGCCGTCCTCACTCCCGTCGATGTGTAAGCAAGCCAGCTCCTCTCCTCCTTAATGCGCGCCCACGGTTTAGATCGTCCCTTTTGTGACGCTGTAGTCGCTTCCCTGTGCTCGAAGGTACCTCGTCAAAGGGGTTGGCCGTCATGCACAACAACGTCAACTTCCCCCAATCCACCTCCGCACAACGTTGACTGGGCATAATCTTATCATAATCCTCCCTACGACGGCGATGCTGCTGACACTTCTCCCTTGCGCAGCGTTAAAACACGGATCCAGCTCGATCCAATCACATACAGCAGCAGCCTTTCTAAGAGTGCACGGCAAATAGTTTCATCAGAAGGGCCAGCGGCTCTCCTGATAGGGCTGGGCCCGACCATAGCAGGCTACTGCCTCCAGGGTGCTTTCAAGTTTGGCGGCTACGAGTACTTCAAAGCCCGCACAATCGACTATCTGGGACACTCAACTGCTACCAATAACCGGAATGCCGTATACCTGGCCTCAGCCGCTGCGGCCGAGTTCCTTGGCGATATCGCACTCTGCCCATTCGAGTCTGTTCGAATACGGCTTGTGTCTCAACCTAGCTACGCCACTGACTGTGTGAGCGCTCTCGCTAAGCTGGCAAGAGAAGAGGGCTTTAGTGGGCTGTACTCCGGCCTGAGTCCTATCCTCCTCAAACAGTGCGTGCGGCTAGGCGGCCAACCCCGGCCGCCAAGCTCGATATATCTGGCTGCTAACCTAGACGCCGTCGTAGGATTCCGTATACGATGGCGACGTTTTTAGTCTACGAGAAGGCTATCCAGACAGCATATAGCGTTATAGACAAGCGGGAGCTCTCTTCGATGGGAGTCACTGGCATCAACCTTGGTGCTGGGCTCGTCTCTGGTTTGGCCGCCGCCGTCGTCTCTCAACCGGCCGATACGATCTTGAGTAGAATCAACAAGGAAAAAGCAGGCAGAGGCGAAAGCATAACCCGCCGCTTAGTTCGCATCGCGGTCGGGCTTGGACTACGCGGTGCCTACACAGGAATGCAAGCACGCGCAATCATGGTTGGCGGCATGACGGCAGTCCAGTTCGGCATCTATGGGGACATAAAGAAGGTGCGTTTGAATCTTACATCTCTAGCTTCGTCATGATGGTCATTGAGACTTCTGCTGACCATGCTTTGTTTCAGCTCTTCGGAGCAACCGACGGAGTGGAGTTAAGCCAGCGCTACCATGCTGCAGACCGTTGTTCAGAGGAACTGCGACGAACGGTTGTGCAGCCCATAGAATGATCGACCCGAAGTGGCGACAGATGAATTACTTCTGATGCCTGTTGGAACCTGATATTTGCGGGAGTCGTCCTGTTAAGCTCCGACCGGAGTTTCATCATGCCCTTTTGCTTGTAACAGACGTAACTTATCCTTGCTTCACCGGAATAGGGTCTTTTGGTCATTAGTGGATACTCGCTACTAGAGGCACACCAGGGACGTTCCGTCGGCATTGAGTCCTATGCTATGGTGGGTGATGTAGCTACTGTCGAGTTCCTATTCACGGTGACTTGAATGGGTGCGATCGTTTCCATCCATGATCTTGCCATACGTGACGATCAGGTGTGTCAGCGGCAAGAGCTCCTCGTGCAACCAGAGGCAGCTGGCTGTTGCGTGTTTGCAGAGGGAGATGATTTCTGTCGCACATTTCCATTCGAAACCACGTGTATACGTACAAATATAAGCAAAACACCAATTGACCAAGTGCTACTATCGTCCAGGTCACCAGTCCGCGGGTTAGTAGGTGATGGAGGGCTCCTGCACGTCTGCAATTGTGTGCTTGCTGCATCCGCGCGAACAGCTCGTCAGGCCATGCGGGATCGCAGGTTGGCAACCCTAGGTGCAAATGCCAAATCAATAACAAGCATCAGGCAGCACCGCTGACGCTCCTGCCCGAAACTTTACCGTCTGGCTCTTTGTCACCAGTCGACGGAGCCATACCCACTTCATGACGTTGCTGTATAAACCGAGACTGCGGACTTCACGTCCTGAGTCCTTCGGATTTCGGACGAATTAACCGCACCTCAAGCTGTCTTTTTCTCTCCAGCTTGGCGTATTGCAAGCCACAGGCATTACAGAGCGTCTTGGCGCCGTCCGGGCCGCGTCTCCACTCGGGTGTGTCGATCCTATCACAGCTATGGCATCTGCCTGGGCTCGGGGCGAGCTCCGTAAAATCTGAGCATTGTATCCTTCATCGTGCTACACAAACTCACTCTTCGCCGCTTCTTAATGGAGTCGTGTTGAGGCATCATCCCGTCTCCGGACATTAATACGTCATGTTCTTCCTCGCAAAGGCCCTTTATTTCCCCTCTCCCACCAGCTTTCTGGTTCTGGATCGACACCTGTACCAGATCCCTCACTTGCTTCAACCAATGCTTGATGGGTTCGATGCTTCCAAGCATGTCGCTGACCTCTCGTTCGGTCGGTAGTCTTTCGGGAATAAGGTGTGCTCCGTGCTCTTCTCGGGCGATTCCGCTGTAGGCCTCTGCAAAATTCAGAATCGTCCGGGACGACGTTCCAAGCTAGAGACTGTATCAGCAAAATCCCATATTCGAGGATTGAAATGTGCAAAACTTACCCGACTCAGCCAGTCCTCATAGATCCAGCTGTCGAAGTGTCCTTCAACCGTCGCGTTGTTTCTGGCTCGGACAGAGTGATCTTCCTCATCAGCATCAGGCACTGGTCCGGGATCGCACGGCCTCGGAGCATTGGGTGGAATAGCGTGTTGAGGGGAAATGGGATATGCAGGCAGTGGCATCTGGCCAGGAGGTAGATGGTCCGACTGATAGGACACCAGAGCTGGTAGCGGTGGAGGAGGGTGTGCATGCACTTCCTTGAAGGGATGAAGAAGCTGGGGAGGCTTTTGCGGCTCGGTATCGTAATGTGGAGGAGGAAAGTCTGGCTTTGACGGGCTCGGGCGTCGGTCTGAGGCTGGCCGTAGAGATGCAAGACTGCTGAAAGGGGGGCTCGGCGAGTCTGAGGCTGCCCGAGCATCCTGTCGGGGAGAAAATGGCCAAGCCAGAAATAGGGGTTGGGGGGACGAGTGCTTCTCAATTTCGGGGTATGGGCGAGGAGCGGGTGCGAAAGGCGAAGGTAGGCTGGAGTCAGACTGCATGCTGGAGGATGGAGTGAGATGGGAGGAAGAGGGCTTGGTGCCTGAGATGAATTCGGAGATAGATGGCAGCGACTGGCGATTCGAACGTTCGTTGTCGTCAGTCGGCTTGCAGAGCTCCACGGAGATCATTTTGGAGACACCGGCACCAGAGGCAGCATGCAAGCAGCCGGCTTCCTCGCCAGCTGAGATCAGATGATGAGGGTTGCTGTGGGTATGGTTGGAGGTTCCCGGTACGGGCCTAGTGCGGAGATCCGGCGAGAAGAACGGATGCTGATATAACTATTGTTGTTGGGGTTAGGCGGAGTGGTGTTGATATATTCCGAGGCGGAAGAGTGCTCTAAGTATGAAGGAGGGGGGAGGCAAGGTGGATATCTCTACGAGAGAGCATCAGCGGCTCCAGTTTAGGAGTTTAGATGGATCTACTCCAGACGCAGCCGCTGACGATTTTTGGCGCAATTGAAAGTCATAGATACGTCAGGCTAGGCTAGATCTGGCCGGATTGATTTGACGATAGCGGGGTCCGGCGAATAGCCGAAGCACCTCGGATCAATACTGGCCCGTGGTGCCCCACTTCGCCAGCGTCAGTCGACGCTGGCCAGTTGTCCCCAGTTCTCCCGTAGACAGCGGTTCCCTACTAATGCATACATGATTTTAGGCTCCCTCAGGTCCTTTGACTCTTTGCTTCGCGGCTTCATACCTACGGCTGACTTCATCGGCTCCGTTGATACTCGCATCCTCCAACCCGAAGACTCATATGGTCGGGAAATTTGTAGCCTCGATCGACCCAGCGGTCCTCGAACGAGATTCGATTCGGAGGTGAGCACCACTCTGTCGTCGCTCCAAATGGAGTCAGCTTCGGTTCCGTCGCCAGTGCTACCCTCACCATCGATCCAACGCCTTCCGAACGAGCTCCTTGTTCAGATTTTCAGCTTCCTCGACTCGCCGTCAAATCTTCAAGAAAGGCTTCGTGAGGACACTGTTAAAATCGCTCGGCCGATCGATGCCCGAGCCGACACACCTATCAAGAACGCTTCCCTCGTGTGTCGCCTATGGAGACAGCTAGTGTTGCACTTCCTCTTCCGACATGTCGTTTGGTCCTTCCAGCGGTTCTACAAACCAAAAAGTGGTAACATTCGCTCTCAGATCCAAATCCTAGACTTTCTGAAGCACAATGGTTTGTCAAGGGATGTGGAGAATTTCACCATCCTCATGGATCCCCCGAAGGAAGCGGGAGGCTTCAGATACGCCGACGGCCAGTTCTGGGGTCTCCTGCCGCCGGACGACTACCCCACTCAGCCACCAAAGTCTTGGAATCTCCTCTGGTCTGTCGTCCCTACCGAATCGCTGCAGTTTTCATCGACCCTGCGTCCCGTTTCCGCGGACGGGTTGAGTGCAAGAGACTCAAATGCATCTCCACAGCGACTTTGGGATAATAATTGGTTGTGGCAAACCATATTCGGGGAGCTTGATCCGCTTCGAGTCACCTTGATCGGCTCCGTGGATATCATTTCTTCGCTTTTGAGTCGGAGTGTAGATTTGACAAGCGAGTTGGCGTTCAATAGCCACTATCATGTCTTGTCACTTTCACGTACATCCCGTTCCGTTGCACACCCTGGCAATTTAGTCAGCGCCCTTGGCCTCTTGCCGCCCCACGACCAGGGTATAGCTGGAAGCCCGATTCCTAGTGATTTATTCAGCATTCGAGATTGGACTTCGTTGCTCGTCAATGAAGGATCATTTGTCCCTGTGTACTCAACTTACGAGTTCTTCCACTACTCGCTGCCAACTCTCTTACCTGTCATTCTAAGCCCCAAAGACTCGTCCTTCACCGGCCTTCAGAAGACACTCCGCTCGTTCTCCTACATCGGTACGTTCCCGCTCTCCCGTCACATTCGGGACGTCGTGATCCCGTACTGCCCACCCGTCGAACACCTCTACATACAGATCATGCCCAGAGCACTGGACTTCTGGCCCAGCGACAAACTTGCCCACATCGACATTGCCGACCTGTGGCTGGAGTGCGACACTGCATACTCGTTGATCATGCGCGAGGTCTTCGGCCCGGATGCGGAACTAGGCTTGAAAAGTGTCCAAGTTTTTGAGAGCGGCGATGCCGCTACCGAAGAGGCCTGGAGCATGGCGATGCAGTATGTCCAAATACATGGCCTCCGAGGCTGGAAGATGAAGCGGGACGGCTACTTTGTACGAGAGACTGTGGATTACCCATCTGAGGTGCTGATCTAGACATGACCAGGCCGCAGGCAGCCTCAGAACCGGGCTGCCTGTAGGCATCAGGGTTCTAGTTGCTGGCCTCGGGGTTTGGGTGATGGCCCTGATCAATGGCATCCGGCTGCAGCGGTTTCCCCCTCTTATCCGTCATGTTAATCATGTTTCACTCTAAGGCACAGGTCTCGTAAACATTTCCATCGATGGAGGCAAGCCCGCAGTCGCAGAGGAATTCCGCCAACCGGGTTTTGCTCTCCGGCGGACACATTGCGAGGCATATATCGACCACGCTGAAGTCCACAATCCAGCTCAGCACATCATCCTGGTTCGCGTTTGTGGGCCATCCCCTCCAACCGTCATCAATTTTCCATTTCCTGCTGATGGGGTTCTAAGGAGAGCGAAGGAAGACAGTTGTGAAGCGCCTCTGGCTCGTCGGGCTGATGGCACACGGACTAGATCCGTCCACCACTTTTCGTTCGTGTGGAGGAACATCTGATGCTCGAATCCAGTCAACCATTCAAAACCATCGTCGAGGGTTTGGCTCGCGGGCATCTCATTCCAGGACGGCGCGAATGGTGAGGCATGTTCCATGGCCATCGATTGCGGCGAATCATTGTAATGGAGGGCATTGGGGTTTATCATCGAGCCCGACCCGAAGAGGAGGCCCTCAAAGTCGAATTCGGCGTTGAAGGTGGCCATCGGTGGCGCTGTCCGCAAGCCGTTGCTGAAGTCGCTTGGGAAGCCCGTGCTGCACCCCTCCCTGCCCCATGACTGTTGATCTCAATAGCCCCACATAGACACGCTTACTGTTGGAAGCTAGGCCCTTCTGGTATGCATGAGAAAGTGATTTGTATTATGTTGTTGGTCTTGCTAGCTAAAGCGGCGAACGGGCTGTCTCGGGAGAGATGGGCTGTGTCACTAGTTGCCTTACAATCACAATTTAAAATTGGGACGTCGCTTGAACATGCATGCGACACCTGGTCCCACTAACACTTATGCCCGGTACCCACCTTCGCCCCAAACCCGCCCCCCCCCCCCAAAAAAAAAAAAAAGCCCAGCCGAAGATTGGCATGTGACTGCGCGCTACCCCGGATACTCCAGGCAGTGTTGTCACACTCATCACACTCATATATTCGGTGAAGGGAACTCTTGCTGCTAAGACTGCATTATGCATGATATGTCGTATTGTGTGATGTCTAACTATCTAGCTAAGGGCGGCGAAATGTGTGTCGAAAAGGGGTTCACCGATGTCGGTGGTTGCCTTACATTTCAGGTGCAAATCGGGACGCCGCTTGAACATAACCTTGACACCCTGACCCTCCAACAGGAACATTCGAGACTGGGGCCGCTCGATCAGCTTCAACCACTTCAACCACGGACGGTTTCTGTGCTGATGACGCTCGCGGCAGGCGCCTGGAAAGCTAGTTAGCATCGCCTCATCGTTCACGACGATTGGAGCAAAGCCCGCGGGTTGCGGGACATACCGCAGATGTCGTCACCCCGCTCATCGTGTCGGAAACAGCTAAATGCAGAAGATTATCGTTGACTTGAGGGATTGGGTCTCGGTTGACCAATATTGCTTGCGGACAATTGTCAGAAGGCACCGCCGCTCTATCTCGATATACTTAGGGCACCAGAACTCCACCAGTTGGTAGTGGTGTTGGCAGCTGAATTCCTTCTGCGAACCGGGCCAGCAATGGATGGCCCCGAGCTGCAGTATTCGGCATATCCATACGTAGATGTAGTTGCACATGGTGATAAAGTTGGGAGACGATATCGAAGTCGTCGAGTTGTAAGAGTGATGAACTTACTCAGGAAGAGGTAGTAAACTGAGACACCGTAAGATTGGTAAAGGGTAGACATGGAGATGACCAAAGACGATTCGTGATGTCTACCACCGAAACGACAACGTTCTCTTGACACACAGGCCGAGGGAGATGAGTCGTACTTAAAATGCTTCAATCTGCTACGTGCTTCCTCTCTTAGCCAGGGCCCAGTCTCTGGCCAAGAAGATTCCTTGTTCAGAAATTGAAAGGGCGTGAAAGGCGTCTGTACAGTTTGGCAACGCTGGCAACTTCACATATTACTCGGAGCCGCCCAGTGATGAGAGGATGATTTTTCACTTCTGAGAGCCCCAATGTCGATGCGTCTCGATCCCTCTCGTCACCTCCATGCATGATAATGTCGGCTAAAGGAATTGTAGGCTGTCACCACTCCTCGCAGGATGACCCCATCACTGCCCAGTCCAAGCTCTTTCAAAACAACCAGTCCTCGTCGCCCATCATCCGTCATCCCCGACACAAATCCATCAGCCTCCATGGAGGAAATTGAGAGGCTGCGGAAGCAGCTCAAGGCCCACAATACAGCTCATCAATGGCCAAAATCACAATCCACCTATCAACTTCAGCATATTGAGCGCTTCAGGTTGGCTTCCAAGATACACCAATCCTCCTCACCATAGCGTCCCACCCCAATGTCGTAGAGGACATCTAAGGCTTCAATGTCACTGCCCGCAGCAACCTGAACAAACCTACGACATATCTCTAGACGATTGTGGTGGCTCAGCGTGGCAATCCATATTGCCTCTGCAATGTGCGATTTCTCCGTGAACTTCCAGTCACCCTGCCACTTAAGCGCCTTGCCGAGCTCCGTGTTGTAATATGCTCGGTACCGTTCTAATGTCTCTGGAGTGTCCTCCGAATCGGCCATCTTTGACCAACCGTACATCAGAGGGTCCCAATCGCGCGTGATCCATCCTGGGTATCTGGCATATCCCACAAATCGTGGCATTGTCTGGGCGAGGTCCCAGTCAATGAGTCCGGTGACACTACCCTCGTCATCCACCAGGACATTCTGGGAGTCGAAATCGGGGAGACAGAGAACAAAGCCAGGAGGAGAATCAAGGGCTGGTAGGCTGTCCCTAATGGCTTCCAGCACCTTTGTCTCCGCCGTGTCCCACACATCTTCGTTGGAGCTTGGGATTGAACTTTTTTCAAGAAAGCCAGAGTTAGAGTCAAAAGGACCTGACGCGGCAACCTGAAGCCTGCCATCTTCCCCTTCATGCCAGTCGTATAAAGGGCCGATGACGGGTCGCGCCAGATCCGTCGTCCATAATGGACCCCATCTGGTCGAAGGTCAGACAAGAGAATTGAGCCATGGTCCGCGACAGACTTGTCAGGATCCTGAGGCGCAATTCTTCTCTCGGCACGGTGCCTGAGTGGTCAGACCAAACCTCGGACACTGTTTTCCCGGGTATAAAGCTCATGCATATGTACGGCGCGCCGATCTCGTTGTTGTCGGTCGTGTCTAGAGCGTATATCTCTGGGACTGGAATCGTAGTTCTGTTCCGAATGAGGCGCATCGTGGCAACTTGTGATTCCATGGCGTGTGCCGCGATCGGTGTCATTCCAGAGCCCCAGCCCGTAGCCGGAACGCGGATCACGAGCTTGATACCTTCCAATTCAACAACGTGAATGATGTTGTATGATCCGTCGATTCGTGCAACAAGCTTGCCGCCAGAGCCTGGCACATGCAGGCGTTGATTTGCGATGTTCGAAGCGAGAAGGACGAGAGACTCTGCCGTAATGTCCACAAGTGGACCAAAGATTTCGCGGTCTGGATCCATCAAAGATGCTATGGGCACTGACGGCATTCATATCAGATTAGAAGTGGGACAGGGAGCCTCAAATAAGATTTGGGGCAGATGAGATACCTGTATGTTCGAAATGGGAGGCTTGAGGTGGAAGTGATAGCAAAAACGACTTTCATCTACGGGTGGCACGAAGGTCTGAAGGGGTAGCCTTGCGCAAGAAGTAACTACAGAGGACGATAGGGGCCACTGTTCCAAAACTCCCTGTCGGTGTTTTATGCAGCCCAGGCCCCGCACTTAAACAGAGGCGTCACCACACCTGACTAATCGCAGTACCTAGGCGTAAGTACTACATCAAGCGGGCCCGCGCGACGCTCTGGTGTCCCTGACCTACACAACGCAATATCGGGTACTCTATCCAAGCTGTCCGATTATTACCAAGCAATCCTGAGTGACTGATGCGCCGTTGTACTCATTTACTACGGCCGTAATTAAGACAGCGAACAGGGACAGTTAAGGATAGCCACTCGTCCCGCCTAAACGAGACTTAAACCTCTCACGCTTGGGAGTCGTATATGTCACCACCCTCATGATCCCCAAGTCTTTGCTTCCCGATGGCCGCAGGGTCAAAATATCTCCATCTTGGTAATGGCCATACCCTGTGAACACACTTTCATCACGGATGTCAACAATCTACGGGATAATGGCAGCCAGGGCGGTTTCATTATCGGGGCCATGAGTGAAGTTGGGGTCGGCGCCGTACTTGAGGAGTGGGACTGCGCCAGCGTGTGTGTGTGTGATTGTTGGTGGTGGTAGGGGGTGATGACGTGATGAAGGGGAAGAAAGAGAGCAGAGGATGAAGAGAGAGAAAAGAGATTCCCACGTCTACAAGAAAAGATGAAAAAAAGTTGGAGGAGGATCAAGTTCGACTCTGAAGTCCCCCGCCGAGGAATGCGATGTGACAAGTGCACGAGCATGAGCGTGTGCGACAAGGGGGTGGGCCGGATCTGAGGTTCTGCTGGAAGTAGAGGTACGGTAGAAACGTTGGAGCAGCCCCTGTTTTCCGAGTAACTCAGGTACTTGTATTTTCATTCGAGAGGCATGTTAGCCAATGCATTCTCATGAACTTCGCAGGTCCTCTCATTTTAAACCCTGATGTCACAGCGCAACAAGAAAGTCGCTATCAGGTCCGTCCCCATAACGTATGCGGGGAGTCACGGAGGGGCAAATCAGCTGACGGCGTTTTCTCAACTGGCTTGCTCCCCGGAAGTGGATGCAACGCCGAATTTGTGGGGGAGCTAGGGGATCCATGGCTTGGAGACCGAGATGGGGTTCGGCTCGCTGCTCTCATTCCCAAGCTTTTCGAGGTGTGAAGAGGGCACATGGCAGACGAGGCTCATCGTGGGAGTTGGTTGGAATTTATTATGCCCGGGAGGACCAAGTCTCATGGCCTAAATCGTGGGGTTGCACCGAGTGTTGCATGTCTGGATCGTGTGGAGGATGGAGATTATTGGCCGAGTTTAACGTACGTCATGAAAGAGAAGGGCCTTCCACATGCTTGATTTGCGGCTTACCCAAGCGGTTTCTAAGATGAATCTAGCCATATTAGGATTAGTTCCACAAGTCACGTTCTTGTATGTGACTGACCAGTTAGGTATAGCCCGTTCCACAGACCCACAAATGGTCGGAGCTTGCTGAGGTACTCCGTACAGTGGGTGGCAATAAGTGTTCGCCCCCTTGTCAGGTGTTGAACGAAGTGCTAGACTCAAGTAGGTAGTTTTCCATCGCTGCTTTAGAGTTGCCTTTCAGAAGAGCCGACCCACTATGAGATTGATGCTAGCGCTATATTATAGTGCATAGCCACTAATCCACCCACTAGCTGCTCGAAATTCCCAGTGGTCATGCGCTGAAATTTAGGGGAGCTGGTTACTAGGGTTAGGGTTATACAAAAGCGGCATGATAACAGTACCTGACAGGGGGCTAACACTTATTGCCACCCACCAACACCATGGCTCCCCATCGGCCTTTTGATCGCCCTTGTGCTCGCTTTTTTTCTGGCCATTCTGTGGCTGTAAGCGTCCCCTGCACTCAAGAGGCGATAGCCATTCATCTTATCCTCGCGGTCTACAAGGTCTCCGACTCCTAAATGAATCCGCCCCAGTCCAGGCACTTGGGCAGCTGAAAGCTGAGATTCAGGGAGTAGCAAGCTCATTTATTGTTTGGTAAGCCAATTTTCAATGATACAACTTTGCTGAAACCCTGCTGACGATCTTGCGCCTTCGAGTGTGGCCCGCTTGGAGATACTACTCGATGAAGATAATGTTCGTTGCTTACCATGCAGACACGTGTTCCATGCAAGCTGCATCAATAGATGGTTTCTACAAGGGCAGTTCACCTGCCCATGTTGCAAGTAAGTCTACCGTTTGCAATCGGGTGCCTTAGAAACGGCTGCAGCGAAATATAGATGTTAACAGAATGGAAGACGTCGGCTAATCGTTCGACTGACTGAATCCTCTGACTGGTCCGTACCTTCCTCTTGTTACTGCTAGACCACCGCCTCGTCGATCGGAAGCTTCTGAGGCGCACAAGAATAGAATCCTTCAGCCGTACCAGCCGAACATGCACCAACGTCAACGCTAGAGACCGAGTCCGAAACGATCCCGCTGAGTGACGGTTCCTCTGAGACAAGGAGACATGTCCCGCTCTCCTCCCGCCCGTTGTTTTCGCTTGACCTTTGCCACGGAGCGGGCCGCTCATGTCACTGGGTGGGACGCTGACTCTTGGGCAACCCTTCTCTGCTCCTTGCCATGACGAAGTGCCGCTCGCTCTTTTGAGGAAGGAGACGTGAGCAAGCTCGTAAGGTGTTCCGACCGTTGGAGAAAGTTGGAAGTTTGGCCCACCTGTCGTTTTGGTGGATTATCGAGAACAACGGTGTCATTCATAGAAGGCAGATTTTGTGGTCTGGCCAGCCCCGACACACAAGTCACCGTCGAAGGAGGGCGGTCTTATCCAGCACACTATTGTGACTGCGCAACGAGGAACACGCAGCCAGGCCTTTCTTGGCCTCTGAGGATTTTCCATGCTCTCAGGAGTCCGGAAACGGACGCCCCGTCAGAGGGCCGAATCTGTTCCGCCGTGGTCCAGGGTACCGTCGTGAGAAGCTGGGTCAACCGACTGAGCTATGATGCCGACCTGGCTTCAGCAAACCTCAATCACTACCTTCTATGGCGGCGTCTACTCGTATCTCATTTCGAGCTTGGCATAGCGAACAGCACTAACAAGCAAAAACATGGGAATCAAGACTAGGCATAGGTCCTCTTATTAGAGAAGGGACTGATGTCAGGCCTTAACCAAAAGGACTACCACCCGCGTATTGAAGCCTCATCACCGGCATGATTCAATGAACACATCGATTTAATGATATCACAACAAGCTCCCACGAAGGATCCACATCTCTCCAGCCCTGGTTTCCTATTTCTTCTCCATAAATCGAAAGTATCGTGGTTGTTTAGGACTTAGGGACCTTTCCTTAGGCTTCCTCCGTCTTTTCCGGGGCCGTATGGTGAGTTTCCAGCTCGTCAATGACCGAAGATCTCCAAGTAGTCAGGTTGTCACAGAGTTGCTGCATGACGAGTGTGGAGTGGTGAAAAGATTCTTCGGACAGGGAGCCGAGCTCGGCAATGGCATCATCGATGGCCTGCTCGGCATGGTGGCATGCGCGATCCAGCGAGTTCTGGATTTCGTAGTAGAAGACACAGAAGTTCAGAGCCACGTCTAGGCGCAAAGGGTGGGTGGCGGCGAGCTCGATCTGGGCAACATGGGTAGCAGTCTAGAGACGGGTATATAAGCATCTCCGACAGCGCTGATTAAATCGTATCAATGGACTTGAAACCTACGTTGTAGGCCTCCTTGGCAGAAGTAATAGCAGTACTGCGCTTCTCGCCCGACCCAAATTCCGCCAGATCACGACTGTAGTCACCCTTCCTAAAGTAAAGTAAGTCAATCCGTGGCTAACGCGGTTAAAATAAGCATACATCTTGTAGTAGAATACCTTGGACATGCCTGCAGTGGCAATGGGGATTAGTCTCTCATCTAGCGCCTCTAAAAGGTCCTCGCAGAACTTCTCGAGTTCATTTAGAATCTTGTGGCGGTATTCCCGGATGGTAGTTGCATCCTTCGCGCTCCTTGAATCCACTTCCTCGATCGAGGAGATGATCCGCAAGCTGGCACGGCGGGTGCCGACCACGTTCCTATATGCAGTACTGAGGAGGTTCTGCTCCTCGAAACTGAGCTCACCACCAGCGCTCGCAACTTCATTCACATGGGTGACCATATCATCGTAGCGCCCAGCCTGCTCGCAGAGGCGAGCAAGAAAGGACTGGCTGTAGCCCTGAAATCAGTTCTGCGATTCTGGCATCGCCGACATTGGGTTTGTAGACGAAATTCTCGCGCTAAGTGGAGCGATAGTGTCAGCCAAACCAGCTGATATTGATTGAAAAGTGGCCCAAACAGGTGGGTGCTTGTGGAAAGGATGTAGCTGTAAGAGTCTGCAAATGGTGAATGGTGGGGCTCTATGAGAAGGAACTTGCCTGGGGCGTCATCCTGACCTAGCCAAAGCGGCATCAGCGATGTTATGCTCGATGGTACCAATCACCCGGCTTTAACAGCCGCAGCCACCTCCTCCATATGGCAGCCTGCCGTCACGTTTTCCTACGCTTGTGCCTATGAACCCGTAATTGTTTGGAGTCCTCCAGCATGGTCTGTGTCTTACCGAACATTCGAACTTATATTTCTCCAGCATCCAGTGAAGGGCCATATCGTCTCTCTAAGTAACTGTACACTGCGGCTCGAACTTGCTGACTGTTCATTCCCTGAAATCGAGAGTCGTACTCCACGTCGTCGTGGGAAACCGGCGCGAACCCTGCGCGTTCCGTACAGTCCCGTGAATAGCGTACTTGGCGATAGAAACGGCCCGATCCGCTAAAGGAACCATACACTACAGGTCGTGGCTCCTGTCTAGTACAGTTTCGTCGCCAGCCTAGCTTGACCAATTTGTCTATAATATGTGAGGGAATCGCCGTCTCTCTTCGAGTCGACCTGTCTCTGCGACGATGGGGTCTGCCTAAGCGGCGAGTTGTCGGTATAGGGTTCGCTCGAGAAGGAGCACGGCGTATTGGCCAGTCAGCCGTGGGGTAACGGGGCGCGTTTCGGTGTCTTCGGACATCGTAGGAACGGGGGGCCCGGCGAGCAGATGTGTCTGCTCTCATGCTTGGGATCTCTGGTGTGGTGAAATGGGCAGCTGTCTCTGGTTGTGCCTGCCTTGTAACCGTGCCCAGATAGATCACTTCATCGTCGGAGCTGGGCAAACAGATAGTCTCGCGTATGTTATCAGCTCCTCTTGTTGGGTGAAGCGCTGTACGTTGAGGGAGAGAATTCCCGACACGCATCTTTCCACTCCGGAATTGATAATTGATGTCAGACAATCAGGAATTCGAGGTTAGTCGCATCATTCAAATGTTCTCAAGTGTTTGTGATGTGATTCCGGGAGCGTCGATCGCATCCCGTGACTCGACAACGCCAATGGTTGAATGTTCGTTCACTGGTTTAGCGGGGTTACAGGCTGGTGCTGGGGAAGCTAATTCAAATGTGCAAGAACCGCCCACCTTAAGGAAGCCCATGAATGAATGAAATTTATTCCGCCCGGAGGAAACAAACTCCACAGGTCCGAGACGCTAAGCTATTTACAGTAACAGAGTCGTAACAGACATGTTGGATTCGCGATATCATCTTGACAACAGACTCGGCCAAGCACAGGCAGATATGACAGCATTACAGGGGCAGACTCGACCAAGTCCACACAGAGGTAGCAACCATGGGAAACCATCTCAATGAGAGTCTCGACCAGGTTGAAGGAATGTGAGAGAGGCCAAGACTTGTGAAGCGACGTTGGCGCCGCCATGTTAATGACGCCAGCCAGCTCAAGTCGGCTGCTAATCATCAAATGGAAGAAATTGGTATCGCCGGTCCAGTGGGGAGTCGCGGGTCGTTGGGCAAGTGGGTCACTCCAGCCTGCGAGGACCTCGTTGTCTAGCTCCTCTCTCAAGAAAATGAGGGCCACTACATTTTCCACGCTAAACCCAAGCCGGCTACAGTGAGTCAAGAATGCATGCAAGAATGCAAATGCCAGGCGATGTCCGATTCGATGTCCTTGATGAATGCTCATGACGCCTTTTCCCTAACTCCCAACACGAGGGCCCTCCACAGGCCACTTACCAAACGCCATAAGTCCATACGAGAATTAGCATTAAGAAGAGTAGTAACGCTAGGTAATGATGCGTGGTATCAATCAGTCCACGCTCGCCGAGTTTCGTCTTCGGCGTCCTGACCGCAGCTCCTTCTCCGTCTCCATCAGCCGTGCCTGCACCCACATGCGAAACGCCGCGTTACTGCGGACGGTCTCGCAGTTGAGGAGCTCGGTCAGCTCGCGCTTGATGCTCTCGTTGACGTTGAAGAGGCGCTGCTCCTCGGCCGAGTTCTCATACATCGTCTCGTCAGGGATGGTGTCGAGGCGATCGGAGCCCCAGTGGACATCGTCCCAGCTGCTGTAGCGGGCATGTGCCTGGGAATGTCTACGCTCGCTGCGGCGAGGATGCTGTTTCGGCGGCAAGGATGAGGAAGATTGAGTCGGCGATGTCGCGGGAGAAGAATACGGGGAGCCACTGCCCATCGAGGACAGGCGAGGGCGGTTCTGATCGAGGTAGTTGCAGAGCTCCTCGTGCTGTTCCTGCAGGAGCATATACTTCTGCAGGGAAAAGCTGTAATTGTGTGCTCTTGACGAGGTCATCTTGTTGGATGTGATGCTTCAGTTTAGTTGCACCCGTGTAGGATTGAGGTTTTGCGTGTAAGAGAGCATAGGGAGAGAGTTGCATTATTTTAGGTGGTGGCGTGACCTGAGCTCGCCTTGCGTCCAGATTCGAGAACGATGAGGGCCTCATCTTCGCTTGGCAACGCCGTCATGCCTGGTGAATATTGGCGTCAGAATGACGTCAGCTCTCAGCCTTTGGTTGATGCATTGGTCGCAGAAACAAAAATGGTGTTTTCTGTTGGATTGTGACCTCGGGTGGCGGCATAAATATCGCCATCAAAGATGAAAGTTGCCACCTATTGCCACTGGCTTAGCAAGCAGCTTCTAGTTGATTCCACATAGCTCAGAAAAGGCATAAATTGCCCTGAACCCTTAAGAAAAAAGGGAACAACCTTCTCAAAAAAAAAAAAGATCATTTGATCAATTACTCATACTATTGCATATAGCAAATTGCGTATCCAACATTTTCCTAAACTTTAGGCTCATAATCGATGATGCAACAACGACCATCATTGAATCACACCAGATGAATGACTCGCTCTGTCGTTGCTACAACTCTTCCGCCTCTTCAAGTCATCAATCCGTGGCCCGTAGCTATCACCCATATCATGTAGTAGAAGGTGCTTGGTTGCAGAGCACGTTTCGCACGCGCCAATGAGGGAGCGCATTTTTAGGTGCTTAGTCAGGCGGCGCATCCATTCCCCTATGTATCAGTCGCCTTTACGGTGCTGGCCTCGCATTTGCTATACGGAGTCGCTTTATCTTGTGAATATCTTAAGGGTTTATCACTGCTGCTTCCAGTAGAGGTTCCGCAGGACCTAGACAAATGCATAGAGACTCACGCATACCTAACTACCAGGATCAAGGCGGTTGTCCAGCCTGCATGCAGTTTGTCCTTCTGGTGCCGGTGGTTGACCATTGACGTCGACGCCGTCAATGAGGAGGGTGGGAGAAGCATACTCTCCGACCAATACCTCGACCTCTGCATCTATGTTTGTTTCTGCCAAACAACGCTCGAGTGTCCTGCGAACCTTGGCCACTAACGGGCAATCAGGGACACACAGAAGTTGAATCTTGATAGAGTTATTTGCAGTCATAGCCCAGGACGGTATTGAGATGTATGAGTGAAAGGCAGGATGCAGCTGAACAAGAGAGCGGTGCGGGGTTGCATATCCAGGCGTCCCTCAGTCCGGGCAAAGCTGTGCGGAGGGATCAACGCAAGAGGCGGCTGGATCGCATTCGTCGACCACTCCTCTGCCTGGGTGACAGGGCCAACAACGGAGGCGAACCAAGTAAGCATCCCGTCAATCATAGACGGAGCATTGGACTGGGAGAGGAGAACACGGTCATCATAACACATCACGCGGACCGCTGCGCGTACCGGCAACACGCCGTTCATGATCGAAGGGAAAGAGGTCAAGGGAAGCGCCAAAATTTTAGGAGTGGTGATCGACACGGAGCTACGCGAGAAGACACACCATGCACTTGGCTGCCCAAGACAGAAGCTGCACACCCGTACCACTTCGCTTTGGCTTTGTCTCGACATTACATGCCATTTTTGGCTGTGAATTGGCGCTCAGGTATACTATCCAAGGCAAATCAGCCCATTCTTACGTCATGAAAGGCATGGTTTTCGCCCTGGAGCTCCGGAGAAGGATCTGGAAACGTAAAGTTCCGTGCCCGAATATCGAACGGCCACGATATATTTGATAGGTGGAGACGACGCCGGGATGGACACAAGTCTTGTAGCACTACCAGAAGAAGAAGCCGCTTCAAAATTGGATACCCGTTGGCTCTGCGCGAGGCGATCCAACCTAGCAAGCTAGGTTGGCCACATAAATGCAAAAATGCGGGACAATATCAAAATGCCAAGTAATTTGTGGGAAGAACGTTAACCGAAGAAAGGCCGAGAAGAATTTCAGTTTCGAATTTTTGAACCACGCGGGATACCTTCGCACTAACACCTTTCGTCTTATTTTCCCGCCAATCTTGATGGTGTCCCAGGTTTTTGTGGCAGTCCCGCATTTATGTGGCCAACCTCGCTTGCTAGGTTGGCTCGCCTGGGACCTTGGTCCCTCATGAGCCAATGGGTACAGATTAGGAATAGACCCCCTGATCTGGCACACTCTCAAAAACTCTCGCGCTTCGCTTTGTCTCGCCGCCACAAGCCCCCCAAAAAAATTTCTGGCTCGGCGTCATGGTGGCCTAGATCCCCAATCAGACCTCTTACGTCATTATGGCGTGCTGGTCTGCGCTAATCCCGCACAAACTCCGAAACTCGGGGATTTGTAAGGCTATATCTCGGCATTCCCCCACCCACACCCCATTAGCGCAGTAAGCACTACCTCGAATAGGCTAGGATCATATGTCTCAGATGTGCCCAGGAAGGGTCTCGGCCTTCAGAGAAGGTCATGCTCGTCACAACGCTGCACAAGGACGTTCTGACTGGTTCGTTCGCTTCTGCCGGTATGACTCTTTGCATTGAGTCCTATCTTTCCAGCTGTTGGCGTGAACCAATGATGTGGCATGATATCACACCAAGCTCCCCGTTGTAATACTACGTATGCGAGAGCACTCTTGAGGGTCAGTTAGATGACCTGAGGCACACACCACCATTTCGGAAGTCTCTCGCTTCACAGAAGGTTGCCCCCAAGCTTAGCTTGCCCAGTCCCACCTGACTGCGCTACCCTGAGCATGACCCTTCATTCAAGAGAGTTCCTATCCAATTGAGGTGGTTGTATTTGTGCACCTTACCTTAGGCCTCCTTCGCCTTCCTTAGCGCCGGAGGCTGAGCATCAAGCTCGTCAGTGTCCGAAGACGTCCATCTAGCCAGATTGTCATGGAGGAGCTGCATGACGAGTGTGGAGTCGCGAAAAGATGCTTCCGACAGGGAGCAGAGCTTGGCAACGCCATCATCGATGGCTTCAAGCGTGATCAGGCAAGTTCTGTATTTCGTAGTAGAAGACTGAGAAGTTCAGAGCCAGGCCTAGCCGCAAAGGGGGCCGTGGCGTCGAGCACCACCTCGGCAACTTCGGAAGCGGTCTGAAGAGGAATTTAGCATCTCAGACAGCACCGAGTAAATCAAATCAAGGCAATTGGAGGTTACCTTGTAGGCCTCTTGGGCTGAAGTTGTAGCGGTATAGCGCATATCGCCTGACCCAAATTCCGCCAGATAACGGTTGTAGTCACCCTTCCTAAAACACCGACAGTCAATTAGGGGTTAAAAGCCAGGCAGAGAAAAGTTACATCTTGTAGTAGAACACCCCGGACACGCCTGTGGCATTGGGGATCAGTCTCTCATCCAGCACCTCTAGAACGTCTTCGCAGATCTTCTGGAGTTCCTAGAGGATCTTGTGGCGGTATTCCTGGATGCAAGTCGCATGGCTCGCAACTTGGTTCCATCTCCTCGATTGAAGAGATCATCCGCATGCCGGCACCTCGGATGCCAACGACGTTCCTATACGCAGTGCTGAGGAGGGTCTGCTCCTCGAAACTGAGCGCACCGCCGGCACTCGCGACTTCTTTCGTAACGCCCAGCTTGCTCGCCTCTGGCGAGCAAGAAAGGTATGGCTGTAGTCCTGAAATCAGTTCTGCAGTTCTTCAGATGCGTCGACATTGCACTGGAAGACGAACTTCTCGCGCTGAGCGGAGCGATATAGTTAGCCAAACAGCCAAACATCGAATGACGAGAGATCCAAATATGCTGGGCAACAGTGGCAAGGATGTGGCTGCGGGTCTAGAAACAGTGACAACACGGCTCTATGAGTAAACTTGCCTCAGATGACATCCTTACCGGGGGAGTACTGGAATCGCGATCCGATCATATGTAGTGTAGATCAAAGAGTTGTGATAAGCAAGGGAGGAATGAAAGGAAGGGTGGGGTCTTGCAGGCGGTGTCCGTCATTCACTCCAGCATACTAGCCAAAAACATCAACCAAAATCGTGGTAGTCGCTCCCCAGTCCCCTCCTGCAGTAGAACTTCCAAGATGAAGCGGAAAGTCCTGTCGACCTAGATTCTAGCAAGTAGAGATGCCCCTGCTGTGTCTCCAACGCCCCCCTGGCTTCCCATAGTCCTTTTGCTCAGTGTTGTGCTTGCCTTCTGCCTGGCAATCCTGTGGCTGTTTGTGTCCCCTTCCTCAAGTGCTGATAGGACATAACCAGTGTCTTAGCCATTCATCCTATCCTTGTGCTCTCTAAAACCTCGAAGCTGCTCCTGTCCAGGTCCTGGGGCAGCTGAAAGCTGAGATTCGGGAAGCAGAAAGCTTGTCGTCCTCCTTTCTTGTCTGGTAAGCCAAGTTTCAGTGATACGGCTTTATTGGCTTTGGCCCTGAGAGACCTCGCGCCTGCAAGTGGGGTCTGTTTGGAGCAGTTACTCGACAAAGACGATGTTCGTTTCTTACCGTGCAGGCACGTGTTCCATGCAAGCTGCATCAACAGATGGTTTCTGGAAGGCAAGCAGACCTACCCATTTTGCAAGTCAGTCTATCCTTTGCCCTTACCTGCGCTTAGAAACGGCGGAGCAAAGTACAATGTTAACGGAATGGAAGACGTTGGCTGACCATTCGACGGACTGAATCCCCCACCTGGTCTGTACCTTTCTTCACTCTATTACGCCATCCGCTCCTTACCGCACGGAAGTTTCTGCTATTAACCATCTAGAAAACGACCCACACACAATTCCACTCTAAAATATTCCTCCGAGATGGTTCTATTTTAACTCCACTCCATCGGTTGCCCCGAAAAGCAGGGGATTTAGTTAGCCGGAGCTCATGAAGCGAAGACGTATATTGAAACCACGCGTCAAAGGTCCAAACACACCTTCTTTGTGTCCCCATAAATGCCGAACTGAACTGCCGTCATACCACCAACCATGACCAAACGAGCTCGCATGCCAGTGAAGGCACCACGCAGTCCAAGTCCGGTCGCGATGCGGGCTAAGCGGCGTGCTGTACCTTCGCCTCGCTGCCCTTTCTCCTTGTTGACCTTACTGAGGATCGTGTCTGCCGGCTGAGAGACGACCGCGGCGGCCAGACCAGCGACGAGCCCAGTGCCAAGATTGATCCCGGTGACGCCCACCGGAGAGAGCTCCGCCTTTTCTATGACAGTATATGCTGTCTGGATAGACTTCTCGTAGACCAAAAATGTCGCCATAGTGTAAGGAATCCTGCGATGGCGATTAGGTTAGCACCCCAATAAATCGAGCACAGCGGCGTGACGGGCTGTCGGGGCGTACGCACTGTTTGAGGAGGACAGGGCTCAGGCCGGAGTATAGGCCACTGAGACCCTCTTCTCTGGCCATCTTGGCGAGCGCGCTCACGAAGTCGTTGGCGTAGGTAGGCTGGGACACAAGCCGGATTCGGACAGATTCGAAAGGGCAGAGTGCAATGTCGCCGAAGAACTCGGCCGCCGCGGCCGACGTAAGGTATACGGCATTGCGGTTATTGACAGCGGTCGAATATCCGAGGTAGTCGACAACGTGAGCTTTGAAGAACTCGTACCCGCCAAACTTGAAGGCACCCTGGAGGCAATAGCCTGCGACGGTCGGTCCCAGTCCTGTCAGGAAAGCCCCCGGCCCTTCGAGTGAAGCAATCTGCCGTGCACTTCCCCAGAGACTCCTGCTGTATGTAGTCGGATCAAGCTGGATTCGCGTTTTCACGCTTTGCACAGGGAATATTTCTGCTGTGCTATCGTAGGGTGGATGACGGTAAGGCGGTTATATGCGGCTAGTGTTGTCCACGAGAGTTTGAGGTAGATAGGCAGACTGGCCAACCTCATGATTTGAGAGAAGGGAATCCAAGCATGGGGTTGCAGCAACAGCCTGTTAGGATGATTTGCGCTGTGGGAGAGAATGTGGGATTTTTATGGAAAAAAAAAGGGGGGTGGGGAGGTGGGTAACTTGCTTACACATCGACAGGAGTTAGGACGGCATGAGTGAAAGGACAACAGAAGGCACCGGCCAGAGCGTATTTTGCGTACAGAGAGATATCCACGATCTTTTCGGTTGTAGCGATGCCCATAGACGGCTTGTCCTTGGCCGGCATGATTTTGTCTCTAGCGGCCCTGATTGCTTCTCCAGGACCCGGGGCATGTGTGGTGATGAAGTGGGTGCTACCGAAGACAGTGAGCAAGTGGACGGGACGACGAGTAAAGCTCGATTATCATCTTTTACAAGGGTATTTAGAGCCACCACCTTCTCGGGCTTTGACTTTTCAGCTCATTCAATTTGTTGGTCAAGGTCTTTCGCTGTTGCTTGCTCAGACTGTTTCCAACCGCATCCAGAACCTTCAAGTGCTCCTTCTTCAGGTCCTCGAATCCCGCGTCTAGCTCTTTGTGCCAAGGGTATAAGACGAAAACCTGGAAACCCAGCGCGGAACTGGCTACCAGGAAGTTGGTCAAAGAAATAGCCCGCGTGACTATCATTATGGTTCGCGACGTATGGAAAGAGGTCAATGGAGCCGTTGAATGGCTGACTGGTTGGTGGAAGAGCGGCTCGGATCGTAGGTCGTAACTCGGATTTCCTTGTGTCGCGTTCTTAGGCCCGCTGGGAGGCTCTCTACAACGGGCGGATCGAAGGGAAAGGAAATGTTAGAGGGTAAGAAGATACAGGAAAATGAAGCATGAGAGAGTGACATATGGCAGGAAATACAGAAAAGATTCGAAAGGTCGGGCTGGTCGATTTGGCGGTGTCCACCCTTGGGCGGTACGGAAGGCTTCCCGTCAAGGCGTACGGAGTAGACTCTGAGGAAGTGATCTTGGTTCGGGGGTTTTCGGGTTCGCTGATTCTCCACTTCCCAAGGACAGAACAGGCAACGATCCGCAGGGAACAACTGACGGATCAGGGAACGCCGTCAGGCGGTGCGGGAAAATGAGTACGTCCGAGCGTTCCACCCTTGCGCTTGCGCTACATACCTTGCAGAATTCCCATTCTTACTGTCTTCCATCAAGGATCCATCCCTTGCCGCCCAGGCCGACTGCCGCACGCCGCCATGGCCCGTCCCTTCTCACTCATCATCCGGTCCAGGACTGCTTTGCCTGTTCACATTTATCCCATCGTGGCTTTGATTTGTGACTGTGGCAAGGTCAACCCTTGAGAGGCTGCAAAAGGCAGCTGCTCGTCATTGTCAGCCGCCCTTGTCCATGATCCACTTCCAGCTTCTCATTGTTCCGTATTCTTTGCTTATGCCGGCCAGACCGCCTGGTCTGCTGCTGGGCTGTAACATGCCTTGGTCGCTCTTGATCCATCGGGCAATTGACAACCGGGATGCGATACCTGAGGGGCTACGAACGCCGAAGCGACAGCACTCTTCTCGCTTCGATATTTCCATCCACAGAGAGCTCGAGCACCTTCCAAGTTTCCACGAAGTGCCTCCGAACCGACGGCAGGAGCTGTTTATGCAAAAGATCGACCAGTGCAACGTCATCTTCGACTTTAACGACGCGAGTAGTGATGTGAAATCCAAGGAGATCAAGGGACTTGTTCTCCATGAGCTGCTCGACTATGTTGCTCACAACAGGCAAGTCATCATGAAGTCCATGTACCCGAGAGTGGTCGACATGTTCGCCAGGAATCTCTTTCGACCTATCCCGCCCTCAATGAACCCCCAATGCGAGATATTCGATCCAGAGGAGGACGAGCCAGTTCTGGAGGTTGCTTGGCCGCATATCCAGGTTGTTTACGAGTTCTTCCTGCGCTTCATCGAGAGCCAGGATTTCAAGACAAACATTGCCCAGGCCTTCATCGACCACAGCTTCGTGCTTCAGCTTCTGGAACTCTTTGACTCCGAAGATCCCCATGAGCGAGACTTTTTGAAGACAACGCTTCACTGCATCTACAGCAAGTTCCTCAATCTACGATCCCTCATCCGACGGTCTATCAACAACATCTTCTTCCAATTCACCTACGAAACCCAAAGATTCAACGGCATAGCCGAACTACTCGAAATTCTTGGGTCCATCATCAACGGCTTCGCTCTGCCCTTGAAGGAAGAACACAAGACCTTACTGACTCGCGTGTTACTCCCTCTCCACAAGCCCAATATCCTAAGCAAGTACCATCCTCAGCTTGCTTACCGCATCGTTCAATTTCTGGAAAAGGATGCATCACTCACTGAAGACGTAAGATGATTCATATGCCCTTCTGGTTATAGCATTCTGATTAGCACAGGTGATCCTCGGGTTATTAGGCTACTGGCCCAAGGTCAACGGCACAAAAGAGGCCATGTTCTTGAATGAAGTCGAAGACATCTTCGAGGTCATAGATCCTGCCGAATTTGGCAAAGTTCAGGAGCCTCTCTTTCGTCAACTTGCTAAATCTGTTGCTAGTCCACACTGTCAAGTCGCCGAACGTGCACTGTACTTCTGGAACAACGAATGCTTCTGCAACCTCGTCAGTGACAATGTGGAGATCATCCTTCCAATCATGTTTGCGTCCCTTTACGAGAATTCCAAGGGCCATTGGAACAGGTACAGTAAACTCCCGTTGCTGGCAGGCTTACTGCTCACGGGACTTATTAGGACGATCCGTGGCATGGCGTATGATGTCATGGCTTCATTTATGGAGATTAGCCCACAAGCCTTTGACGACTGTTCGCACCACTACACGGAACAGCAAAACAGTGCGGCGACGCGAGAAGCCATTAGGGAACGCAAGTGGGCAATTCTGGGTGAAAAAGCTAATCAACGAAGAGCACTGTTGGATGAGATAATTTGACCAGCTTGATTCTAAATTTGGGAGTATCTCAGATCGCTTCGGCCGCAAATTTGATGCTGTTGGGCTTTTGAGTGTATTGGGCGATGTATCTCAGCGCTGCTTTCTAGCTACTTGATAGTCTGGTTCTGGAAACTCGTATATTGAAGTGCCATTGACCTATAATCCTTACTTTACCTCGACCATTTGTGCTTCAATCCCGGCGAAATTCAAGTCTTGTCCCTTGAGAAATGACGGCTCCCCCAGTTGAGCTACGGGGAGCACCTCGATATCCATGCAACTAGTATAAATCTCCATCTCCCCCCTGGGAATGGCATCAGTCGGTGCTGTCGGCCAATCCCAGACCCAATACAGAGTATACCAGCTGAGGATATCAAGAGGCAGTCGAATGTCAATTTGGCACCATAAGTCAGCGCCTGATGGGTTGATCGCCGTTTTACTAAATGCCCCTTGCCGCGCAATAGAAATAGCACCCTCGTTTATTTGATAACATTGGCCGTCGTCGAAATCCCAAACGCCCAGGAGCCTGCCACGCCCTCGTCCCGCCCGTGAGGCTTGCGACAGTTGATCATCTGAGGCACTTGAAACTTTGCATCTCGACATGAAAAGCACGTGAAAGTGTCCCATAATCTCACTGTTCTCCAGCTCAAGCCGGCAAACCCTGCAGCGACTTTTCCCCAGATTCTGCACGTGGATCATCTGACCCCAAAACCCAAGACTGAGCCTCCGCCACTTGAGGTCGTCCATTTGTCCAGAGCATCGACTCAGCGCTTCGCTTATGTTGGCAATCAACCGATGATCTCATCTCCGCAAACTCCCAAGTCTGTGAGATGCTGACTGATCTTGCATTTTCACATGCGTGATTCTACAACGACACTCTAGTTTCTACCGTACCTCTACTTCAAGTCCTCCGATCCGGCCGTACCCCCTGGTCGTTGACGCTGTTTCCCCATAAACTCGAGGGTGACCCGCGCCTTCCCAGCTGTCGCACCTGCTCACGCTCACGCACTTGCGCTTTCCCCCATCGCTCGACCTCGGCTCGCACCCGGGGACTTAAGACACGGCTTTGATCCTCCTCCAACCTTTTGACTTCTTTTTATTTCCCCATCTTCATCCTTTCTCCTGTTGACGTGGGAATCTCTTCCTTCTCTCTTCATCATCTCTATCCTGTCTCTCTCTTCCCCCTTCATCACGTCATCTCCTCCCACCACCACCAACAGACACATACACACACAACAATGGCTCCTCGAGTGATTGTCGTGGGCGGCGGCCGTAAGTTGTCACTCGTTCACTTTGAAGTCGCAAATAACAACTTTGTCAATCCTTTTGGCTAACGTTCATCATCAGTTTCTGGTCTGTCTGCTGCGCACACCATTTACCTGGCTGGTGGTAACGTCGTTGTCCTTGACAAGCAGGGTAAGTCGGCGCATTCTGAGCGCCTACGGTCTCAGCCCGCTCCGTCCAACGCTCAGTATCTCACTTGGCGCTTGCACCCACTTTGGCGTGTGACATCCCGCTGACATGTGCTTCCTACACGCACAGGCTTCTTCGGCGGCAACTCTACCAAGGCCACTTCTGGTATCAACGGTGCCCTCACCCGGACACAGGTCGAGAATGGCATTCCCGACAGCGTCAAGCAGTTCTACGACGATACCCTCAAGTCGGCTCGTGACAAGGCCCGTCCCGACCTGATCAAGGTCCTCACCTACAAGTCCGCCGCTGCCGTCGAGTGGCTTCAGGATGAGTTCAACCTCGACCTTACTCTCGTCTCGCGTCTGGCGTAAGTGGCGCTGCCATGCGCGAATGCATCCGAGAACAAGAGACTGACAATTACAGTGGTCACTCCCAGCCCCGAACCCACCGAGGACACGACGCCAAGTTCCCCGGTATGGCCATCACCTACGCCCTGATGCAGCGCCTCGAGGAGCTTGCCGAGAACGAGCCCGCGCGCGTCGAGATTGTCAAGAAGGCCCGTGTCACCGAGCTTAACAAGGACGGCAACAAGGTTACCGGTGTCAAGTACGAGTACAACGGCGAGACCATCTCCATTGACGGCCCCGTCGTCCTCGCCACCGGTGGTTACGCTGCCGACTTCTCCGACTCCTCCCTCCTCAAGAAGCACCGCCCTGATACCTACGAACTCGCCACTACCAACGGCACCCATGCCACCGGTGACGGCCAGAAGATGGTCATGGCCATCGGCGGTAACGGCATCGACCTAGACAAGGTCCAGGTCCACCCTACCGGTCTCATTGACCCCAAGGAACCCAGCTCCAAGTGGAAGTTCCTCGCTGCTGAGGCTCTCCGTGGTGAAGGCGGTCTGCTCCTCAACGCCGATGGTGACCGATTCTGCGACGAGCTCGGCCACCGTGACTACGTCTCCGGCATGATGTGGAAGGAGAAGGACAAGAACAAGTTCCCCATCCGACTTGTGCTCAACTCCAAGGCTTCCAAGGTCCTTGACTTCCACACCCGCCACTATTCCGGCCGTGGCCTCATGAAGAAGATGACCGGTAAGGAGCTTGCCAAGGAGATTGGCTGCACTCCCGACCACCTCCAGAAGACCTTTACCACCTACAACGCTATTGCCGAGGGCAAGCAGAAGGACCCCTGGGGCAAGAACTTCTTCCACAACATGCCCCTCGACATCGACGACGACTTCCACGTCGCCCTCATGGAGCCCGTCCTGCACTTCACCATGGGTGGTATTGAGATCAACGACAAGGCCGAGGTCCTCAACCAAGAGAAGAAGCCCTTCGAGGGTCTCTACGCTTGCGGTGAGTTGACCGGTGGTGTGCACGGTGCCAACCGTTTGGGTGGTTCATCGCTGCTCGGCTGTGTCGTCTACGGCCGTGTCGCTGGTGACACCGCTAGCAACTACCTGTTCCGACAGGCTCTCCAGGGCAGCACCGGCGCCGCCCAGCGTGTTGGCCAGATCTCCCTGCACCTCGACCCTTCGGTCCCCAACCAGGTGACCGTCCAGTGGGTCAACACCGGTTCTGCCTCTGGTTCGGGCTCCGGTTCTCCCTCGGTCGTCGCCGAGCAGGCCACCGCTGCTGCCGGCCCCAGCCCCACCAAGGAGGACGGCGCCAAGGCGGCCAAGCCCAACGACCCCAAGTCTTTCAAGGTCCCTGAGAAGGAGTTCACCATGGAGGAGATTGCCAAACACAACACCAAGGACAACCTCTGGGTTGTCGTGAAGGGTGTCGTGATGGACCTCAGGGGCTGGCTCGAGGAGCACCCCGGCGGTGTCCAGGCTATCCTGAACTTTATGGGTCGCGATGCCACCGAGGAGTTTGAGATGCTGCACGACGACGAGGTCATCCCCAAGTACGCGTCCCAGCAGGTCATTGGCCGAGTCAAGGGCCAGGAAGTTACTCTGAAGCCTTAGATGGAGAGGTGACTGTTTGGTGTAACGATGGTGACGCGGCAAGGAAGAAGCCGTGATGACTCAAGTATTGTGCGAGAGTCTGTAGCTCATGCTGAAAAGGGGCTATGACATTCGGGCGTCAAGGATCTTGTATTGATAGGGCGGGATGCATGCAGCTTTGTTGCAATCTACTTTGAAATTTTAGATTTCAAGGATTCATGATTTGATTCATCAAGACGCGAAAGAACTCATTGTTCATGCTCATGTTATAGCAACAGGCAGGTTTGAGTAGTTCCCTACCCGGTCAGGCAACACCCTTTTCTGCCGCAGCTGCGCAATCGTTGATTGTATGCAAATGACTCGTGAAATGAGGCATACGGTGTGGGTGGACGATTCGAGTTACAGGATGCCCGGCCCGTTACGCTTGTTGGCGACGTCGGCATTCGGCGTCGAAAGGTCACTTTCGGTCGGACAGGCTCTGGCTTCGCACAGGGCTTCGTCCGCCGAGGTCGAACTCATAATTCCGCAGTTGCTGCTTGTACTTGCGCCTGTGAAGGAATTTTGGCACGGAATCCTGCTGTGCGTCAGCGCCCGTCGGCCTTGCCGAAGCTTGGGGGGTTAGCGAAACTCACACTAGCCATCAGCTTAAAGACCACGTCTTGGGCGTCCTCGAAGAGGGACGTCACTTCCCGGAGGGTGTCGATCATAGCCACGTCCTGGCCAACGGCCTTGGTCATCCGAGTGGCAAGGTTGTTGCGGAGCTGGTGGTCGATGTTGAGCTCGCACGGGGATCCGGGGGCCAGGAAAGCGTTGTAGATTCCATACGCCTGCGCCATCATCTCCTTGACACCGTCCAACGAGGTGCTGTTGGGGTTCTCTTGGGCCACGCGCGTGACGGCCTTGCAGTTGCGGACGAACTCGTCGGCGTCTTGGTAGAAGGACAGGTTCTCCTCGCAGTGTGTGTCGCGCAGGTTCTCCCGGAAGAGAAGACGGAGCGCAGGATCGTTGAGGATCTTGTCGAGCCGCTGGGTGTTGGAGTCCCTGGTGATGCCATTCCGCTGAGAGGCCGCACCGCCCTCACTCTCCGACGCCCGTCCCCTCGGGGCAGAACCGTTGACGAGATCCTTGCCCCGCTGGGAAATCTGATAGATGGCATACTTGGTGGGCTGGAACACGTTGCAGCCCGGGTTCTGGGACATGTAGGCTCGGTCTTGAGCGACGGGCTCCATCAGATCGTAATCGACAAAGAGGGTGGCGATCTCGACGGTTTCTCGCTTGTCAACAATCGTAGAGCAGTCCATCAACCAGTCGGTGGTTGCCTTGCCAGTGAAGGTATCTCGATACGTCTTGCCGTTGACCTTGCGCTCGGCTGCCATCTTGACACCGGTGAGACCATCCTTGTAATCGTGCAACGAGTCCGAATCAGCTGCATTGACGGTCGCCTTGGTGTTCCGGCCGTCAGCACCCGCGAACCGGCGGAAAATGACCTCGAGGGTGCCCTGGTCATGGGGGAGCTTATCGCTCTGGGAGTCCCTCTCCAGTAGGACGAGCTGGGTTGCGCCCAGGTTGACCAGTTCCGACACCTGCTTCTGCTGAATACCATTCCTCGAGCAGAACCTGTCCAGCACTGTGATTCCCTTAGGCGTCAGCTGCCAGACCGATCCCTTCATGTTGTACATTTGCTGATACTTGCCGTCGGCCGATTCAATGAAACGGGCCTCGACGAAGCGTTGGCAGATGGACCGGGCCATGTCCTTGGCCATGGAGAAGGTGGTGGTTGTGATGGTGGTGACGATGCGGGAGGGGTCTTCGGGATCTGGTATGCGATTCGACTGGGAGAACTTGAGAGATCCGAAGTTGTTGATGGCATCCTCGGAGAGGAACGTGTACTCGAACTTGGTCAATCGGACGCGGTGGGCCGAGAGCGGCAAGAGACTGACGACGAGGGTGGAGAAGAGATCCTTGAAGTCCTATCGTACAACCAAAGTCAGCCAATGCTCTGGCGAAAAGGGGTTCGGGAGGGGGCGTTTCAGAACGGGGGTTGTCGCATGCCTCGCGCGGAACGCCGCACATCGGCGCACGAAACACGGTTAGGTAGGTGGAAGTGGTAGAACCATCGGACATACCCTCGTGAACGGCCGGTCGTCATCCGTCATGCGCAGCAAGCGCGAGGATGTTTGGTGCATCTTGTTTGCCGTGACGGGAGACTTGATGGGAGGTAGGTTGGTTGGGGTCTGTTGGCGTGTAGGGCTGGGGAGGCGGGTGGTTCGCCAAAGCAGCTTGGGTAGCGACAACGCTGTCCAGGTTGACGTTGGACGACAGGGACTGGCTCGAGGCACTCCTGAGCCGGTGGTTCTGGTCCGGGCTGGAGGGCTCTGAGGCGGGCGTCGAGCTGGGGAGGAGGGAGGGTCTCGAGAGGGTACCGTTGGAGTGCCGGGCGCGGATCGCGGGCTCCGAGACGGTGGCGATGGCGCTCTGAGTCCTGTCCAAGGCGGTCACGGCCAGGGCGAGGATGCCGCTCGACGAACCCTGGTTGAGTCTCGAGACGGAGCCGGTATGGCGGTGGGTGTAGACGCGGGCTTGGGCGGGAGGAGCCGGGATGGCGGCAACAGCAACTGCAGCAGCGGTGACAGCGCCTGGATAGGACCGTTCCGAGAGTGAGGAGCGGGAGTGAGTGGAGGGCTGCTCGAGGGTATTAGAGGGAGACGCAGTCTGGTGAACCGTGGGCTGAGGAGGATGCGACAGTGTGGCCATCTAACGGGAACGAGAAAGGTCAGGGGGGAATTTTGATGACGGTCGCCGGGAGGTTCAAATAAGATGGACGAGCGAGTGGAAGCGGGACGGACGCAAAGAGATAGGTAAAGGTAGACAAGACCAAGACAAAGGCCACCTCAAGACGGGGCCTGGAGATAGGCGCCCTCACTTGAGGAGAAGGAGGTGATGCAGGAACACCCATGTTGGGTAGGTGCTGAGACGAGCTATTTGGTGAGCCAGTGGAGTGGGTGGACTGCCACCAGCCGCATCAGGTACTTCGTGCTTCCTTCGTCCACTCGACGTAGCCCACCTCAAGGACCCTGGCTGGCTTGGGCTGGATCACCAGGCGGTTCAGATCTTCGGGTCCCTGTGTGCTGGCTCACAGGGTGGGGAGGGGAAGAGGGGCGAGTGAGAATAATGCTACTCATCAGAAACATGTTTAAGGCCGGCACTGATTCCGACAAGACGGGACCCCTGGAGTGAACCACGTGTAAAAAAACAAGAAAAAAAATGGCAGGTCATGGAAAGGGGCCGATTTTGCGCCTTTGTTCATGAAATGACGACGGAGTCGACAAGTCCAGTGCCCTAGTAGAGACGAGGTATAGAGGTACGTACAACCGCTTCCGGCAGCCCACGCCGGGGCCCTCAAGCCGCTTGCTGGGCTGCCTGCACTAAGGTAGGTCACTGATTTGGGTACAAAAGGGCGCCGAGGGTTCACGGGCGGGAGCCACTCAGACTCGCAGGGCAGAAACGAGTGCATCGCTGCTGATCCGGGGGGGGCGGTAGGGAGGGCGAGCGAGGGGGCGAGCGGTCTGGAAGAGGAAGAGCCCATAACGGAGTGAGTGAGTGAGTGAGGAGAGTTAGTGTTGACGACGACGATGACAACGGCAGTTGTTGGATGTCGTTGCTGTCTCCAAGAGGTTAGTGGAAGGGAGAGCAAACGACTCCGCCGTATTATCAACCACGGACAGACAGATGGATGGATGGACGCACGGAACGAAGGGTACATCAGGCCGTCGACGGATAGCCAGGACGAGGTCGACACGGCCCAGGTCATGTGCTCCGGGGGCAGAGCTGAGTGAAGTGAGGGAACAATGCAACTGGCCGTCGTCGAGAGCATTCTCCTTTCTCTTCTCATTCCCATTCCCACCATGGATGGGTGAATGTGTGGCACACGCTTGCAGGCTTCCCTCCCTTTGGAGGCACGTGGCTCTAGGGATTGCACCCACACCCAAGACTGCTTTCGGCAGCCACATTCGATGCTCCATGCACAGCGTCACGTGGCGGCCACGCAGAGAAACCGTGGTCCACCCCAACCCCCCCGCCCACCCGTTGGGCTTGCTGCCCGCACCACCTTTCTTGGTCCTTGGTCTCCAGAGGTTGATGCGCTACCAATGAGCTACCTGAGGAGTGTCACTAACGTCTGGGATCCCGGAAGGGGAGTAGTGGCAAACAAAAGTTATGGCTCGTGCAGGCAACTACTACCCGTGACCAGACGCGAGTAACCAAACGTGGCAGTGAAAGTGGCGCTGCAAGTGGCAATTCCCTTCCATTAAGCATGCGGCCGCACTCAGGCGACGTGCGCAGTATCGTCGCACCCAGGTCTGCGCACACGCGGCGACTTCTGCGCTCTGGGGACTCCTCGTCCCCTCTTCTTTTCTTTTTTTTCTCTTTTTTTTCTCTTTTTTTTTTTTCCTTCACGCACGCACACACAGTGTGGCTAACAGACAGACCGGACCAGTCGGTCTGTGTGGGTGGTCTGGGTCGGTCTGGGTTGGTCTGAATGAGCTGCTGTTTCAGCGTCGCCATTGGCCTGTTGCGTTCTTAGTAATAACCTTAAGAGAAAGGGTGTGTTAATGAAGTCAATCACCCGATACCATACGTATTAATGCTTTTATCAACTGTAGTAGAGTTAGTTTTTTCGCCCCACTTTGCAGGGGGTAGAGTTGATATAAATCCGAGGTCATATCGAAAGAGTTTTGCTAGCCGGGCAGTGTCAACTGGCTGCCCGGCTAGCAAAACTCATATCAAAATGGATTGACGTATTACATAATCAAATCTCAATATTGATTGAGTTGAATTGACGTTGATTATCTCCATTCAATATATTGAAGTACGTTGAGTGGTTCGCATCCTTGCCCTTAGCTTAGCTCCTTCCCCTTTCCTGCTCCTTAGTCTTAGGTAGACCAATCTACCCGCACCCTTTCGTTGAACAAACCCAGGGTCAGCCCATCACAAGGACGATGCTTTCAGGTGCACGATACTTAAGTAAGTTACAATAGATCAACGCAGTGCAAAAACTGTACCCGCAAACATATCTTAGCACCATTTTGGAAATTTCGCCACGCGCTTTTGACGCGTCCGACGCGTTGGATCGCGTAGTTCTTGGCTGGGTACTCTGCAGCGGGCTACAAACTTGGAAAGACATTGCCTGACGCACGTTGAGTCTTGGGCGCACTAATAGTGAGACTGTTAGTCTGCGACCCTCGGACTGGACTACTGGTCAGTCTGGTCGAGTTACACTGGACCATCAGTGTGGTCCGAGAGGCCTGCAATACAATACAATAGAGTACCGGTAGTCCGAGAGACGTACACTGAACCAATAGTCCTCTTAATGGTCCGCACTAATCTGTATCAGGAGCGCTGTGGTGGTCTGTGCTGTGATAGAGGCGGGGCCAGACTCATGTACGCGCGTGATTGTGCGTGGCGAGTCGCGACAAAAATGTGGAATGACAAACGTGGAATCCATGCAATTTCCGCCATTACGAAATTCCAAGCCGTGCTTCACAGTTCCAGAACGTCCCTGGGTCCTTTCAATACTGGCACTGAAGTTCAGTTTGCCTTAGGGGTCCTTTCTGCTGATTGGACGTCATATCGGGCACGGACTACCTTCTTATGCTGACTTTGTCCCCAACTGTCTGCGTGTTTGGATCTTCTTCCATCATTGTCCAACTCCAGCTGGCGTCATGGCGGCCGGTATCCAGGGAAAGTGGCACGTCGCCAATGGCTTGGTGGGATCGCCATCCCAAGAGACAAATGGTCACCGCCAGCGCAAGCGCAAGCGTTCTCCTGCTGGAACACTGAAGGCGAAGGCTCAGCAAAGCCCTTTTTCACTTTCGGGAACTCTAGCGCAAGACGAGTTGATCGACTACTACACAGTTGAACCCCACCAACAATGGGACAAAATGAGCCGATACAATAGCTTCATCCGTACGACCACGCAGACCACTCCCTTTATCAAGGCACTGACAATTTGTTGTAGTGAAGGACAAGAAATTCGAGCGCGGAGACTTCGTTCTGGTGGCCAACGAAGCGACTCTGAAGGGAGCGAATAATGCACGAGACTCGAAACAGACGACCGGCGAATCGAGTCACTTCTGGATCGCCTACATCCTAGAAATTAGAGCTGCTGATGAGAATAAGGTGTTTGCTCGGGTTTACTGGATGTACTGGCCAGATGAACTGCCGCCAGGTACGTTCAACGGCAAGAAATCCATCCGAGGACGCCAGCCATACCACGGTCGCAATGAGCTTATAGCATCCAACCACAGTGAGTGATGCCAAATAAATGCTCCAACATGAGTTAGTGACACAATCTAGTGGATGTCGTCGATGTACTGTGCGTCGAGGGGCCTGCATCCGTGAAGCAATGGATGGAATCCTCAGATGACGAGCTCAATTCAGATTTCTTTTGGCGACAGAGATTTGACTGTCATCAGAAGCAACTCACGGTGTGTCTTTCTAAGCAAACTATATCCGCTCACCACTAATCCACATAGTCTGCCGAACCAATTTGTAGATGCGAGCTCCCTGCTAACCCACACCGACGCACAATCGGCTGCTCAACATGCGGCATGTGGTTTCATGAATGGTGCCTCATATGGGGCACTCTTGAACGGCTTCGAAATAGACTACAGGACGGTGAGGGCACCCTCCCTGTGAAATGGACGCGAGCCGACGGAAGTAATTGCCAGGGCGGCCTCAGTTGCTCCGATGCGGAGACGGATGGCCAGGAGACACTTGCCATGATGTCAAAGGGTATGGATATCTTAGAAGCTATCGTATCCCGATTATTGGCACAGTTGCTAGAGCCCCGGCGTGAGGACAAGCAGACCGAGACGGTAGCGCGGGAACCTAATCCTTACAGGACCCTACCCAGTCCGTTCGAGGCGATGCTGAAGTTAGATGATGGAACGATCGTGGTGGAGATTAAAAACTCGGGGAAGGAAGGACCTCGGTCTACATTCTTAGCCGAGGTTCAATGCCCAGGCTGCAACGGCCCCATGAGATGACTTTTCCAATATCAGATTGATGGCGCGACAAGGGTGCAGCTCCTGGTACACCAGGTGCTGTATACGCGGCATGGGCAACGATGTTGAGTGGCGAAAGCCTCAGGTAATGGTGCATTTCGGCGAGCATCAACCTTTCTCAAAGCTGAAAAATCCATTCGTGCTCCTATATCTTAACGCCAGCAAACTTGTTTCCAGTCAATTGGTGATGATAATTCTCGAGTCTCAATCCATTTAAGAGTTTGAGGGACAATGTGGGGTTGGAGCCTAAACCTCTGTGTTTGGGGTTGCCCCTCAGTTTCGAGGAAACATTTTCAAGAGTTTACTCGAGTACAAGCTTTTAGGGCTTGCCCCACACTCTCGGGTAACATCCCCCCCAGTGGGTCTTTTGACGTCGACGTCCATGGCGTCGGCTTCCCAACATGAGAGGCAGCCTGTCTAGGTCCTTCATCCGCATGTCGTGACCAGAACCTGAGCTACTGGACTTGGAAATGCTGCTTGTGGCACGCACCCAGTTGCGACTCGGGACAGAAACAGCTGATGCTAGCTCTGTGGAGTCTAAATTAATGCTCCCTGAGGGCCACGGGGTCGCAAGCGAGGGTCCCAGCGTTGTGACGTGTCAGAAAGCCTTACTTAGTACGAGTCATTTAGGTCGGCTGAGGCTTTGGTGTCTCGTCATGAGCCAATGAGATCGTGTGTCCAGGCCCGAGCGTGGATGTATCTCTCTGTCACGTTTCTGTGGCAATGAAGGAAGCCCATTCATGTTCCAAAGCACATTGCCAATACCTTGGGGGGGGCCGGGCAGGGAGGGCGCTCTATTTATGGGCGCTCGGGTGACCCCTAGCCTCTTTAACAGGCGGAAACTCAAGGCGGAACACCTGGTCATCTTTACCACGCAGTCAGCCACTAAAAACTGTTCATTTTGAGGGTGGGGGGCCGGTTTCATACCATTTGGCTGGGTGGGACATTAGATTATTGCGCCCCTGTCGATGAACAAGCTCCGACAGGGTTTTGCCTGACTCTTGGCGTCGCCACAGTAGGCACCTCAGCTGAAATGCTCGCGACTACGGTTGTCCATTTCAAAAGTTTTGTCCCACGCTAAAGACGCTATATCCCTTTATCCTTGTAAGTTACCTAAGGTACAAGGAGGGTAAGCTACTGTTCTTAAATTATCCGCTACGCCCCCTATTGCTACAGGGGGTAATGGGTACTAGCTGCTAAGGATAGTGATTGATGGCGTTCTATAATCCTTGAGCCTCCAGGGCTTGTGTGAGGAGAGAAGTACTTAATGTACTTGGACTTGCATTGATTGGTTGCCTTCATATCGTAGCGTCTTGGCAGGACAAAACTTTTGAAATGGTCCTCCGTAGTTGTAACTTCCCTCGCTTCCTGCCTATGCGGGCTGAAAACAGGGATCAAGATCTTCTAGCAGAAGACTAGACAGACATGATGCGTCATCCATCACGCCCCCCTTCGTTCGGATTCTCTCGGGTCCGGATTCTTGAGGAGCAAAGTCTCAGTTTGCTATAACCATATAAGTTCCATGCCCCCTAATTAATTCTCGTATCCGCCCCCCCCCCCCCCCAAATCGCATCCGCCTGATCAATCAATCGACGAATATCTTTCCACAGTGATACTTGGGAAACAACCAGCGCCGAGCAAACTCATCCATGGCAGGAAACTCGCCCTGATGCCTGTGTTTCTGTAACCGAAACTGACGACCTGTCTTCTGATGTAAGTCGGGACTCGCCGCCAACCCGAAATAAAAGGCATTAATATCGATTACCTGTCGCGCGAGGATTGTTTCTCTTTCGAAATCAACCACATCATTCATCTACAACACATTTCATGGTCTTTTTATTTCAAGAGTCACTTGTATAATTGGGAGAAGACGGTCGCTCACTATTCGCCGCTCGGCTTTATCCACATCGGTTCTGCGTCCATTCATTGGCATTTTCCAGAACCCAGGGATCTCACAGCTCCCCGACAAACGACAACCCTGTGCAGCCAAGGCCAGCCTTCTTTGACCTTGACCTTCTTGGCTCCGCCCTCCCATACGAGGGTCAGGTCGCGGAGGGCGGGCATCAACCCGGCGGAAGTACCGCCTCGCCCAGAAAGTAGAGTGGCCCAAGGCCGATGGCGACGGCGCCAAATTTGACTTTATACTACTAGCCAGAGCCAGTTCCTCACCATGGTTCTCGGAATGATTATGGACCCCGGCTTGAAGTACAAAGAACATATTGCACGAGCAGCGACCAAGGGCTTGGAAGCGGCCATGGAATTACAACGGCTCAGGGGTCTCACCCCAGCGACAGCAAGACAACTGTTTACAGCCATGGTTGCCCCAGTAGTAGATTACGCCTCGAACGTCTGGATGCACGCGTGCAGGTATAGAAGGGCCAGTCCCATCAACCGAGTCCAAAGGATTGGGGCACAAGCAATCGTGGGAACGTTTCTCACAGTGGCAATAAGCGTAGCAGAAGCTGAGGCACATATCGCCAGCGCACAGGAACGTTTCTGGAGGCGGGCGATCAAGATGTGGACTAACCTCCACACTCTGCCAACAACCAACCCACTTCGTAACGCTACATCCCGTATCCGAAAGTTCAGAAGATACAACCGCTCGCCATTTTACGAGATGGCAGCGGCACTCAATGAGATACCAGTGGAGGAACTAGAAACGATCAATCCGTTCACATTGGCACCCTGGGCAAAACGGGTACAAACCATTGTGGTCGACAAGGACGAGATAGAGACGACACAAGCAGATCTGGGCTGGGCAGTACGCGTCGCAGTGAGCTGCTCAGCGCGGAATGGGGTAGTAGGAGTCGGCGGGATCATTGAGATCCCGGTGTCGGTGCGAGGAGGGCCGAGGCTTGAGCGGTTTTCCTTTACACTTGGCATGAGGACGGAACAGAACCCGTTTTCTGGGGAGCTAGCGGCAATGGCGTACGCATTGAGGCACTTGCCTGACCTGAGATACCGAAGCGTGGCACTGTTGACGAGCAACAAAGCTGCTGTGCTTACGCTGCGAAATCCTCACCAGCAATCTGGTCAAGAGTATGTTGGATGCGTGTACGACTCCATCGAGGCGTTAAAGGCCAACGGAAATGCGGTAACTGTCATATGGATGCCCACTAGTGCTGAACACAAGCTCCTAAAGACTGCAAAAAAGGAGGCGCGGGATGCAACCCGAGACGGTGCCATCCCGGCCCTGAAATTTCCTACAATGCGATCGACGACCCTCAACATAGCTCGATTGAACCAGCATAGCAAGCACCTACCGGAAAACGTCGGAAGGTTTTCGAAGAGAGTCGATGCTGCACTACCAGGCAAGCACACTCGACAACTATACGACGACTTGTCATGGAGAGAAGCCAGCGTGCTGGCGCAGCTCAGGACAGGCATGGCCAGACTGAATGGATACCTCTTTCGGATCACAGTAGTACCATCACAACAATGCGCATGTGGACAAGCGACAGAGACGGTTGAGCATTTTCTCTTCCGATGCAGAAAATGGATGGCACACCGAGCTGAAATGTTGCAGTGCACCGAGACACAAAGAGGAAATATCTCGTTCTTCCTGGGAGGAAAGTCACCGTCAGACGACGCAAAATGGGCGCCAAATATGGAAGCAGTTCGCGCGACTATACGGTTTGCGATAGCCACAGGGCGACTGTACAACACGCAAGGTTGAAGACAGATTGCAAAACCTCACCTAACCTTTCTTACTAACCCACCCTACATCAAACACCTCGTGCCATGGACAGCAGGCACCGCTTCAGCCGCCGTAGATAGGACTCTGAACACTTGGAGAATAGCCTTCAAGTTAGCTTGCTAATAATACAAACCCCACGAGACCCGGCAGAGAGATGGAAAACGAAGAGGCAAAAGCAGAAAATGGACGCTGTATGGGCTTTTACGAGATCATGACAAAGCTTGGGAAATGGATATGTACAATAGCAACTAGTGCCCTATTGGTTATAAGCCACCGGGCGAAATAAATTGTGTGTGTGTGTGTGTAACAAATCGAGACGTCGTGCAACTTACACCCGTCACCTCTTCATCTTCAGCAACCTACTTCAACTCGCTGGCGCCCGCGCTGGCCATAATCCAGACTGGCCTCGGCATTTTTGCCCTCTTCATCGCCCGTTTCTGCCTTGCGCGCCTCCGTATATGGATGCAGCGTCTTCGCGGCCCTGCTGGCAGGCCAGTGCCCACAAGAACGGACGCCATCCCGCCGCATCATCGGTATCAACAACAAGCGCACAACATCAGACTTGTCTGGGCGATGGACGAAAAGGCTCGCTCGCCTGCCACGGCCGCTGCCCAGGAAGACTCGTCCAACAATGGCGACCCCAGAGACGAAGAGTCGACGGGCGGAAGGCTAGTCATTGGCCTGAATTGGTCGTCGAACAACAACACAGACATCACTGGGGGCGATTCCTCCATGCGTAGACCACTCATGTCGCATCCACCTCCTGCACCGCCTCTGACGCCCCCCGAACTGAGCACGGCTGTCTTCACCTTTGAGGACCATCCGCGACCAGGCGGCGACAGCTTCATGCGCCAGCCCAATCCTGACTACATCTCATCCACCACGGGGTCTGAGCTGCCCCCCAGCTCGAATGTGTCATCGCCGCCCATGCCACGCCGTCGCTCCTACAAGAAGACACTTCCCATCGGCGGTCTCGTCCCTCAGACATCGCCAGCAGGCGCAGCTGCCGCATCGGATGCTGCCGATCTTACATTCTCGCCCAGTTCCTACCCACCCACCAGCCCGTTGCTGCCCCCGGCCCCACCACAGGCAGAGGCTAACGACATCAACGTCAAGGGAGAGATTATTGGGGTCTTTGACGGCGAGGGAGCGGGATGGATTAGACACACTCGTGTCTACGGTGGTGGTGTCTGTCTGGCTTGCGCAGCCTTGGGTGGCAATCATGGGGGCGGTTTCTACGGAGCAACGGTACGACCTGAGGAGATGCGATGATTTCGCAAAGGTTTGCTTGAAAACGTGAGAAAAAGCGCTCGGTAGTTATGGGTTCGCATCAGGTCCCAAGGATATGGGCCATGTACGACTTTTTGATGTAAATCTACTGTACAGGGGTGTCAGGCGGTTTGATAAAAGCTCTTATCGATTTTGCGACGCACGGTCCATAACATCCCGAGCAAGTCATCAATTGACGCCTGAAAAAGACAATAAAATCGGTTCACAGCGCTGCATTATGAGAAAGGTAAGTCTATGAGATGCGTGATATTTTTCGCTTTCAATTGATATAGTTTTCTTGGTCGATATTGCTGTTGTTGATTTTTTGTAGAATATATTCTCGCCACCATTTGCATCTGAAAACCACAAGACACCGGCCCAACGGTACCCCGAAAACCGGGCAGTGATAAGATTGATGATTGATGCGACCAATCCATGCGACCAATCCATGCGACCAATCCATCCGGCCAACTGCAGAGAGTTGATGTCATTCTGACCCCAAAATTCACCATGACGGCATTTCCAAATCGGTGAAGAGGGGTATGATGGCCCTCATCGTTCTCAAATTGCTGTACAACACCGCGTCACTCCCCCCAGGTCGTCTCTTCTCAGCCCTGCTTCCGCGAGGCTCATGAAATATGAAGCTCATTTAGCGGCTCCATTTTCGAGCCACACACGATCATACGAGTTTCCTTCCACAGAATCGGTCCCAGCTATCCTATGTATTTAACATGACAAAGATGGACGGGCAGCATCTCGTTCCTAGCTTTGGGCCCCCAGATCCACATCCAGCCATGATCGGGTCGGTTGGCTGGCGAGGGCGCCAGCCACATTCGTCCATTCGTGCTCCTAGCCAAGACACCAGCGACCCTGTCGAGACAACATGACTTGCGCACGCCAACAATACGAACGGTCCATGATTCAGACAAGCGACAAAGTATCTGAGTACAGAATGCCATTGCGTCACAACGTCAGAGCGAGCGTCAAAGCGCATCTTAGTGAGGGGCCGGTTTAGGAGGGGGAGCCTTGGGAGAGTGGTCCTAGGTGGCCTAGGTGGCCTAGGTGGCCTAAATTTAGCTAGCCCGGATGAACCCCATCTTGGGTCTAGGGTAGGAATGGGATTAGTGAGGGGCCGAGGACGGTGGAGTCACGATTGGAGGGGTGGAGAGCCGCGGGTTGGGACGGGGAGATAGCCTGGGAGGGACAAGGACCTGGTGGCCTAGGGCCTATCCATGGTTTGTGGGGAAGCTCTCTCCGAAACAGAAGCTGGGAAAGACGTAAGAAACGTGAGAGAGAGTGAGAGGGCGACGCGGTGGTGAGGGGGGCCGGCGAGGAGTGGGTATGGGGTTGCGTAGGATTGCTGCGGTGCACCCTGGATATGTTTGGCGTTGTGGGGCGACATTCGGAGATGGAGATGGAGATGGCTTGAAGCGGCTTTGGATGAAGATGCTTAGGTGATGCTCCTGTGAGACGGTAGAGACTTGAAGATGGCATGGACATGGCGTGGATATCAAGACACTGCTCGGGGAGGCACGTTTCGGCTGGCTGCTGGTTGTGATTTTGCCCGCGTGTTCATCGAGCGAGATCGATTCATTCATTCATACCCATATCCACCTCGGAATGAGGTTGAAATGCGAGTCCTCTCCTGTCCCAAAGCCCAACCAACCAACCAGCCAACGAACAAGCCAAGAAGCCCCCCATCTCAGACCCTTGAAGCATGAAGCCATGGTCCATCACTCTCAGATGAGGTGGGTATTGGCATATTCCAGCCCAGCCCCGTAGAGTAAGCACATACAAAGAGACAAAGGAGAACCAACACGCAACCAGCAGCAAGTAACAGCACCAAAACACGCAAAGAACAGCATATAGCCCCAGCTCCGACAGCCTGCCTGCCCCACGATGCTCCTCACTCCCTCCCAAGATATACTACTGATATAGCAGTCGCTGCGCTGTTACCCAGGCCCAACCTAGCTTATAAAACGCCGGATAATTGGCGCTACAGGGATGGAGCGACGTTCATGCGCCAAGCCTTTCAACTAGCTGCAGCCCGTGGCCCGTGGCCCGTGGTTGCAGTTGCAGGGCGTGGGCCGGCCCCCATGGGTCAGTCGATGGGTCCCCCTTCCCCCCCACAGTCCCATCAGCATCCCCCCAATCACGCAGATCTCGCAATCACGGGCTCGATCCGCGGTCCTATCCCACCCTTCGTCTTGGAGGGGGGCCTGAGGGGTTGAAGAGGGGGGGATGGCGTCCCGGGGGGGTTCCCATCGTCGAACCCTGGCGTGATCGCCCCACGGGAAACATGGTCATGGCTATGGGATTGGCTATGGGATATGGAAATGGAGATGGAAAATGGACAAGCAACGCTGCGGCTTTGCGAGGCGTCGTTTGCCTTTTCCACCCCTACCCCCCGTCCCCGTCCCTTAGCCTCTGAGATCCTGCCCCCTCCAAAGGACCCAAAGTCTCCGGGTGGCGGAGTCAGGGGCGTGGCCTTGGGGAGGGTCCTGGTGGCAGGAAGAGAGCCCTTGCTGGTCCGGGGAGCTCGAAGCTTGGTACGTAAGGTGGCGGCGGAGGAGGGTCGTCGTTCAACGGCCAGCCTACGGCGCGGAGATAGCTATGCAGCGAGAATGTGTGAGGAGGAGAAGGCGGCGGGTTTGGCTGCGGAGGAGGCACGCGGGGTCCTCCTGGTGGCGTAGGTGGAGGGTCAGGATCTTGGGGTTCAGGAGTAAACGGCCGTCGAGGGATGAGGGGAGGGAGAGCTATCTCAGCGAGCATGGCGAGGTTGATGAAGGAGAGGAAAGGCGGAAATAGGTGGGATAGGAACGGACGGCGACAGAGACAAAGACAACGACGGCTGGGACAGCAAAAATGATGAAGAGACCGAGAGGGAGGGGGAATCGATGCACATCTAGAGGCGTACACCCACGCACCCGCTTGTCTCGAGAATGTGAGGATCTGGGGAGACTCGCGCCTGCGGGCGCGTGAGGTTATATTCGTCTGCCACCCTCCGTCCCAGGCATCGCATCGCAAATTCCGGATGCGACGCACTTCCGAATGAGGCTCACATTTCGTCTCTCCGCATCATGGCACGACACGCAGCTCGACCAGGGATGCCCTCCTCAAGCCCCAAGCCCCAAGCCCAGCCCATCCAGAGATTACTTCCCGCCTACCCGTCCTTTGCTGAACGCGGTCAGCCGCGCATGGCTTATAGCCTACGGCCTCCACACACCCGCTATACCGCACCCTGGAACCACGGATCCACGGATGTTTGCTGTATGGGGGATCCGATTTCTATACCCGAGGGCGTGGTTCAGGATATTCCAACGCCCCGGGGGGCGCCGTCATGTGGCCCGGAGAGCCGGCGGGCGTGTCAGCCAGAGGGATACGCCATCTTTGCCCGGATGAGCCGACCCAAGCAGCTGGGTGTGATGAGAGGCTCGAGTGCATAGTGGCTTGCGATCATGGTGCTTGAGGCTCACTGGCGTATCCGTCCTCCCGGGAGACACCATACCACGGCGGTTTTCATCTTGGCCTTGTATGTCTCAATGGCGAGTGAGGCGTGTGGGTGGCGCCCTGTAGTGTCTAGACCGTTCCCTGACATGGGACGGGGCAGATATGTGACGTGCGTCTATCCGCACATGCGCCAAGCCTGTAGCTGCTGTCCTCACGGAGCTGAGGTCGCCCCGTGATGGTGTGGTTCACAGCCGAACTCTTGTCCCCCCAGCTGGTGGGGCTGCCATGGGCTGGAGCAAGAGAGCAGCGCTAGGGTTCAGCTGTGGAGAGCGACATGACAAATAACAGATGAGATCTGGAAATCCTGGAAGGGCCGATACTTATTCGTATGTTGAGTGTTGGGGGGCTAATGCGGCTGCGCGGCACAAAGGAGATGTGACCATGCAGTGCAGGGCGCGGCAGTGGTAGGCGTGGTCGATGATCCACGCAAGATAAGATGAGAAACAAGCACTTGCAAGTCCAGGGGAGATATCCATAACGATGGTTCAAAGTAAAATTCACGCAGACAAGGTCATCCTTTGCTGGAAAGGGGAAGTGATGGGGTGTTGGAGCAACAAAACTGAACGCATCAGGAAATAGGTGAGCTGAATTTAGGATGGACCAGGGTTCCGGGAACATCTTGCGGAAAAGCCCCCCATCAAGGCTTGTCATGCATCAATCTCCATCTGGAAAAGTGTTAGCTAGTCGAAGATGAAGCGTGTCAGCAACCACAAACTTGTTCGTGAGCTAAAATAAAATCCACAGGACCATATCCCTTGTCTGGCCTTCCTTGTTTGGTCTTCCTTGTGTAACGCCACTTGTAATCCCTCGTTTGTTTTTCAAAATACACCTTGCATAAATCTCTGACCGGTCGCTGGTTAGGCTCTGGCCGGTATCTCACCGGTAGCCCCTGCCGCGACTGCGAGATCGGCTTCTGTTCCCAGCGCTGCTGTAGCTGTTTCGGCTCGCACTGCGACGTCTCGCTTCATGTTCCTCGGGTCGGCCGCCGCCCCGGCGTCTTGGCGCCACCGGCGACCTCGACCGCGATCGCGACGAGTAGGAACCTTTCAACTTTGTTGCGTCGATGGGGATAAGGATCGGAGACAGTACACAGATGGATGCCTCGATAACCTTCTTATGTGGGGCCGGTGTGAGTTCCGTCACATGTGGATAGCAAACGGTGAGGCAATTTCTAACTGTAATTCTGGCTCTGGCAACCTGGAATGTTAGTAACTATGACTTGTAACTGGCTTGTCGCTTAGGTGGGCAGTTACATAAACCACCAGGTGACCCTTAAATGCTATGAACGGGACCCGTCTCTTTTCGTCATTAAAACAGCAACACAGTGACCACGAAATTTTTGAAACAACAGTCATTTACAGAACTACAGCACTCCTGTCCGCTGGCCGGACTAGACACGAGCCTTCCATCCTTTCTGACAGTGGAGAGCCTCCACACTTCGCGGCGGCCACCAGCATTCAAGCGCCACGGTTATTAAACGACTCTGGCATCAGGGTCTCATGCTCTTCAACCGCATGTCGAATCCCCCTTCGTCCAACGCAGGGGTCGGCAGCGCGCCCTCCACCGCCGACGACTCTGGTGAGCAATCCTGCCGTCAGGCACTGACCCTGTGTTCCTCAGCCCGACCCGCACCGCCCGCCGATTCTGCACCCGACACTGCATACTGACCATTCCAGCGCCCACAATCACTGCCAACACCAAGGCGCCGGCCAATTTTCCTCCTCCCAAGACGGACAAGCCTCGCCCGCACGTTTGCGGCACCTGCTAGCGCTCCTTCGCCCGATTGGAACATCTCAAGCGACACGAGCGCTGCCACACCAAGGAGAAACCTTTCGAGTGTCCCGAATGCGCACAATGCTTTTCCCGCCGCGATCTGCTGCTGCGTCACGAGCAGAAGTTGCACCAGACCTCGACCCCGTTGTCCCGTCCCCGCAATCATCGCGAGTCTGCCTGCGGCGTCGCCCCCGGCCAGAGCCGAGCTGGCAAGAATAGCGTCGCAGGACCTAACCTAGCTGCATCCGATGCGTCGGCCACTTCCATGAGGCCGCGGGCAAACACTATTAGCCATGTCGACGACAGCGCGATACAGATGATTGCTGCTGCGAATGCCTCCGTCGCACGAGGCATCCCCCCGACCCAGACCCATAGCCGACACCCGAGTTTGGCCGTTTTGCCCATCAACAGCTTGGACCATGTCTTTGGTGGCATGTCAGCAGCCATGGGACAGCGAGGGGTGCAGCACGGGCTATCCAAGCTTGAGACGCGCACCTTGGGCGGCCTCGAGTTCAGCAACGGCCCGCGGACAGCGCCGCCGACGGCCGCCTTCAACACCGAATTCGACTTTGAGAGCCTCCTCTTCGGGCCGGGCTCGACGACAAACCCCAATGCCCTCCATTACAATGATTCGCCGCAATCGATGGCCTTGGAACAGGCCTCACTGTTTGCGCCGTCCTATAATGAGATGCCCTTGAGTCATACCCTCGACGATAGTTTTAAATGGCTGACTGGATTCGAGCATCAGATGTTCTTTCACACGAACGAAGACTTGGTGGACGGATCTAGTCCGTCCACCATCAGCACGACGAGCCAGAGCGGGATAAGCGATGTTATGTTGGATGGTTCGAACCACCCCGCGCCCGCCGAGACGAGTACCATGTGGCAATCCTCCGTGATGGGCCCTCCACAGATGCCGAATCCGTTTGCGATGGGTCTAAATGGCTATGTCTTCCCGGATCTCTTGAATGGGGTGCCTTTGTCACCTCAGCCAGCTTCTCAAAAGATGAATGACCCTTACTTCTTTACGCCTTCGCCGAGCTCGTTAACCCCGTCCGTCGTTCGTCAGACCCTTGGCTTCAACGCCGGCCCGAAGACGCCCTCCTCCCTCCACAGTGAAAGCCACGGTGCCTCGGCCGTAACCACCACAGATGCCACGCGGAGTGCCATTGTGAACACCTAGGACCCAGCTGCCGTAGATCGCGGCACCCTTTGCTGCTGTGGGGACATGCAAAGAGGTATCGGCGCAGGAATCGCAATCGAACTCGGACGACGCGGGGCCGATGTAAGCTCTTTCCCATCTTGAATCTTCCCAATCTAGTATCCGAGCCTGACAGACGTCCAGGTCATACTCATATACTCCGCTCCCAGCAGCGAACACTTAGCCCAAGGTATCGCCGAGAGAATCACCTCACTCCGTCACCATCCCATGGCCCTCTGCATCCGCGGTGATCTCGGCGACTGCCAGACCCCGAGTACCATCGTAGATACGGCTATCAACTGGCTCCGAGCGAACGGGAAGGGGGAGAAGATCCATATCCTCGTCAACAACGCAGGTGTGGAACTTGCAAAGTCCTTAGGCGACATCACACCCAGGGAGTTCGCCTCGGTATACGATGTGAACGTCCGCGGGACGCTGCTCATGACTCAGGCCGTCTTACCCTACCTGGCGACCAGTGGCCGCATCATCAATCTCTCGTCGGTGGGCGCTCGGGCGTCGCTCGCAAACAAGAGGAAGAGCCAGAGGAAGAGCCAGAGGAGGTGGAAGAGGAGGAGGAACAGAAACAGGAAGAGAACGACGGAGAGTGCTTTGAACGAGACCCTCTTGGATGTAACTCATCGTGCCCACTTCCAGCGGGCCCCAAGCACGATCACGCTAGTGAATGGATCCATTCAAACCATCTAGCAACCCTCCTCTGTTATCTCACGTGCGCATGGGTTATTAAAGTGTTCCTTCTCGTCCTCAAAGAAGCGCCTCTGCTCCTCCTCCTTGCGGGCGACTTCAGTCTTCTCAGACACATGGCGGCCGAGAGCCCCTTTGCGGCAGCTCTAGCTATGTGTTCTTTGTATCGTAGTTTCGCGTCCATGACCACTCCCAGGATCTTGGCGCTCGCTTTGGGCTTGACTGCTTCCCCTTTGATCATGAACGGGTGTGTCGCTAGTACTCGCGGCGTTTCGCGTGAAATGCACGATGGCCGTTTTGTCTCCTTCGAACGTCGCGCCGCTCCGACTTTCCCAGCCCAGTGCTTCGTCTATAATTGATTGGATGCCGGCTCGGTTCTCCTCTGCTGTTGGTCCCACTACCCAGGCCGAGTAGTCGTCCACGAATGGCATCGAACCACCTCTTGCGTTGATTCTTCTCTGCACCAAATCTGCATTAAAGAACAGGAACAACACCGGCGACAGTGGTGACCCTTGCGGGAGACCTGCCTGTGGCAACTCCCGTAGTTGTGACGTGTGCCCATTTACCATCACAGCGGCCGTTCGCCCAGAGCAGAAGGCGTCAATCCATCTCACCAGTCCACCAGGTATGCCTCTCGCCTTCAGCCTCTCTAGTAGTCGCTCTTTGAACACTCCGTTGTAAGCGCCTTTGACGTCGAAACTGATCAGACTGAGCACCCTGTCAGCCCTCCATGCCTTGTAGATCTGCTCCTGCAGCAGTATCAGCGCTTGTTCAGCTGACCTTCGCTTCCTTGCCCCGAAGTGGTTTGCAGGTAGCAGTCCATAGCTCTCCACTACATAGGATATCCGCTCTGCAATGACTGCCTCGAGTATCTTGCCCAGTGTTGATAGCAGCGATATCGGTCTCCAGGCCTTAGCCACTGTGTAGTCTCCTTTGTCTGGCTTCTTCAGCGGGATGATCTTCGCGCTCCTCCATTGGTGGGGTACCGCACCATCCCTGAGGGATGTGTCGAAGAGGTGCAAGACACGGTATCTAACCACTGGCCAAAGCTGTTTCCACACCATTGCTGGCAGACCATCGTCTCCAGGCGCTTTCCAAGGTTTCGCTGCTAGCAATATTTCCTCAACTTCTTCCATGGTGAGGTCTGGCATGTGGACTTCCCTCCGTTGCGGTCGGTCACCTTCATCTTCAATCCTGGCCGGCAACGGCGGGAAGAACGAGCTGAGCAGCTCCTCTGCCTGCTCCACCCTATCTTCCGTGGTGGAGCCGTCTTGTCTCTTCAAATGGGGCACCCTATCGTCCATGATGTCCTTTCCAGGTTTCAAATACTTGGCTGCCTTCCATATGTTGACATCTTCTGCTAGGAACTCGTCCCAGTGCAGTTTCTTCTGTTTCCGGATGGCATCATGGTACTCCTTCGATGCTTCCTTGGCCCGTCTTTCTAGGTCGGGCCTCACCTGACCTGCTCGCCACTGTGCCCTAGCCTGATTTCGCCAGAACGTATACACTCGCCGAAGACTTGTCAAATCCTTCGTCCACCAGCGCTTTGCGTACAGTACTGGTTGTGCTCGGGGCGTCAGCTCGTGGGTCGCCTCGAGGACGACTCTCATTAACTGGTCTGTCTGCTCCTGCACGCCGACGGTCCAGGGAAGCTCTCGGAGATTGTCTCCACCCTGGTTCTGATTGCTGTCCATGGTGCGTTCTTGAACAACACTCTTTCCGTGACAATCCGTTCGGGCATCGCGACATCGAACGTCGTTTGGATCGTCCGGTGGTCCGATCCGTGTTCTGTCGGGTGTATGGAGCACTCCACCATTTCGTTTGCCACCTCCGCCGTCGTCAGCACCAGGTCGATTGTGCTTTCCTTGTCGGGGCCTTGCCATGTCTTCGTGCCTCTCGGGAGGAGGCTGCAAAGACCGTGTTCGTTCATGAGGTCGATGATTGGATCGGCCTCGCCTTGCCTTGCCAATGGCACGTCGTCTCCTCCCCATAGCTGGTCGTGTTGATTAAAATCTCCAGCAAGTATGACGTCCACCACCATCCCTGTCCTACCCCTAAGGTCGAGGATCACCTGGTGCAGGGTATGGCATATATTTCGAAGAGCCTGGGGCTTGCGTCCCGGCACATACACTGACACAACCAACATTATTCGGTCTGGGAGTCGTATGGTTGCTGCTGTCAAGTCCGGGGACTGTATTGGTACTTGCTCGGCCTCCAAGTCCCTATTCACCCACAACATGCTCCGGATTGCCCATCTGCCATCCCTCCAAATCCTGGGGACCATTTTGATCCATCGGGGGTTCCCCATAGGGACTGTTAATAGTTTATCGTCGCTTTTCCATGCCTGTGGTTCTTGGATCGCCACAACTGCAAAATCTCGGAGTCGCTTGTCATTCATTAGGCTTTCGTGTACCGTATCCTGTTTTCTTACATTCAGTTGGATTACCTGAAACATCCTACTCATGCCGGGTGGGGTAGAGTTTCGGGCAGCTTCTGCTGAACGACTCGTGCGGTCCGCCACAGGGTACACACTTAGGTAACTGCGTCTGGCACTCACTATGATGATGGCCTTCGGCGGCGCACCTTGCACATACCCGATTCTTGCTGCCACGAGAATGCCTTATGGCCGAGCTCCTGGCAGTTATAGCATTGTATCGGTCCTGTTCTCCGCTCAAACGCGCTGGTATATGCCGATTCACCAGCTGCAAGGAAGTAGCGTTCCTGTAGGAGTCTCCTGGCATCGCTGTCTTTAGTGAGGTATACCACTATGGATCCATATGCCTTTGCGTTGTCCTTTCGACTCAACCAGGCCACCTTGGCAATCTGGACTTCATTCTCTTGGCCCAAGGCTTCCATTGCTCCAGGAAGGACCTTGCCTTCCTGGTCGAGAACGGCGGTACGGTTGATATTGTCAACTTTGACTGGGTACAGTTGGTCACGAAGAACTCTCGCACCTGGAGCCTTCTTGACCTCAATAATGGTCTTGATTTTCTTCAGTTCTTCCTCGTTCCTACCGATGACCCTCAGGCGGTTGGTATTTCGTCCATCTCTAGTCACGGCAACACATCGCCAACTGGGTTGGTCGCTAGACGTTCGCATTTCCTGTTCAATGGCCTTGCGAAGCACTGCTGGTGTAGTATCTCCGATATGATCCTCGGGCACCCTGGATGTGTCTACTGTGCAGAACACCGGTTCCGGGGTTGTCGATCGAACCGTGGATGGAGTTTGAGTGGTAATACTAACAGGCGTCATTCTGGCAGCATCCGCATATGTCTGACTAGGCGATCGTGCTGCATGAGCCTCGGTCACGGTATCCAACTGTAGCCGAGTGCGCTCCAGCTCGCTGCAAACCTGGGTAAGCTGCTCTCGCACCTGCGATAGTTCCTGTGTCATCCGGGTCGTGGTCCTAGCGAATTCTTCAGCCATTCGCGCTAAACTTGGTGAACTCCAGCTGGAACTCTGCCTTCATGATTTCAATTCTCTTATTAAAGTCTTGTTCCAGGAGTTGCTTCAGGCTCTGAATCGCCTCAGCCATGCTGTCTGCAGCCTTAAGTGTAGTCCTTTTCTTGATTCGATTGTTCCTCGGCACCCCCTCACTGCTCTCTTCCTCCTCCCATTGCATATCGCGTTCTTGTTGCTCCGATTCCCTTGCCCTCATCGTTCTGGCTCTTTTGCGCTGGGGATGATGATGTTCCCCTCCCGGAATGTCCGGTTCGCGTTCCATGACAATGATGACGTCTGAAGCGGGGTTCGCTGCACCAGACATCTGCCAACGACCTGAATCTCCGCCAAGCGGCTACCGGTATTTCAAAAGTTATAAAGATAAATAATGAGTTTCCGAGAGATCAGCAGCATTGTGTTCTCCTGTCTCACAGTCCAACAAGAGGATTCCTTTGGGTCTGTACGCCTGTACCTTAGATCGTAAACCTCCACTTGGTAATTATTGAAGCACAGCTTAGCAGTAATCCGAAGGCCACATGAGCGATGCAAGGTACATTTCTCGTGACTAATCGAAAGTATAACAGCGCCGTATTCGCTCAACAAGACATCACATCGGCATCTCCAGCCTTGTCCCTGGGTCCGTTACAGTCCCCCGCTCTCCTCCTCTCCTTGAACTTGGTAAAATAGCCATTACCAGCGGCTGCGCAGTGCGTTGAGCCAACCATTGACTGACGAGGAAGTTTAAGCCAAAAGTTTTCTGCGCTTTTTGACTCCAGCTGAGGTTTTTGGAGACGTGATAGATGATTGCTGTTGTCTTTTGGCCGCGTCTGACGCCTGGCTGCATAGATTTCGAAGAGCATAGGTGATGGTAGGTCATCTTGCGTTTCAGACAGGCTGACGGGAATCGACGGGCAAGAGAATGGACCGCCAATGCTGGCATGGGGCTCGAATGGACTTCCGGACTCGAGGCGGAAGGCGGCTCCTCCACACATGTCTGTGCTGTGTTGCTCGCGCAGTCTCAAAATTTCATCCCTCAGGGAAGCCACCTCTTCTTCACATCTTTCAAGGCTGGCCAAATGCTTCCATTCACGAAGCCGAGCCATTCTTTCGGTCGTCCTTCTAATCCGGTTTTCCTTCTTCGTCACTTGATCGCATACTTTGCATTTTTTTGCTTCGTCTTGCCGCCCATACACGAGCTTCAATCCGCAGGTCTCTCCAATGCGGTACTCTTTGTTGCATTGTTGGCGAAACCTGCCCCACTTCCAATTGCCGCAAGCCCAGACAACCTGGTCGAAGTAACACATCATGAAACAGAGTGAGGTAAAGTGAAACAGAAGAAGATTTCAGCCTGGAATGGGAGTTTTTTGAGCCTGGCTGCTGGGGCTCTTTGCTTATCTACTCAACCAAAAGCTATTGATTAAGACTTTTCGAAATTTAATGGTGACTCCGTTCGGTGGACGCGAAAGTCAATTTCGCACTCTTTAGTCGATGAACAGGGGATGGTGTTACTGGCTGCCTGTCGTATGAGAAATCACACATACCCGCCAATCACCAACGATGCCTTCGCCAACCGACGAGCAGGGGGGTACCAACAGAACGTAGTAGCAACACCATCGCACGTAATCGCTGAGTCGGACGAAAGGAAACTATGCCCCCGCTCTTATCACGTCGGTGCCTTCTCGCCTCGTCTTTGGCCATAGCACACTCGTCCACATGTACGAGAGACTAAAATTGTTCCGTTCCACCTTACTTGGCAATTGGTGCCCTGAACCTTGCTAAGCCGGGTGAAGGTTCTTCAATACAAGAGTTGCACTTTGCCCACTTTCAACGCTCTCGGCTTGGCAAGTGAGGTAGGCCCGACGAGTCAGTGTTGGCTTGGCTTGATGATTTTGGGGGTGGGGGAGGGGGGCAACGTGATCCGGAGCATTGGCGGATCAGGAAGGAACTCGCATACAGCTAGCCACAGATCGGGATATTAGACCCGATGCAATCTGCCGATTATCACGGAGTAATTTCAGATGCGGAACCTTTTGCAAAAACTTGGCCGAGGCCCGTATAAGCTGCCTATGCTACTGGACAGCGGCTACCACACCAATCCCGACACAACGGTACGCTAGCCGCGTCGCCAATTTGTGCGCCTCAGCCATACACTATTGTAACTAGCTTTGAGGGAGGACCGCTAGAACCAACAGATACGAGAGACCTAACCCAGAACTACCTGAAACATTGATTAGCTCTGGATGACATCAGTTCCCACTTTATGACGAGGCATTACTATTCCATTACCCAGTACAAATACTTAAAAAAGGGGGACCCTCAGGTGTGCTCGAAGCCACATCCGGCGAGCATTCGTGACAAGTATGGGCGTTTGTAGCTAATACAAGGTTACCCACACCTACCTTCTAAAAGCCGTTGTGTGGGTGGGTTTGTTCAAGCGCTGACGAAGGGAGCTGTGGGTCCGGGTTTCCGGGGAGAAGTTCCGAGTCACAGCCTAGACGTTGGACAGGTCATGGGCCAGGGGCTGGGGTGCCGCGTCTCCCTCCCTCTTCTCTCTTTCCTCTTTCCATCCCTCCCTGGTTTAGCTGTGTCAAAGCGCGCTTGTCGACAGTAATTCATTCGAAGGCCCAGTGCGCGTAGGGAGGAGAAAAGGTCGTTCCCCACTCGATTTCTAGGTTACAACACTTTTGACGCCCAGACCATGGCAATCCATCAGCGATACCACACTTTCACAAGGCAAGTCGGCCGAGTACGAAGAAAATCGCTAGATACGTGTGATACGATCACGAGCCAACACCCAAAATTCCACCACTCTGAGCTACTGCATTGAAAATATGTACGCTTACTACGAGATCACCACTTCCCAGCTATGGAAACTGGATTTATTGTTCAAAATCTAAGGCGATGGCTTACCTACTTGCATAGAGAAATTACCCGTGATCCGGGACGAATCACGTGTGATCCATGATGACCGCCACTGGTCTTAATAACTATTCAGCAAAGACTTTGCCTACTCAAGCATGTAGAGTGGAAATGCGCCGCACTTCCAGTTTGGGCATGTTTAGCAGAAACGCGAAATGCGGCGCGTTTCTTACACGAGGGCCCGTGCCAACCGGTAGAGTTCATATTAGGTAAATTGAGTAACTTTACAGGAGACACAAACCGCTTGCCAAAGGAGCCTTGAGGAACGAGGTTTGATATAGGATAGTCATAGAGATGAGTTTGCTAAGTTTGCCTTTCGGAACGAAAGGATCCTTCTTCCGCGCCCTCTCTCTCCAACGCCCGGGCCACATAGCGCTCTGATCGCGCTTCGCCATACTTCGCCATCCTAAGCCACAGTCCAAACCCTACTCCCGTCCGTTTTCCCGTCCGTTTTCGGACCTCCTTTTTATAACTACAGAAAATGATTTGTCTACAGAAACTGATTTGTCGTCAGTCCGACCTTTTTATAACTGCAGAACATGGTTGCGATTTTGTTGTCGGTGGCACGGGGAAGACCGTCCTACCAGTGGCTCTTGGTTGTTTCTTTTTCTACAAGTGGCGGTCGATTGTTTCTTTGGCTACCGGCCTCCTAACCTGATCTTCCTGTCCCCCCCGATGGTAGGGCCGGGCCTGAAACCTTTAATGCCAGACACTTGCTCTTTTTTGTTTCGACCGCTTTCCACGTCAGACATGGCGCGCCATTTGTTTTACCTCTCATTTCCCTCCTCACCACACCCGTGGCTCATATCCACTTGCTACCACGCCCCGGCAAGAACCAGTCAGAGTCCCGGTTGATCAGATCCCCCGTACATGGGAAGATCTGGATGGGCAACGCACTCAAAATAGGGCCCGAGGGAGTCGGGGAACCTCTCAATCGACGGCTCCAAACACCCTGGCATCTCAGAGAGCCGTCCACCGCCCGCAAGGGCCGCTCAGTGCCCATTTTGACGATGCCACTCTACAGGATCTCCTCAAGCTTCGAAGGGAGCTGGTCAGAGTCCCTCATGAGGAGATCCTGCGCGTGTTGGCTCTCCTCGAGCCCCGAAGGGAGCGGGTCAGAGTTCCTCATGAGGAGATCCTGCGCATGTTGGCTCTCCTCGAGCCCCGAAGGGAGCGGGTCAGAGTTCCTCATGAGGAGATCCTCCGCATGTTGGATCATCTGGACCGCCAGCGCGCAGAAGACCGAGCCCGTCAAAGGGCCGGAGACACCGAACGGATACATTGGCCAACCACTCCTTCACCGAAGCGCCCTAGAGAACAGGAAACGCTTCCTACTCCGCCGCCCACACAACTGAGCCGGCCTCCGAAGAGGCGGCAGCCAATTGGGGAAACGCTTCCAACTCCGCCGGGCACGCAACCAAACCGCTCCCCGAAGACGCCGCGGCCGATGCGGGAAACCGTCCAACTCCAGCGGGAGTCCGTCAAATCTATTCTGCAATATCGCGAATCCTGCTTTCGCGACAAGGAGGAGGCATCAGCAACAAGATCATGGTGCAAAGAAGTCCCGCTCGCCCTTCCGGTAGAGGCTTCCAAGTCGTTCTATCAGGCGTTTACAGATGAAAACACGTTGCCGATTTCACATTGCGTCTTTTGTTACAGAAAGCAAGCGCCTCGCGAACTCAATACCGTGCAGTGGAAGAGGCTGTTGAGGCCCTCCCTGCTGCAGGCCACGAGGACTCTTCAGCAGTGCCCGAAGTGCCTTCCACTGGATGACGATGCTGCGGTTCACGTGTGCGGCGAGTGCCGGGCTGGCTTGGAGGGCGGAAAGCTGCCTAAGGTCTGCTCGGTCAACAATATGGACATCGGATGCGAGCATCGGTACCCTGAAGAGCTTGATGGCCTCTCTCCTGTTGAGGAGAGGCTGATTGCTCTCCAGGCCCCTTTCGGCTACATCACAAAGTTCACCGTTGACAACAAGACCTCGTCGGGCCTCAGTTACCGGAAGCATGTGAAGGGCCATATTGTGGTATTTCCGAACAAGGTGGAGGACCTCGTTGCTACAGTTCTCCCCCACCCCCTTCTGGAGACCATCGAGAACATCCACGTCTCGTGGAGCGGCTCCAGCAAACCTAACGCTGCAGACGTTGGGCATCTTCTTCAGGTGCGCAAGTCCCGTGTAAGGGCTGCCTTGTCGTGGCTCCAGAAAAACAACCCACTTTACGAGCACATCGGAATCAACCACGGTGAGATAGACGACTGGCGGTACGAGGAGGGCTCTAATGTTCCCACCCTCATCATGGACATGATGCAGATGGAGGAACCGTCGGTTGCTGAGAAGACGCAGACGGACCATATCGTCCCAGATACCGATCGAGGGTTGGAGGAGAACCGGTTCGTGAGTATTGAAGAACTCCTCACCACCTCGGCACGAACCGGCTCCGGCGCCGACCCCTGCCCTCCGGATGGCACTCTGTCGATCGAACAGCACCATCCCTTGCCTCCGGATGACGCCGACGGCGACAGTGGAGTCGTTTATGGGACGTCATCATCCGGCATGTTTCCTCTTGACGGGCCAGCCGCCTTCGAGGAGGCCGATAAGCTTTCCTTCTTAGCCGACGCTCTCCAGACGAGTCGGAGTCGAGATGCCGACGATGCTAAGCCATGCGCTATGCACCTTCAGACAACAGGTGAACAGCCGTTCATCAGAGTGGAGCGTGGTGCCGACTTCGCAGATACCCTGCACGAGGACTTCTTCCCGCGCACCTTCCCAAACCTCTTCCCGTGGGGGAGGGGTGGCCCAAAGGCACTGAAGGAGTCGAATTCCAATCAACAAGATGCTTCGGAGCTTGCTCGACGCCATTCCAATCATTCGCTCAACTACTGGGCCAAGTATGTTCTGCAACGACACGGAGGCCGGTTTGCAACCCATCCCATCTTCTGTTTCTTGGTTTTCAACATCCTTCTCCGATCCTCCAATCGCCGTATCAGCATGGTCCGCATGACAAAGGGCTCCTTTCAGGAACTTGAACGGGTGTATGGGAGCTTGACGACGGACCGTCTAAAAGCCGCCGAGAATGAGATGCGAGAGACGAGGAAGACGACTGACCCCGACATATCGTTCCTGCTCCGCGAGCTGTCCATCTTTGGCCACGCACAGCCGCTCTCTAACGAAAGCCGACTCCTGATGCGGAGGAAGATACAAGCACTTGACATTTGGACCGGCACGCCCGTGATTTGGATTACCATCAACCCCAATGACATCAACAACCCGGTGAAGATGAGGCTCTCCATCCACAGGCTCCACGAGTATGACACGGCAAAGGAACTCTTAGCCGATCTTCGGGGGAGGTATGACAGGATCGCCCTTAGCACCATGGACCCGGTCAGCTCCGCCATCTTCTTCCACCGAGAAGTCTCTTTGTTCTTCGAAAAATACGTCAGGACAGGCCAAGAATCGGTTTTCGGGAAGATCAGTCACTATTATGCAACAGTGGAAACGAACGAACGCGGTAGTCTACATCTACATGGACTA